AGCGCACGGGGGGAGAGAGAGAGAGAGAGAGAGAGAGAGAGAGAGAGAGAGAGAGAGAGAGAGAGAGAGACCAATCATCCTCACAGGAATTCTGCACTGACTAGACATGGTGGACACACTGTCCAGTACTTGATCTTTACTCATTCTGCTATTTTAACAAAAAGCATCTCTGCTCTCAAGAACATGGAGACCTGGACCAGAAACCTCCCTGGCTCTCCTCCGGCCAATGCCAGCCTGCCTGTTACCCATGTGCCTTCCTCAGACTCAAATGCATTCTCAACTAGACTGCGGTAGAAGAGTGCTCTTTGCACCTGGGCCCCAGGCTGGAGAAAGTGACCCTTCCGGATCTAAGGGCTGTTGACGGCTCCCGACAGGCTGACAGTCTCAGAAACTGAACATGTCACCTCATGAGGCAAAGGGGCCTCTGTGGGTGCGAGGATGTTAAAGAGTTTGAGATGGGAGTATGATCTGTGTGGACCCAGTGTAACCCCAAGGGTCCTTCTCATAGGAGACAGCAGAGTTAGTCAGAGAGGGTGATGTCAGAAGCAGTGGTCAGAACAGGGTGGCCTGTGAGCCCCGGAACAGCCTCTAGAGACTGAGGACATAACCTGTAGGCTGGGACCATGATGTCCTCAGGCTATGGATGTAGGGAATGGCTGTCTCCAGAGCCTGAAATCACTGACCCATTTAGACTTCTGTGCCTGAGCTAGCAGCTATCAGACTGTGGAAGTCTGTGTGGCTGGTGCAAACAGGAAATCAACACAAGCCATGGCTGACGATTGAAAAGAAGCAAGGGCGCCCTCATTATCAGCAGTAGGAGTGGGGTGGGGGTTCTAGGAAGAACTCTGCAGGAGGCTAGGGGGGCAGGAGCTCCTGGCTGTGCAACTGAGGCAGGCTCCTCCCTGTTACACAGCCATGTGAGCTACTTCAGGCATGCCATGCAGGTCAAGGATCTGGCTGGGGAGGACACCTAACAGAGAAGACACGGGTGTGAGCATTACATTTATGGGGCTGAGGACAGAGTTTCATGCAGGAATTGCTCATTCCCTTCCCATTTCTCATCTCCATCTGTTACATGGACATTAAAATGTTTATTTATATATCCATTTGCTTTTGAGCAGAGTCTCATATAGCCCAGGCTGGCCCCAAATTCATTATTTAGTTGATGATAAGCCTGACCTGATCCTTTTACCTCGACCTCCCAAGTGCTAGGATTGCAGGCCTGCATTGTCTGGTTTATGGGCTGCAGAGAATGGAACCCAGGATCTTGTGCATTCTAGGCAAGCCCTCCACCAACTCAGCTATATCTACCGATTGGTTTTTCATTCATCATTACATTTCTTCTAAAATTACATTTATTTGTTTACTTACTGTATGTGTGTGCATGTGTCATATGTGAACCTCAGAGGACAACTCACAGGAGTTGGTTTTTTCCTTCCACAATATGGGCCCTAGGGATATAACTAGGGTCCTCAGACCTGCCCAAACCTATTGGGCCATCTCAATGACACCACTGGAGGGTTTTTAAATAAATGTGATTTAAACAAGACCACTCAGCCTCAGTGGGAGTGTACACGCACAAATAAAACTTTGAAAAGTGACTTTAAAAACTAAAAACAACAACAACAACAAAATCGAACCTGACAGTGATTCAGTTCACTCAGGGTTTTTAAAAAGCCCAAGTCCTAGGCCTGGGGAGATGGCACACACGTCAGCACCTGAGTGTAAATAAAGTTGGCACAGTGGCTTCTGCTTGTAATCCCAATGCTGGGGAGACAGAGACAGAAGGACCTCTGTGAAAGGTTCAGGTATTACGCTGGCCTGCCCTGTTACCTAGCAGAATGCACTCAGGCAGCACTCTGGCCAGCCCAGAGTTCCGTGAGAACCACGCAGGTGCAAAGAACCCTTTAAAGGACTGACCCCTGCTTACGCTCTCTCTTACTCTCGTCTTTCTTGTATCTTATATCTCTCCCTCTCTCTCAGCTCTGCACGGGTTGGTTATCCTTCACCCCCCTTTTCCTTCCCTGTCCACCAATAAAACTCCACATGGGAACGTTGACTCATGGTTTGTGTCTCGTTTCTGGGTGAACCTAGACATTTTAACAACATTGGTTTACACTCTGGAAATCACTGACCAGCCTAGACTACTTGACAAGCTCCAGGTAAAAGCTGTTTAGAAAGCAAAGCCAACAGCATTCTGAACAAGGAAACCTGAGGATGATCTCAGGCTTCTGTGTCTGTACACACACACAGACACACACACACAGACACACACACACAGACACAAACACACACACAAAGACACACACAGACACACACACACAAACACACACAGACACACACAGACACAGACACACACACAGACACACAGGTACATACACACAGACACACGCAGACACACACAGACACACACACACACACAGACACACAGACACAAAGACACGCATACACACACACAGAGTCTCAAGCCCTCACTGTGTCCCACAGGCCCCATCAGCCTCCCACTGTAACCCCACCCCCACCCTGCTGCTGTGTACGCCTCTCCAGACAAGGCCTCAGCTTCCCCCAGTATAGCAAGCATACTCCCCTGCCTCAGCGTTGGCTCACTATACTAAACACCCCCCCCCTTTACAGCTTTGCATTGATGTTTTGTTTCAAACTCTCTTCACTGTGACAGTCTGTCCTTTATACAAGTAAGGAATCTGCATCCAAACGTCCTTCCCAGGAGCCACCCTGGTGTCTCTGGGAGTTTCTGAGCTTCCCCATAGCTCATTCCCTCTTCCTTACTCCCTCCCTTCTATCAAGAGGACAAACCTAGCCTAGCACTTATTTTACCTAATGAATGCCTAACTCCCAGCTTTGGACCAAAACCCTCTGAGGGGACATTCTTAATTTGTTCACTGCAGCATCTCTAGGGTCAAGGGGTGCGTGTGGTGTGTGTGTGTGTGTGTGTGTGTGTGTGTGTGTGTGTGTGAGAGAGAGAGAGAGAGAGAGAGAGAGAGAGAGAGAGACAGAGAGACAGAGAGACAGAGAGACAGACAGAGAGAGAGAGAGGCTGTTGGTAGAGATGGGGGCAGACATGGAAGGAAAACTAAAGATGAGGTGGGGAAGAAGCTATCCCTAGACAGGAGGACTCAGGTGTGCAAGGGGGGGTTGGATCTATAAACCCAGGGGCCAGCTCTCTACCTTCCATTTCCTGTGGGGGAGGAAGTGAGAGGGACAGAGGCCATCACAGAATGGTAGGTGGCTGACAATCGCCAGGGCAGAGAGCTGTCTGAAGACACCCCAGGGTGACTTGGCCACTGGCCACAGAGGCCTCCTGGTGCCTCCTCTTCAGCAGCCTCAGGAGTTCAGCAGCAGGAGAAAGGGAGGCTGTTGGGCCATCTAGGGCTGAGGAGGAGGCAGGAGGACCAGACAGAGTCATAGTCCCTTGGTGAGACTTTTGGAAGTTGACCAAAGTATCTGTGCTGATGCCAGGGAAGGGGTGGAAGACAGGACAGGGCTGAAGGGTCGGGGGAAAGCCAGGGTTCCTAAGGACCCAGGAGAGACTGTGGTCAGAGTAGGACTCTAAGTAAGAGACAGGATACAGGACAAGATTCCCCCTGGGTGGGGGCAGGGCTGTGCTAGAGTGAGGGGCTCATGTCACAAGGGCACCCCTGGCTAGGACTTCAGAACGAACGCACAAGCCACAGGGCTAAGAAATGTCTGCATTTCCTCAGCTGTCAAGTGGAGAAGTCTGAGGCACTAACCCAAGCTGGAGGCAACGTCACCATCTTCAACCTACAAGGCTCTGAAAAGGAAGGGAGAGACCCCGTGTCATGCCTCTGACACCTACTCCCCACTTCTCAACTTTGGGGTGGCAATGTGCTTAGCCTGGGCCCCCTTTTCCAGACCCCCTGGCAGGGGCCACATGGCCTATCTGGCTAATATAGTACAAATAGAAATCTTAGGAGAGAGGAAATCTGGGAAAAATTTTGCTTTCTCTCTAAGAAGGAAAAGAGCCCGGGTTTCACATTCTCCCTTCTTCCTGCTTTGGATACAGAGGCAAAGTTTGGAGCAGTGGCAGTCATCTTGGAGTCACTGGGTAAATGCCAATGGTTGATGGTGCGGAAAGGCCGGGGTCCCTCAAAGCACCAAGCATTTGCACCAGACCTGATCTTGTTACCAGGAAAACAACTCACAATTTAATTAATTATATCTGGACACATTCCGAAACCTCACAGGAGTGTGCTGCCCGTCTAACAAGAGAAGGCCCCTGGGAAGGCACATCCGGGGTTCTGTACTCTCAGCAAGTTTCAACGAAAATAAATACTAAAGGCCTCATACTGAAGCCCATACTGAAGCCCAATTCCCTTCTCCAAATGGAACTTAAAGGTTGTGACCAATTAGCAAGGTGGGGACACCACATGTAAGTGTGTTCGGTTGTGTGTGTGCGTGTGTGTTGCTGGCTGACAAGCCTTGCTCAGCCAGGGAGGGTGAGCGGGTAAGGCCACTGCCCAGGTGGGGTCTCCACTCTGAGCTCTGCTGAGGACCACCCCTCACTGAGGAGGGAGACCCTCCTAGAGCCGAGAGGCCCTGTTCTGAACCGGGCTGGATGCCCGCACAGGGGCAAGTTTATTTACACCGCGCTGGCCCTTTTATGTCAACCACCGCATCCATCAAAGGCTTCTAAAGGGCCTGCCGCAAGCTGAACGCGAGGATGCAGAAGGCGTCTCCGCTTCCCTCCGCCATCAGGCTCCCTGCCCCCACGGGCAGTGGAGACACGGGAAAGGGAGCCTCATATCCGCGGAGAAAGGACCTAACGGGGGGCAGAGTCCCAACGAGGAGCGGAAAAGCGGTCCCGCCCCAGCACACCTGCTGGCTGTGCCTCTCCACCGCCCCCTGGGAGGGGCTCAGCATCCTCCCACCCCGGGCCGTGGAACCGGTCCCACGCGGGTCCTCCAGCCCCTCGGAGGGTCGGGCCCGCGAGGGCTTCCCTTCCACCCCCGGCTCGCACTCACGCTCCACGTCATGCAGCTTTGCCCGCTCCTCCTCCAGTTTGCCCTTGAGGCTCTCGGCCTCGCTCTTCAGCGACGCCAGCGTCTCGTTCTCGTGCAGCCCATCGGTTGCCATCTTCGTCGGGATGCAGCCAGGAGAGACACGCAAAGCGGGAGATGGAGAGGGGACGCCGGGGCAGGCCGAGAGGGCGGGCTCAGCAGCAGCCTCCGTGACCCCCGAACGCCTCCCCGGGTCCGCCCCCTCGGCGGTGACGCGACCGCTGCGGTGACAGACTTCCCGGGCTCCGCCCTCCGTGGCGGGGCTATGCCCGGGATGGGGGCTAGGGGTGGAGGCTGGGGCCACGGAGGCTCAGAGATCAAGCTGTGGTCCCAACTTCGCTTTCCTCGCCCCGGGGAAGCCGAGTGACGTGGATACAGCCCTCCCCTCTGCATCCCTGGGGACTTGGGGCAGGATGCGTCAGAAACCTGTCTCACAACTCACTAGCCAGAAACATTCTTTAAAAAATGGGTTCTGGCTGCCGGGGTTCTGGGACGGGGCAGCAAAAGTAGGGGTCGGTGGCACACCCTGCTGGGGTCGGAGGCGTCCTTTCCTCTGGAACGAAGTCTTGCTTATGGCTACCGAGTGCAGACTACAGTGGCCCCTCTCCACCTACACTTCCCTGGCCTTAGGTTCCCTGGTCACTCTTTTGATGCCCACCGGAGTCGCTCGAAAAACCAAAGTAAATAAGTAAATAAATAAATAGTTCAGTTAATACTAGCTTATTAAATGGATGTATAAAACATACTACATAAATATAACTGTATGAGCATAAATGTACATGTATAGAGAGCAAGGGGCTGGGGTGGTGTGGCCCAGTGGTTAAGAAAACTTGATGCTCCTCTAAAGGACCCAGGTTCGATTCTTAACACCCATATGGTAGCTCATAACTCTCTGTAATGCCAGTTCCAGGAAGCCAATGCCCTATTCTGGTTTTACTGACATCAGTCATGCCCCGTGTGCACAGACATACATGCAGGCAAACCTTTAGTATGCATAAAATAAACACACCTTTTTAAATTAAAATTTTAAAGACTTATATAATTTTATTTTATGTAGATGAGTGTTTTGTCTAGATGTTTGTCTGTGTACCTCATGTGTGCAGCAGTCACTCCTGTCGGATCAGGAGATGGTGCATTACCACCTGTTACCAGATGGGGGCTCTTGCGAGCCACAGCTTTGAACTCAGCCGGGTGGATCTTCTGAGACAGGGACTGATTTCCAGGGCTGAAGACATTTTTGGTGGTGATCTGAAGCCTGGTAATAGTCACCTTTGGCAAGGACAAGACTCAGTGTACTTTGAAAAAAGAAGTCAGGATTTCTGTTCAGTTCCTACCCGGCCCAGAAGGCTTGGGCTCAGGAGCACTGGAGTTTAGTTTTGCCCTCTGCTTAAGGCTGGGCAACATCAGCCAGCCTGTCAAAACAGCTAAGACAGGGAGCTTGGAAAGGTTGCCCAGGACTGTTTATCTACCAGAATTTCTTCTAACTTTCTGGCTGCTAGGCAGACCAGGGAGGAGACAGAAATCATCAGCCCCAGGAATAACGACTTGTTAGGAGTGTTAGATGCCTTGCTATGACCTCACATGACCCTTACAGAGTCCTAGGGTACAAATCTGTTAGCATTCCTATTTCCCAGGTGGGAAAGTAGGCCTCTGGAGCTGGGTGACAGCTGGTGCCCCTACTGCCTAGGAGAGCAAGCAGACCAGGGCCCCAGGCAGACACCAGAGTCACACAGGGCTTCCAGGAGCCTGGGGACATGTCCTACAAACCTACTCTGTGTAACTCATCTGCCACAGGCTTGCATTAGGCATCGTTTTAAGTCAGGAAACTTGAAAGAACAAAACGAAACAACGGCACTCACAATCTCTGCACAGGTGGAGCAGTAGCTGAGCTGCTGAGATTTCTTGAACACGGGCCTGAGGGCTCTTTGTTTGAAGCATTTGTCACAGGAGCCGAACACATTAACCAGGAATGTCTGATCACACATCTTGCCAGAGACAAGACTGCAGGACAGGAAAACAACGATCAGGGTGTGGGAAAGACAGCAAGCGCTTCTGGGGACCCAAGCCTCGTCCTCATGCTGCCTCGGTCTACCCCTCCACGCAATGGGCAGAGCTCACAGCCAGTGCTGGCCTCTGCAGAAACACACAGCCCATTTGATCAACCAGAAAGTCAGGCAACCAGCTTTCTGAAGTACGCATGGTTAACTGGTGGTTTGGGCAGTTAACATTGCAATGCATAATGCAGTTAATTTCTTTTTTTTTTTTTTTTTCGAGACAGGGTTTCTCTGTGGCTTTGGAGGCTGTTCTGGAACTCGCTTGGTAGTCCAGGCTGGTCTCGAACTCACAGAGATTCACCTGCCTCTGCCTCCCGAGTGCTGGGATTAAAGGCGTGCGCCACCAAAGCCCGGCTGCAGTTAATTTCTTAACATTTGACATTATCTATCTTTGTTTTCATTTTTATGTGGAGATGGCTAGCTTGTGGCTTCAGTTTCCTTTGGGGGGTTGCAGTGCATTGCTGGAGATGGAGGACTGGGCGGTTACCAGGGGAGGAAGCAGGCAGCCCAGTCCTGCTGATTTAGTAGCTGTCCCAGAGAGAGCCCCACCTTAAGATTCAAGGAAATTACTTGAGCATACTATGGGAGCACTGGACTGAACATGCCAACAAAGGAAAATTTGAGAGAGGTGTGTTTTGGGTGGAGGTGATACTTGGGCGGGAGAAGGAACTAGAAGCTGTGGAGTTGAGCAAAGGTGTGGCCAACACAGCCCTGCAGATGAGGTGACAAGGGAGCAGAAGAGAGACCCTTAGGGACAGCGATCACAAGGGAGCAGAAGAGAGACCCTTAGGGACAGCGATCGCAAGGGAGCAGAAGAGAGACCCTTAGGGACAGCGATCGCAAGGGAGCAGAAGAGAGACCCTTAGGGACAGCGATCGCAAGGGAGCAGAAGAGAGACCCTTAGGGACAGAGATCGCAAGGCAGCAGAAGAGAGACCCTTAGGGACAGAGATCGCAAGGCAGCAGATACTGACTGCCTCAGGGGGCTTAGCCGACACCTCCCTCAGCCTCTGCCCAGGGAAGCAGACATCTTTGTGGAAGCAGAGAGCACAGAGGGGTTGAACAGTGGTTTCAAAGTCAGAGAGAGAAGCCGAGCCTGAACTGTAGCTCACAGAGCTACCTCTGTCAAACTGTGAGGTTTGTCACAAAGAGTGCATCACAGAAAACAGAAGGGGGCTGGGAGGTTGGCTCCATCAGACTTCACTTTCACCCCCAGAATGCAAGCAAAGAGTCAGTGTGGTGGTATACGTGTGTTACCTCAGAACTGGGGAGGCAGAGGCAGGCAGATCTCTGGGGCTCACTGCCCAGCCAGCCTATTGAAGGCCAGAGAGAGATCCTGTTTAAAACAGGGAGATGGTATCTGAGGAAGGATGCCTAAGGATGTCCACGAATAAGCATACATATGTGTTCCCATGAATACACACACACACACCCATGAACACACATGCACCCATGAACATATACACACACACATATACTCATGAACACACATACATACATACCCATGAACACACACATACATACCCATGAAAACACACACACACACACACACACACACACACACACACACACACACACAGAGCTTGGGGCTTGGAGAATGTCTGCAGCTTCTCAGCCCTGCAGGGGCTCTGCCAGTCTCAAGGTCAAGTGAGACATCAGGTATTAGCATTAGGGAGCCATCACTCAGCCACATTATCCAGGGATTTGCTCTCCCAGAAGTAGGTTGGGGAGAGAGCTGCTGTAGGCGCTGAGCCAGAGGAAGAGATTACGTCCTAAGAGGAAGTGACTCTCGAGGACTGAGAGATGCTGAGAGCATCTCCGGGGACAAAAGCCATACAGGAATAGGTCAGGAAGAAGGTAGTTGTGGAAAATGAAGAAAAAGAGATGTTCCAAGTTTGAATAGAGATAATATTGCTTCTGTTAGTCTAAATTCCAAGTCATAGGAGGTATTTATAATGTTCACGATGACTAACTGGAAACAGAAGGACATGACCTCTATGCCCTGCGACAGCAGGTCCTGGGCCTGCTCATGGTCACATTAGGTCCTGGGCCTGCTCACGGGCACATTCTCTTGCAGTGTCTTCATAAGTATAGCTAGTTTAACCAATCGGGTCGTGGGAGGGCTGGTGAAATGGCTTAGCAGGTGTGTGGAGATGCCAAGCCTGACAGCTTGAGTCTGATTCCCAGAACCTACTTGGTGGAAGGAGAGAACAGACTCCCAAAAGTTGTCCTGTCCTCTACGTGTGTGGCATGCTCAAGTCCACACATGTTCACACAGAATAAAAAATAAACGTCAGAAAACATTGGGAGGAGAGGCATAGCTCCACTGAGAGTGCTCGCCAGGCGTGCTCAAGACCCAGGGTTCAGTCTCTGGCACTGACAAAAAAATGCAGAACAAAATAAAATGTCCTCTGTGTTGAAACATATATGAGTGTTTGAAGCAGCAACACTTTTAGGCAAACAATGCAAATGCCCACCAAGGGAAGAGGAGGCAAATAAAACATGGTTTGTCCAGAAAGCAGGCATTTGGCAGTAATGAAGAATGAGGCCCTGAGTCTCACTGCAATGATGAACACTGGAAACATCATCTTGGTGTGAAAAGAGTCGGACAAAAAGTCCACATGGTCCCATTACACGAGTGTCCAGGACACACAAGGCCATCAGAAGTCCATCTGTGGGTGATGGAGGGTGGTGTTCTCATGCAAAAAGATGTTAGAGTCATTTGTTAAAGACACAAAATAAAACCACAATGTGATACTATTAGCTTATACATGAGAATTTCTAGAATTTATTATAGTTAGTGTGTGTGGAGAGGCCAAAGGACAACTTTTGGTAGTCAGTTTTCTCCTTTTACCATGTGGGTCCTGAATATCAAATTCTGGTTCTCAGATTTGGTGGCAAGTGTCTTTACATGCTGAGCCATCTTGCTGGTTATGTTAGAATACCTAAAATAAAAAAGCAAAGCAAAGCAAAGCAAAACACCGATATCCAGGGGCTGGAAAGATGACTCAGTAGTTAAGAGCACTTGTTGCTTTGCCAGAGGACCCAAGTCCTGCTCCCAGCGCCCATATAGGGAGGTGGACAAAAGCTGTAGTTACTGCTTCAGGGGATCTAGCGTCCTCTTCTGGTCTCTGCAGGCAACTGCACTATCGTCACCCCACTATCGGGCATATCCCTAATTAAAAATAAGCCTAAAACAAAACCCCCTGATATGCAAAGTGTGGGAAAGGATGTAGGAACTCCCTTTCATTGCCGGGGTGGGTAATAAAATGGTACAACTACTTTGGAGAATTGGCTGGTAGGACCTCTTAATGGTGTGTGTGTGTGTGTGTGTGTGTGTGTGTGTGTGTGTGTGTGTCCCAGCAAGTCTACTCCTGGGTATGTGTTCAACAGAAATGCATAATTTCCTAAAATAGGTAAGACTGTCATAACAGCTTTGCTCACTAATATCCCCAAGCTGAGAAATGCACATGTGCACCAGGAGTGAACTGGATTCAAGAAACAGAACATAATAAACTGGGGTGAAGGCAGGAGCAGATGGATCCCACAGACCCATTGTGGTGGCCCTCCTGTTCCATCAGCTGCCCTCGGGGGCTTTGGCTGTTATACTGCAGCTAGACCAATTTCGAAGACCAATTAAGATTAATTTAAAGATGCTTAATTTTTTACTGATGCCAGTACTAATCTGTTTCTTAAACTCTTTGTGATTTTGAAATAAAGTCATGAATGTTGTAGAAAAATTAGAGTATACATATACAGAGTAACCAGAGCACAAACCCCTCCCCTCTGGGCACCCTCCACAGAGAAATCCCTGTGACCTTGGTCTGTAGGAATCCAGACATTGCTGCATAATTGCGAGCCCAAGTTCCCTGAGGTCAGAGAGTACATACCTTACAGAGAGACCACTGCCTGGGACGGCTGGGTAGAAACGAGGGAGGTTACCGCATGGTGTGAAGGTTGAGCCACTGTCACCTAATCTCTTTATCTGGACACTGCAGCTCAGGGACTGCTCCTCCCCCTCTGCACACCCGTGCTCACTCGCTTGCACATACTCCCCCTCTGCACACCCGTGCTCACTCACTAGCAACACTCCCCCTCTGCACACCCATGCTCACTCACTAGCACACTCCCCCTCTGCACACCCATGCTCACTCACTAGCACACACTCCCCTCTGCACACCCGTGCTCACTCACTAGCACACACTCCCCTCTGCACACCCATGCTCACTCACTAGCACACACTCCCCCTCTGCACACCCGTGCTCACTCACTAGCAACACTCCCCCTCTGCACACCCATGCTCACTCACTAGCACACACTCCCCTCTGCACACCCGTGCTCACTCACTAGCAACACTCCCCCTCTGCACACCCATGCTCACTCACTAGCACACTCCCCCTCTGCACACCCATGCTCACTCACTAGCACACACTCCCCTCTGCACACCCGTGCTCACTCACTAGCAACACTCCCCCTCTGCACACCCATGCTCACTCGCTAGCACACACTCCCCTCTGCACACCCATGATCACTCACTAGCACACACTCCCCCTCTGCACACCCATGCTCACTCACTAGCACACACTCCCCCTCTGCACACCCATGCTCACTCGCTAGCACACACTCCCCTCTGCACACCCGTGCTCACTCACTAGCAACACTCCCCCTCTGCACACCCGTGCTCACTTGCTAGCACACACTCCCCCTCTGCACACCCATGCTCACTCACTAGCACACACTCCCCCTCTGCACACCCATGCTCACTCACTAGCAACACTCCCCTCTGCACACCCGTGCTCACTCACTAGCAACACTCCCCTCTGCACACCCATGCTCACTCGCTAGCACACACTCCCCCTCTGCACACCCATGCTCACTCACTAGCACACACTCCCCTCTGCACACCCATGCTCACTCACTAGCAACACTCCCCTCTGCACACCCATGCTCACTCGCTAGCAACACTCCCCCTCTGCACACCCGTGCTCACTCGCTAGCACACACTCCCCTCTGCACACCCATGCTCACTCACTAGCAACACTCCCCCTCTGCACACCCATGCTCACTCACTAGCACACACTCCCCTCTGCACACCCGTGCTCACTCACTAGCACACACTCCCCCTCTGCACACCCGTGCTCACTTGCTAGCACACACTCCCCCTTTGCACACCCGTGCTCACTAGCTAGCACACACTCGCCTCTAGAACCCTCTGCCTCTGCACATGCTTTGGACCCCTCTTAACTCTGATCGATTCCTTGCTGGGCCCGTTTCTCTGCTCCCTGTGGGAGACAGAATTTAATTAATCTGACCTCGTGAATGTGCTTCTACTCCATGGAGCAAGCCTGACAAGCCCACCTTTTGTGTTGAGATCTTCTCTCAGCTCTGGCTTCCCTTCCCACCTCTGCAGTGATCAAGGCCATGGGTAAGTACCTCCCTCTTTCTCCTCTGTGTAAAAACTTATCAGCATCCTCAATTTTTTTTTTGTCTCAAACAAGATCCCCAAGCCGACTCCTCCTACACTCAAACCCTTGCCATCTCCATGGGACCTTGCCAATTCAGTTGTCTCCCAGCACCCTAGCATATAGACAAAATATAGAATAAGATGGGGTTCAGCCCTCCAGGAACTCAGACTCGCAGAAGGCATGTACAAGACTACTGGTGTACAACCCAGGTAAATGCTAGAAAGTGGGTATGAATCCCCAGGTGGAGAGCCAGAATGTAACATAATGACTCCTGGGGGGGCGCGGGCAGAGGGGGTCAGGAGTGGGCACAAAGATCACGAGTGAGAAGCAGCCAACTCCATCCTGTAGCCCCTCATCTTATAGCTCAGGAGCCCCAGACGCAGCCAGCACCCATGACATACCCTGTCCCAGTGTTTACTTCAGGTGACACACTGGATTGTAGGGTTCCAACGCCTTTCTGTATAACCATCAGGAAGAACACAGAACTGTGCAGTGAGAAGACATGTAATCTGCAATGGTGACAATGACCGCATGAGGTTTGTTCAATAATTATTTTTATTAGGGTGTTATAAAGTTCTCTTTCCATCGTTTGGGTACCACTTGGAAAGGTGTCACAGGTCAGTAGGATGGCACACACACCGGGGAACACTGCTTCATAATCACCCAGTCTCTCCAGAGATGACCATACTGAGGTGTCACCGCTGCTGCCTGAGGCCACCAGACCAGAGGGTGGTCAGGTGGCTTGGGGTGCACAGACGTGTTAGGTCCCAGCTATGGGGCAGGGTGCTCATCAAGGGACTATATTCCAAAGGGAAGGAAATCGTTTGGGGAAATGAGTAGCTAGTTCTCACAAAATAAGGGAAAACTAGATTTCCCAAAAGGAAGAACTTGCCCAAATCTTCAGTTTCTTTCATGAAAATATTTTAAAAGTATATCAGAAAACTGATTAGTTAGAGGGGAAAAACCCCACAAGTTACGTGTGTATGTGTGGTCCTGGGGCAAACCCAGGGTCAACTGCTCTATCACTGAGCTCAGACCCCACACCTAAATTTAGTTTTAAAAGAAGTATTAGTATTCTTAAAAAAATTAAATGAGATGATAAAAATTATGTTGGCTGGGCGGTGAGCCTACTATGGTGTCACAGCTACTGGCACATGCCTTTAATCCCAACACTAGGGAGGCAGAGGCAGGCCAGCCTGGTTCCTAGACAGCCAGGACTGTTACTCAGAAAACCCTGTCTCAAGCCACCACTGTGTCCCGGCTACCCCCCCTCCCCCGCCCCAGTCATGTTGGCTGGTACAATTTTTAAACATTTCATAAAAGATAATCAGTGGCATAAAAGTAAGCTTTGATAGTAAATTTGTTTTAAAATAGATATAAACACAAAACACTTTTTTTTTCTTCTGAGATGGGTTCTCTCCCTGTAGCACAGGCTGACACTGAATTTGAAGTAATCCTCCTGGCTCATCCTCCTGAGTGCCTGGATTACAGGTGTGTGCCACCAAGCCCATCTCTTGGATGAATACTCTCTTGAAGATGAGATGTCTAAAGAGAACAGTTTTCTAACCCAGGGTATCTTTAGCAAGAAGAGCTAACGAGCCCCCCCCCCCGCCAGCTGCAATGGTCAAGAAGACTTTGTTCCAGCGGCCAAGTGGGAGTTTTTCACAGAAGGTCCAGGCACGGAACTCACCTGTGGCTTCATAAGCATCTCCTGACTTCACGGGAACCTTAGAAACCTGGGGAGCGGCAGTGCCCCCAGATTTCACTCATATATGTGGGTAGGGGGATACACAAAGGCACTGGGAATAAAACTGGGCCTTCAGGAGTTGCAGCCATAGTCACTGAGATCAGAAGCAAGAACTTTCCCCATGCCAGCCGGCTGCATGGCATCACTGGAGACAGGTGAGGCGTGGGCTTCCCTCCTCAGACTCCATCACAGCCCTGGCTCTGGTGAATGCACGCCCCTCTGTTGGACCTGCCCTCAGGGCTCCAGGGAACCTCTACCCAGCTCTTCCCCTGCTACAGTCTCCGGAGAAAGCCGAGCTTGAAGCTGCTGGGGATCTGGGTCATCTCCAGGGCGTGCGGTGAGGCGGTGAAAGGAAATGTGACTTGAAAAAGGTATTTGGCGTCCAGCATCAGCTGGGATGAGTCACCCCGGTTATTCAGAAGAGCCTGAGGTCAGAACCAAGGGGAGGAGTCAGGGAACAGGTGCATTCTGGTTCACCACTACTTAAGGTCAAGAGCTCTGCCTCCTGACAGAACTCAAGCAATCAGAGGAGACGGCAGCACCGGTGGTTGAACACACAACTCCAGGGAGACAAGGCTGTCGGGGCCTCCTGTGCAGCTAGCTCGCTCCCAGGAAGCCACCCAATGTTCCACTCCAAAACCCACTCCCCATAGGACAGCCTGACTGTAAATGTTTTTACCCATTTTAAAAAATTAAATTTATTCGTGTGTGTCTCTGTGTGTGTGTGTGTGTGTGTGTGTGTGTGTGTGTGTAGATCAGAGAACTTGTTAAAGTCTGTTCTCGCCTATAAAGGTTCTGGGAATCAAACTCAGGTTTTCAGTCTTGGCAGCAGCCCCTTTACCTGCTGAGCCACCTTGCTTGTATATTTTTCTTATGTATTTATGTACATATCAAGGTTTAACTCTAAGTTAAGACATGACTGGATCTCAAGTTTTATCAAGTTTTATGCTTTTATTGAATCCATTTACATATTTATTATTTGCAAAATTTTTGGTGCCAGAATTGCTTTCTACTCTTTAATTTATTACAAATTTCTGGGTGTGGTGGCACATGCCTTTACTCCCAGAACTCAGGAGGCCAAGGCAGGCAGATCTCTCAGTTTGAGGCCAGCTTGGTCTACAGAGTGAATTCTAGGACAGCCAGGACTACAAAAAGAAACCCTGTCGGGAAAAAAAAACCAAATATATTTTTAACAATTAAAAATTTGTATGTGAGCCGGGCGTTGGTGGCACACGCCTTTAATCCCAGCACTCGGGAGGCAGAGGCAGGCAGATCTCTGTGAGTCTGAGACCAGCCTGGTCTACAAGAGCTAGTTCCAAGACAGCCTCCAAAGCCACAGAGAAACTCTGTCTCAAACCCCTCCCCAAATTAGCATGTGTATATGTGTGTCTATGCATGTATGCCCCGTGTTTGCAGTGCCCACAGAGTCCAAAAGGGGAGATCATATCCCCTTGAGCTGGAGTTACAGGCAATTGTGAGACTCATGACACGGGTGCTGGGAACTGAACTTGTGTCCTTTGTAAGAGCGGCAAGTGCTGTTAGCTGCTGAGCCATCTCTAGCCTTACGTTACACTCTTAATAATTATGAAGACTCCAAAGAGCTTTTGTATATGTGGGCAAAACTAGTGCTATTTACCATATTAGCAATTAAAACAATATTTAAATATTAATACATTCATTAAACTGAACATAACATTTTTGTTGAAACAGTCAAATTTTCAGAACCAAAACCAAAACCTTTAAAAAGACAACACAGTGAGAGGCAGGCAGTTTTCTGTTCTGTGAACCTCTTAATGTCTGAGCTGATATGAGACGTGTGTTCGGCGCCTGCTTCTGTATTCAGTGTGCTGGCGAGAGCCTTGTGTGTGCTGCTGCCTGCTTCTGTGTTCAGTGTGCTGAGATAAATCGGTCTGGGTGAAGTGTGAGGAAACTCTGCCTCATACTGGCACAGTTCTGGCAAAAAGCCAGAGTTTTGCAGATTCCTGGAAGAGTCTAAAGGATCCCTGGGATCCTGTTCACTGGGAGAGAAACTTTGGGGATGGAAAAATGGGTCCGCAGGTCTGTTTCCACTGGGCTCTGTCCAGTTGCACTACCTCTCAAGACAAGCTGATGGGTGAGAGGGCTCTGTGGGTAAAGGCGCTTGCTGCCAAGCCCGACAACCTGAGTTCAATCCCAGGAACCCACAAGATGGCTGGAGATAACTGACTCCTGTAAGTTGTCCTTTGACCTCCATCCACACATTGTGGGATGCATGTACACACACACACACACACACACACACACACACACACACTAATTTTTTTTAAAGAGGAGCTAAAGGTCATGGCACTGGGGCCCTGGTTTATGTGTTTCCATTCCCTTCTCATCAGGACTGGACTGAGTGAAGACACCTGCTGTCTTTGAGCTGGTGTTCCACAAACTGGGGCAACCGTGCTTTCATCTTGGACTGCATCATTTTAATCAAATATACTTTAATCAAATATACACTCTTATAGAGTGTACGGGGCATCCATAAGGAGTAACATGGGCATCATAAGGATCTCACCTGTACTTTGCGAACAAAGGATGGAGCGACTCTTTTCTCGAAGTCGTCTATAGGTGTGTATGAATTAAGGATCTTTATGATCTGTGAACATTACAGAGCATGGGATCAGACCAAGAGAAAGAGCAAACAGTTCTGGACATTTAGGGACCTCCAAGAAACACAGGTGGTTCTTTTAGTCTATAATTAGTCTCTGGAGCCATGCATTGTCTATTCTCAAGAGAACCGAAGACAACCTGAGTATATTATAGAGGCAAACTGATCAACCACACAGTCAGTTGGCAGCAAGGGACTCTCGCATGCCAGTCTCCCAGCTCCCACTTGCTTAGTGCACAAACAAATTGCACATACATATTTATGCCTTGAAGCCTGCAATCAATATCCACCAAATAGTTACCAGACGCAGTGACTTAGGGTCAGGTGCACCACACAGTCAACTAAGCTGGGAAATGCCTCAGGACCTGGCCTTCGAGGTCCAGAGAGAAGCTAGACTAGCTTGCTCACCTGCACTGCAGACAGGGAGGTGCAGCATTCAGAGATCTCCTTGGCATCGCTGTCTGTGGTCTTCTTGACCTGGAGCAACCAGGCTGCCTGGGAGAGGGGCTCCAGAGTGTCCTTGGCTGAGCTGTTCTGCAAATTCTTATCTTTCAGCCATTCTTCTAAGTAGCTGATGTTGCACCTGGAAGAAAGCCAGAGGGCACTTCAGGAAAGAGTGTCAAATCCCTCAGTGTATCCAGAGGCTGGCCAGGCTCACTGCACGCTTATGAGCCAAATCCAGCTGTCTCCCTTTTAACAGAAGGAGATAACAGACTGGGAGATGGCTTTCCAGGTCACTACCATCATCTGTACGACATCTATGACGTGATGGGGCAGTGTCAAGAGCCCTACTTAACATGGTGATGCTGACTCTAAGCAGGTTGTGAAAACGCAAGTATGTATATTTTGATCCCCAGAGCAACCACTACAAAACAACATGATTAATACATTAGAAAGATAATAAAATGGTCTAGTGATGCCAAAAAGGCAGAAAAAGGAAATCAAGGAACAAAACCAAGGAGGGGCAGAAAGAAATAATACTATGGGGGCTGGAAAGATGGCTCAGGGGTCTGCTCTTGCCGACCATGCATGTCGGGAGTTCCCAGCATTCTGGGAGGCTTACAACAATAACTCCAACTCCAGAGGGATTATTGCCTCTGGCCTCTGTGGGCACTGTACTTGCATCCACATACCCCAGCATGGACACACACACATACAGATAAAAAAATTGTAAGGAAGAAAAATAACATGGCAGCTAGAACTAAATATATTGTGAATTACATTAAATTAAAATGATCTAAATTCCTCAATTAAGAAGCACACATGGCTAGACTGGATTAAAAAGAAACATGGCCCAGGCTGGAGAAAGCTCAGCAGTTTAGAGTGATCACTGCCCTAACAATCTGTCTAGTTCCCAGCGTCCGCACCAGGCAGCTCCCAACTGCCTGTAACTCCAGCTCTAGAGCAACGGTTCTCACCACCCTTTAATGCAGTTCCTCGTGTTATTTTGTAACTATAGTTTTGCTACGGTTATGAATTGTAATGTAAATATCTGATATACAGGACATTGATATGAGGCTCTGGTCGTCATACCTGTTGAGAACCGCTGCTCTAGAGGAATCTGGTGCCGTCTTCTGGCCTATGTGGGTACTGCATCATATGTACATAACCACCCACTCCACCATACATACAATTTAAAAACCAAGTCTTACAAACACCAACACACTTGTGTGTGCTATCTATAAGAAACTCACCTCAAATACGAAGTAGGCATGTTAAAAGTAAACGGATAGAAAAAGATATGTTATGAAAATACTAATCAAATAAATCTGGAGTGACTACAGTCATTTTGAAGACTTCAGAGAAGAGAAAATTACCAGGAAGGGACAAGTAGGACATTACATAACGACAAGACAGTTCATCTGAGCTCTAATGTTGTGATCTATCCCCTTAGTCTCTGGGAAGCATCATTCTAATTCCTATTTCTAAGTGCTTAACCAACGAAGTGCGATCTATGGCGGCAACGGAACTAAACTAGAAACAACAGGAAGGTGTGCACAAGGGTTTTGTGGTGCCCGGAAGGAACCTGGAGCTTTGTATATTCCAGGCAAGCACTCTGCTAGCTCAGCCACACCCCCAGCCCCTCTGCCTTGTCTTTCAGTAGAAAACCGCTCAGCTTCCGGGCCATCTGCTCATATGTGAAGCGCTAAGAGCTTGCTTCTTTTCTCAACGAAGAACAACAGCTCTGCAAAGGCCGGTCCCTTTGAGAAACTCTTTGCATCTAAAAACTACAAAATGGTGCCATGGGAATGTGTCCAGGTTGTTTATGGGAAGTCCAGCTAGTCTTTGCAAGCTACTTTTCAGCATAAGAGACTTTGTCCCCTCCCTCAAACCACAGCGCACACCTATGGCCACCTCCCCGTCCCTCATAGCACACACAGATGTCAGTTGCCTGAACATACACACGTATCTTGAACATCTCTCCTATGCTATTGTTTCCTAATCACAGGTTCCATGGCTCCTCAATTTAGGATAGGGTCTACGGTCCTTAAACATGTGTGTTGTCTTCAGGATGAACCCCAAATGCTTTCACTGCATTCTGGATGCTCCTTGTCCAGATCCAACACACCCCTCTATGGCAGCCCTGCTGGGTCCTGTCAGACAGACTGCTGCTGCTTACTCCAGGCAGCGCTGGAGACGGACTACTCCTTTGCCTTCATCCATCTCCTGCTTGGAATGTTCTTCTTCCTCTGTCACCCAATCCTCTTCTCTCTGGTTTCCTCAGTATCTGTTCTCAGTCTCGTTTGTCCCTAGGCATCCCCACACCTCCTGCTTGTGACTAAATGATTGGCATCTTAGACTACTACTTAGCATTTTGAGCCTGCCACACTGGGTTGGGTTCTCTACCCCCTGAGCAGGTGATAAATACTGGTTAAATGTATGATAACCTTGGAAAATCAGAATCTACAATAAACAAATGCTGTTCTCATAGGTCAGAGCATCAAGTTGGCCTCAGAGGTTAGGGGGACGCTGTGGAGCCACCAATAAGCCAACACCCAGGAGGCTGGGGGGGCGGGGGACAGCAGTGAGGGTCCAGCACCAATGACCTGGCCTTTGGGAGTGGCCTCTCTGGGAGGCAGGAGTTTGGGGTGTGGGTTACCTGATCTGCATCCCCTTCCTGCAGGAGCACATGTCCTTCCGCAGGAGGAGGCTGTTGAGGGTCACCGCCCCGATGAGGTAGAACAGCTGCTTCACCACCTGCCTCACGAGCTCGGGGTCCAGGCCGTTCTGACACATGGTGCTGTAGAAGTAGCTCAGCTGCTGCAGCACAGATGTCATGGTGTAGGCATCTGTGTCATCAATGCTGGATGAGCGCTTCCGGAAACCAGTGGGCTTCAGGCCGGAAATGCCCTGCAGACTCTCGTACTCCAGCATGCCTGGCACTGCCAGAAGGGTGGGAGGTTCTTTACACAGGGGCCACGTTAGGGAGCACATCCCTTAACCTCATTATCTTTTTTTTTTTAATAGTCGATGGATACAGCTGTGGTGGAGCACAGTGGTTAATCTTGCTTGTCAGTTCAATGGGATTTAGAACCTCCTAGGAGGCAAACTTCTGGGCCTGACTGTGAGGGACTTTGTAGAATTAGGTAAACGGAGGTGCGAAAACCTACCCTAAGTGTAGCCCATGGCATTCATGCACTGGAGTCCTGGACCAAATAAAAGGGAGAAAGGCATCTGGGGACCTGTGATCGTCTCTTTGCTTCCTCACTGTGGAGGCAATCTATGACCAGTTGTCTCATAGTCCTGCCTGTGGCCATCTTTGCCTTGGTGGACTGCATTCCCTTAAACTCTGAGCCAAAATAAACTCGTCTTCATGTTGCTTTTGGCATACAAACAGGCAAAAGTACTAATCCTTAAAAAAAAAAAGGGCTGAGCATACCGGGTGCCAGGGCATGGACCATGGCTCACGGAGGGGCAGGAGCACCTCCTGGAGGCTTGAGATGGGAAAGAGATCCATAAGCAGCACAGAGTCTGGAATCATTAAAGCCTGAGGTGTTTAAGTTTCAGAGAGCGGAGTAAAGTATACACAAATGTGAATGGGAGTTGAGGGTTTCAGTAATACTCGGTACAGCCACACAAGAGTCCAAAGTAGCACATAAAATAGTGTAAGCTCTTCATAAAATTTCCCTCAGGAAAAGGCATCCTTACCCAAAGAAATGCTCAACTGTGTGCTATTATATATGGAGTCCCTTTAAGCAAGCTAAGAGTTAAAAGATGATTATGTGTTCCTAGTTTTTTTTGTTTTGTTTTGTTTTTTGTTTTTACGAGACAGGGTTTCTCTGTATTGTTTCGGAGGCTGTCGGTCCAGCCCGGCCTCAAACTCACAGAGATCCACCTGCCTCTGCCTCCCGAGTGCTTGCTGGGATTAAAGGCATGCGCCACCACCGCTCGGCGTGTTCCTAGTTTTTAAGCTATGTTATTCATAATCACATATACCACATACAAAGTTTCTATTTTAAAACGTCTCTTGGGCTGGGATTGTAACTCAGTTGGTAGAATGTTTGCCTAGTATGCATGAAGCCTTGGTTTGATTCTCGGCACTAAGCAAAACCAGGCATGGTGGCACATACCTGCAATCCCAGCCAGCACTCAGGAGCTACAGCCTTGGCTATCGTTACATATCAAGTTCAAGGCCAGCCTGGGCTACAGGAGACTCTGTCTCTGGGCTGCTCACTCTCTTCTTACCTATTATTGGCTGGATGCTGTTTTCCATCACAACGATGAACTGGTGATAAATCCGAATAGCCACATCACTCAGAATCTGTCTGTATTCTGTAAGATCAAAATTGTTCAAGCAGTTCTTATTCTGCTGTGGGCTGTTATACTTCATGAATTCCTGAAAGCAATTTGAGCATGGGCATGAGAGTGCTGTAGACAGGAAGGGAACTGAAACGCTGTCCATACTAAGGGTGTTATGACCAGTACCTAGGGCAATTTTACAGCTTAAAACTTAATGTCTGCTTCTAAGTGAGTCCTCCAAGTCTACTTCATATGACAAAAACAGCGATTTATTGTACACTCTCAGTCAGTCACAGCTGTAACCACAGCCGTGCCCCTCAAAGGGAGAGGGCCAGAGGAAGACACTCAGTGTCCTGCTCCGGCCTCTGCACGTGGAGTTACAACACCCCAAAGCCACTTTGTTGTTCTAGTTCAATGAAAATTGCCCCAGTGAGGCTTGAAGAACACCTTCATGATGTCACTTCCTGGAAGGAGAGTTGGGGTGCAGAGGTCATCTACTTATGGAACATGGGAGAATACCAGAGAGTGTCCTCTAGAGGGAACAGTTAGAAAATGTAACAGAGGTTACATTTTGGGTCACCACACTGAAATCCACAAAACATTTCTATCAGGAGGAAACAAGACCATGGCATCTTCTATTGATTCCAAAGCTGAGGAAACCTCAGCTTCACACCAAACCCAAGGTGTGAACTCCTTAGAGTAACACCCAGGCGCATGACAGGTGATAGTGATACAGAAACTGGTCTCCCTGGTGAAGAGGAGGCAGACAAGCTAGCTGGCGTAGAGCCTGCGTGGAGCTGGGGGTTACTAATGACTGCCTCCGTGATCCAGGCGGTGAGGTGGTCCTAGGATGCCATCAGCAGGACAGGCATAAGTCCCTACCTCTTCCCCACTGTACTGCTTCAGGCAGTTGAGGAAATGACAAGTGTTGGACAGCCAGAAGGACAGCATCTCCAAATCTTCAAAATGTTCCTTAGAAAAGAGAAGACAATGTTGGGTGGGCATGGCGGCACACACCTTTAATCCCACACTTGGGAGGCAGAGGCTGGTAGATCTCCAAGTCTGAGGCCAGCCTGGGCTACACAGTGAAGCCCTGTCTCAAAAAATAAACAACAATCATTAAAAACGAGCTTAGCGGTAACTTCTGTGTGCCACACACATTTGGGTCTACCCACAGAGTGGACAACCATGTCCAGCTTTCCGTCATTCTGATGAACACAGCTGGGGAGGGGTATGCAGGAGGTTGAGCAGAGGCTGGGGCGGCATGCAGCCGTGAGGAGCAGAGCCACCCTCCAACCTGGAGGAGTCATTTCGAGAGGGTTAGGAGCACAGGAAGGCTCTCTATCTTCTTCAGCACACTGCACAGGAACGGGGGAGGGGTGGAGCGGGAGGGGTCTCAGCTACGGTATTTTAACCTTACAAAGTCACCAACCTAATGAACACCTGGTTCTTCTTTTCTAGACCAGAAAAAACAGCAGTAATAGGTTTCGATTTAGAATTTTGTTTTGCGTACATGGGTGTTTTGTTTGCATGTATGTCTATGCACCGTGTGTGCACAGTGTCCATGGAGCTCAAAAGAGGGCACTGGATACCCTGGAGCTGCAGTTATGGATGGCTGTGAGCTGCCATGTGGGCTCTGGGGATCAAACCTAGAGTGGCCAATGCTTTTAACCACTGAGCCATCTCTCCAGTCCCAATAATAATGCTTTACAAGGGAGAATCATATACTTGTGGATGGAAGAGAAGAATAATCTGTTTCCCATTCCCCTTATGCTACACTGATGGAGCACAGATTCCTCACACATGGGGGGTGGAGGGATGAGGCTGGTGACTGCCAGGCTGCCCCCTCTCCATGAATCTTTGAGGTTCCCTAGCGAAGCCTCGCTCATTTGTCTTTCCTTAGTAGCTTTGCTTCTCTGGGGGAAAGGTCAGAAGTCAAAGGTGGACAAAGAGTGGGTGTCTGGTCATTTCCCAGAGCCCTTTCCAAATCAGACACCTTGCCAAGGGCCGACATCAACGGCGACTCCTACCTTAACCACGTGCTTGATGCCGTTGATGGCACTGTTCATGAGGGACTTGAGCATGTTGGCATCGTTTAGGGAGTCTGCATACCGCACACACATGAACAGGATGTGAGCTGGCAGCCCGGGGATCATGTTTACCACCACACCTCGGGGCTTCAGGTCTGTAGCAGAAAGAGACCCCCTCTCAGCTGCTGGTGAGCTCTCGTCCTATGACAGCTGGTGGGAGAGGGTGGGATCCCCACCCTGGCCTTCCTGTCCTTGGCTAGAGCACGAGAACACAGTGTCTCTTCCCTCTGAGAAACTCAATCTGGGTTCTTACTTAGACAAAGTGCACAGGGAGGGGCATGGCTTGCCTTACATCTCATTTGTAAAGTGCTTTCTCTGTTAAGAGGCCAGATAGGAGAAAGAAGTTGTAATTGTCCCTAGTGAGGAGTTCTAGACATTGGCTCCGCAGTATAAGAAAGGAACCCAGGCCCTAGGTACCTCACTCCAATCTCGTTGGTAAAGATGGGGCCAAATCTCAAGCCACAGGAAGCTGTTTTCAACAGAAACACCAGTGGCCAGCAGTGCTGCAGGAGACAAGCTAGTCTCAGGATAAGAGATGTCAGAGCGGGGCTGGAGAGACGGCTCAGCGGTTAAGGGCACTGGCTGCTCTTCCAGAGGACCCCATTCAGTTCCTAGCATCCACGTGGTGGCTCACAACTATTTGTTAACTCCAGTTCCACAGAGTTAAAGAGACCACAGAGAAGAGGTCCCTTTGTGTTGACACAGGTAGGACTGTGTTAGGGTTTGAATCTGAGATGTCCTTTAGAAGCTTATGCTTCGAACACTTGTTTCCCAACTAGTGGTGCTGCCTGGGGAGGCTGGTACCCAGCTGGTGAAATTAGGTCACTGAGGATGGCCTTCAAAGAAGGCCCCTGATGATCCCTGCTGTTGTTTCTAGCTGCTGTGATGCGAACAGGTTTTACCACACACTCTTAACACCGTGAACCTAGCAGGGCTACCAAAATAAATCTTTCTTCCAGTTGTTTCCACCAGACATTTTGTTAACAGTGATTGAAAAGTAACCAACAGCCCCATGTTCTTGCTCTCTGTGTGTGTGTGTGTGTGTGTGTGTGTGTGTGTGTGTGCTGTCATTGCAAAGCAGAGGAATCGAGGCAGCATCTTTCTCTCTTTAAAGGTCTTAGGGAGGATGGAGCAATGGCGTTGTAGCCAAGAGCACACTTCTTTTGCAGAGGACCAGAGTTTAACTTGCAGCACACACACTTGGCAGCCAACAACTCCCTGTAACTCCAGCTCTGGGGTGGGGAGGGGTGCTCTCTTTTGGCCTCTAGGGGTATGCATGTGCCTGTGCGCTTACACAAACATACACACAAGTGAATTGATTTTTTCCCTAAAGGTGTTGGAACCAACTATCTGGAAGGCAGTTTTCTCTTTCCCTTGGAAGAGTCATGGTGAAGACAGTGTAGTAGTATTGGTTCTGAGACCCTAACATCCGAGGAAGCTCTTTAGGACATTTCCGTGTCTAGGGTATGACTGGGAAACCCATTTGATGGCTGCAAATGGACTTCTCAGCAGAAGTCAAAGAGAGCACAGGGCCATGGTGACCTCCAGCACTGCGTTTCTGCTGAGAAACAAGGATGATGAAATGTACCTTAGATTTTTCCCCCTTCTTTCTAGTGCTGATGCTCAAACTCAGGCCTTGTGCATGCTAAGTGAGTGCTCACCACTGAACTACATTCCTAGCCACTGGTTCTGTACGATGGTCTCATACAGTAGTTCAGCCTCTCTGTCCCTGAGTGCTTACAGGTGTGCCCCACCACGCCAGGACCAGGAGCTGTGTCTTCCATCCAGACCCTAGGATTGATTAGACTTGGGGGAAGGTTGGGACAGTGGTTCTCAGCTGAGGACTGTTTGGGTTCCCCCAAAGGACAGTGTCTGTGAACCCTGGGGCTTGACACCAGCTTCCAGTGTAGGCAGAAGCAAGTGCTACGGTACTGTGGTTTCTAGTGCACAGCCCCTTCCCTCCAAGAATCACCTGGCCAGCGCTGAAGTTGGGAAGCTTCAAGCTAGGGAAGAAACCATGAAGGGAGAGAGAGAGAGAGAGAGAGAGAGAGAGAGAGAGAGAGAGAGAGAGAGAGAGAGAGAGAGAGAGAGAGAACTGCCCCTGCCCAGAACTTTGGAACTGACTGATATTCAAGTTCTCAAAGAGAAATCATAACCCAGAGATTCTTGATTACCAAGAATTAGGTTCTGAATGATCTTGGCCTCGTCTTCTTTCTTGTACTCCAGCATTCCGAGGTACTCTTTGGGTCCTGAGGGCAGGTGTACATCGTTGGCTGCAGACAAAGGCGGACCATCAGCTACATACGCAGAAGCCACACTCCCGTTTCATAGTGAGGATACTGTCCGAGTCTACCCTGCTTGTGAACTACTGTGCTTGCAACTATGTTAGGGCTGTTGGATGCTTTGGATTTCTCCCTACAGCGATTTCTGTCTGTGAGTATGGCCCCTGCTGAAAAGGCCAAGATGTCTTTGAATGAATCCTAGAGAGTGCTTCATGCATCTTCAGTATGGTGGGGAGGGAGAGAAACCCAAGACCCTGCCCTGACGTTATCTACAGGGAAGGGTGCAAGACTCAGGGAACAAAGTGCTGAGACACACGTCTTGACCACAGAGGTGGGGCTGCCAGTCTCCCATGGTTCCTGTGATAGGTCACCACAAACTTAGTGGTGTTAATGTTAGGTTGCTAAGTTTGGGGTAATGTGCTACATAATAATGAATAACTGATCCAGGCAGAAACAAGTTCTGATTTAAATGTGTTGAGTTGAAAGGAAGAAGTCAAGGAGACAAAAATGGATCTGGGGCTCAGGAAAAGAAGTGAAGATTAGATATGGATTTTGTAGGCATTATATAGAGAATTGAGCACATTATTGTGTTCATCTACCCCTTTTGTTCATCTATCCATCATCCACCCTCCACTGATATATCCATCCACCTATCATCCAGCTGTCATCTACCCATTCACTCGTCATCCATCCATTCATCTGCCATCTGTCTGTTCATACATCATCCATCCATCATCTGTCCATGCATCTGTCCATCATCCATCCATCCATCATCTGTCCATGCATCTGTCCATCATCCATCCATCCATCATCTATCCATACACCTATCCATCATCCATCTATCCATTCTCTATCCATGTATCTATCCATCATCCATCCATCCATCCATCCTCTATCCCTGCATCTGTCCATCCATCATCTATCCATGCATCCATCATCTATCCATACATCTATCCATGCATCCATGCATCCATCCATGCATCCATCCATCATCTATTCATCCATCCATCATCTATCCATGCATCCATCATCTATCATCTATCCATGCATCCATGCATCCATCCATGCATCCATCCATCATCTATTCATCCATCCATCATCTATCCATCCATCCATCCATCCATCATCTATCCATACATCTATCCATCATCCATCCATCCACCCATACATCCTCTATCCCTGCATCTGTCCATCCACCAATTCTAATAGTGGACATAGAGGATAGGACATCTAAATTGCCTCTTGCTCCTATGAGGCAGATTGGCATATAACATCTATTACTGGCCAGGTGCACACCTTAAGTCCCAGCACTTGGGAGGCACTGGCAGGTGGACTTATGAGTTCAAGACTAGCCTAGTCTACATAGAGAGTTCCCAGACAGCCAGTACTACACAGAGAAACCCTGTCTTGAAAACAAAACATCTATTACTGAAGAGGAAAGAGCCTCAGTTCAGCTGACGATATTTTAAAATGTAAGATGAAAGTGAAGTACCTAAGAAAAAAGGAGGTCTTCAAAGGAATGAGCACAGAAAAAGAAGAGATGGCTGCACATACAGCCTGTGAAAACAGATGGGGCAGACAGGAGCATAAGAAGTAGAGCAGAAGACTGGCATGGACACGACTCCAAAGCAGAGGGAAGAAAGGTGCTGACTCCTCTTGGGCCTCATGGGGACAGCTACACATGCCATTCAGCTGAGGCCAGGATGTCACGTCTGTCTTCTTCTTCTCTACTTCTCTCCACTAACAGAAAGTGCGATACTCACTGATCCAGGACCTGTGTGTGAGAGGCAGCCTTCAAAATGATTAATTGGATCATTTTGAAAATGAGGAGCTAACAGAGGAAGGGGGTAACGTATTTGTTTTAGGGTCACTGGAAACAACATAGTGTCCTTGCTGTCTGGTGCAATGAGCTTCTTTATACCTTGAGGGATGTTTAGCATACCCCTCGGCCCTAAGCCTGGCCAGCTGAGCACCATTCCTTTGGGCTCTGAGTCCTTTGGACACGGTACTGGTCACAGGATTCAAAACACAGTGCTCAAAATCTCAAAAGAATAAGGATAGACCCCCCTCCTACCTTTTTCAATTGTCTTGGTCAAGGTCTTGACTTGATCCTGTAGCTTTTTAATCACTCTGTCCTTCAGGTCCAATTCTTCCTCAAGATCCTTCAGGAACCCAGAGAAACAAGGACTTTTCTCAGAAATGGCTCCTTTGGCTTTGATTTTGTTAATGGCTTTATGGATCTATATTTCACACACTGTAAAATTCACTCTCACACATGATTTGCACAGCAGCTGCTTTCTGTGTTACCCAGTTCCAGATATTTTCAATGCTCCCCTCATGAACACTACATCTGGGCTGGCTCAGAGGGCCAAGGGACTTGCCTCCAAGCTTGATGTTTTGAGTTCAATTCCCAATACCACACGGTGGGTCCTGTATCTCTCTCTCTCTCTCTCTCTCTCTCTCTCTCTCTCTCTCTCTCTCTCTCTCTCTCTCTCTCTCTCTCTCTGTCTCTCTCTCTCTCTCACACACACACACTGTTCTAGCTAGTTTAGGTTTTTGCTAACGTAACATGAGCTAGGATCACTGGGAGGTGAGAACTTCAGTTCAGAAAATGGCCCCACCAGATTGGCTTGTGGGGAATTCTCTTATTTTCCTGATTAATGATTGATGTGGGAGGACCCACCCCATTGTGGGTGGTACCACCCCTGGGCAGATGGTCCTGGGTGATAGAAGGAAGCAGGCTGAGCAAACCATGAGCAATAAGGCAGTAAGTAATGCTTCTCCCTGGCCTCTGCTTCAGTTTCTGCCTTGAGTTCCTGCTCTGACTTCCCTCCATGGTGGACTGTGATGTGTAACCATAGGCTGAAATAAACCCTTTCTATCCCCCATGTTGCTTTTGGCCATGTTGTTTTATCGCACCAATAGAAACCTTAAATAAGACACATAGGAGTGTAATTAAAAAACTTTAAAATACTGTACCTTTAGCTTTCACTCTCTAGTCTATTTCTGGAGTTGCCAATTTACTGTAGGTGTGGGTCTGCCTAGTCTAGATATTCTGCTGCACAGAAATTACACAAGAAATGGGTTCTTTGGATGTCAGAAGAGGGCGCCAGAGAGACTGTTCTGAGGTTTGGGCACAGCTTTCCCTTTCCTTCTGGGCTGACTTTGGCTTCGACACTAGGAGGGTCCCAGGTACCCAGAGGCATCTGTCATAAAAGGCAGAGAGTGTTCCAGTCCTTCTGAAAGTGACTACCTGTTATTTTTTCCCTTTTCTTTATGAGTGGGTCTCGTGTACAGCAGGCTGTTCTCACACTTCCTTCAAGGATGACCTTTAACCTCTGGTTCTCCTTCCTCTCTACCTTGAGCGCTGGTGTTACAGACACTCACCACCATGTCTGGACTGTGCAGTGCTATAGACGGCAAGCACTCTACGGCCGAGTTTAATCACCACGCAACCGCTGGTCTTTAGGTAAGGACCCAGAGTGCCCTGACAGAAGGCCTTTTGAAAAGTCTACACACTTCCCTGCTCAGCAACACCGCGGCAGGCGCAGGAGCCAATCATCTCCACTCCTCACCCTGTTCTCCAAAGACAGCCGAGAGGCCTCTTGCTGGAGAACACGACTGACTTCCCCTTCAGCTTCTGACTGCTCCTTCAGGAACTCGCCGGCCTCCTGCAGTTCTTGGATCGGCCTCTCTTTCCCTTCAGCTTCCATCGCCCTGAGGAAGGGACAAGATGCTCTCTGGGCACCCATGTGACCACCCTAGTGTTGTTGGGAGAGCTCTGGCCAGTTCCCACCAGAAGGCTTACTTGGCCTGTATTCCTTCCTCTTCTCGGGCTCGATTTAGGTGACCTGATGACTCTTCCAGCCTTCCTGTCATGAGAAACCTGTCAGTGCTGTGATCAGCCATGTCACTGAGTTCTAATTTGGGGTTGCCATTATTTTCCCAGATCTAAGGCTCTCATCCATATCCAGAGATTAGGTTTATTTGGTCTGGAACAAGGTTTAGGGTTTTGTGTTTGTTTGTTTTGTAAAGCATTATTTAAGAATGACATTTTATATGAACATCTACATTTCTGGATTCTCTTTAAAATAGTAGCCAGGCAGTGGTGGCACACACCTTTAATCCCAGCAGAGGCAGGCAGATCTCTGTGAATCCAAGGCCAGCCTGGTCTACAGAGAGAGTTCCAAGACAGGCTCCAGAGCTACAGGAGAAACCCTGTCTTGAACCCTCCCCACAAAAAAAGTAGTAATAGTAGCACCAGGGCCTACATTTCACTGTGTCAGACACCCATGGAACTCAAAGGAAGCTGCCCCTCTAACACTGCACCCATTCTTGCCCTCCACACAGTTCATCCCTGCGTTACCTGCCTGGCCCTGGAGACCACAGCTTAACACCCGCAATGCCCTGGCTTCCTATGCATTTCCTAGATGCTGGAGTGTCTAAGAGTAGGCCTAGGATGATTCAGTTACCTTCCATCTTCTCTGTCTGCTCTTTCAGGCGGGACTCAAGGTCCTGCTTCTGCCTCTCCAGCTCTGCAATCTGCTGCTTGAAGTCTGGAATCATCTTCAGAGAAGAGTAATAACTATTAGGATATCCAGTACTTGTGTCTGGACTTTACACTCTCCAAAATGAACACTCGCCCGCCTCCTGGTTCAGCTTGTGGGATACACAGCTGTGGTTTGATGACATTATATCGCCTCCCCCTTCATCTGAAGACCTATACAGTGGTCTCCAAAAATCCCAGCATGCTCAGAGATAGCAGTTCTCAAGTGGCTATCCTGGGAAGGGAAGAGGTGCACCGTGGGAAGGGAAAGGAAGGAAGGGAAAGCTGCCCTGTGTTGACCTGCGCCCATGCCTAGCGATGTCATCTCACGGAACAGGACACACTGTCTCAGGCCATTCTGCAGCTGGAACTGTCCAGGACTCTCCGTAAGCCCTGCCCCTTGGCTGTGCATCCCTTCACCCGCAGCCAGGTAAAACAGTTTTCCTGTTCTCTAAGCCCAGGCCTCGGAAGCCCAAAGCAAGAGTACCTCTTAGCGGGTCTCACTGTCAGTGCCTCATTAAAGTTTATCCTGGGGATACACAAGCCTACGAAGACCCCTAACAGCTCCTGTATGCTCCCTAAGAGTCCCAAGTTACAGTCTGGCCAGAGAAGGAGGAAAGAAGCGAGGAAGCAGCAGCTAGTGAGGTGTGAGGAGCCTCAGGGGTGTGTTCCAGAGGCAGGGGAGCAGCCAGCATCGACACGAGTTGCTGAGGGGCACATGACATCGTGGGGTGACTGCAGAGGAAATGAAGGATGTGTGGGTGAAGGGCGGTTAATGAGCTTTGAGAAGACCCGTCAACTCACAAAGAAAGGGGATGGCGACTGAAGGGTGAGAAAGTGTGTGTGTGTGTGTGTGTGTGTGTGTGTGTGTGTAAGGGGATGGCGACTGAAGGGTGAGAAAGTGTGTGTGTGTGTGTAAGGGGATGGCGACTGAAGGGTGAGAAAGTGTGTGTGTGTGTGTGTGTAAGGGGATGGTGACTGAAGGGTGAGAAAGTGTGTGTGTGTGTGTAAGGGGATGGCGACTGAAGGGTGAGAAAGTGTGTGTGTGTGTGTGTAAGGGGATGGCGACTGAAGGGTGAGAAAGTGTGTGTGTGTGTGTGTAAGGGGATGGCGACTGAAGGGTGAGAAAGTGTGTGTGTGTGTGTGTAAGGGGATGGCGACTGAAGGGTGAGAAAGTGTGTGTGTGTGTGTAAGGGGATGGCGACTGAAGGGTGAGAAAGTGTGTGTGTGTCTTGAAAGTAGTGTCTATATGTATGTGTGTATCTTAAAAGCACTATGTGTGTCTGTGCATATGTATCTCGAAAGCATTGTGTGTGTTTGTGTGTGTAGTGTGTGTGTATCTTTAAAGCATTGTCTGTCTGTGTGTGTGTATATCTTGAAAGTATTGTGTGTATATGTATGTGTGTTTGTGTGTATCTTAAAAGCACTATGTGTGGAGGGAACTGGGATTGATATGTAAAACAAGATTGTTTCTAATTTAAATTTAAAAAATCAGTGATCCAAAAAAAAAGCACTATGTATGTCTGTGTGTATGTATGTTGAAGGCATTGTCTATGAATGAGAGTATGTGTGTGTGAGTGTGAGTGTGTGTCTGTGTGTGTATATCTTAAAAGTGTTGTGTGTATATGTATGTATATGTGTGTATCTTAAAAACACTATGTGTGTCTGTGTGTATGTATCTTGAAAGCACTGTGTGTGTGTGTGTGTGTGTGTGTGTGTGTGTGTGTCCATAGGTCTGTGGCAAGGCCTACCATGTTTTCTGATGTCAGCCTGGTGACTTCGTGACGGATGCTTTCATTGATGCCCGTCTCTTCTCTGAACAGTTTCTGTAGGTGGTTGATTTCTTGGCTCAGGTGCACTACTTTGAAGTTCAGACCTTCAATCTCTTTTTCGTAGCCATCCTTCTGAGACTGGAAATGGCTCTCCAGAACACTGTTAAGGGAAGGGGAGAGGAATGAGCCTCTCCCCTGTTGCTGGGCTGACCACAGAGGGGTCCTCATGCAGTAGCTGAGAAACCCAGGGTGAGCATTTCACCCTCGGGACTAAAGCTGACAATGCAATCACAGAGGTTGGGGGAGGGAAATAGGAAAAGTAATCAAAGGATCCTGACGGCTGTCATAAAACAGTGTGTGGTTAACATGCAGTTAATGACAAAGACATTCCATTTTAGAGGTAGCTCAGTTATGGTTTTACAGTTAATAGTTTAAAACCTCTGCTCTGCATGATACAGTTGTAATGATGTGTCCTATACACCTGTGAGAACTCCCTGAGTGTACAAGATGAGTCCTTAATGTGAGTCTTTGGGGGGGGTGACGATGACACCCTGTTGTCACCACACACTGTCATATGAGCCAGTGGCAGGCAGTGAGGAGGCTGCTCATTCTCTCTCTCTCTCTCTCTCTCTCTCTCTCTCTCTCTCTCTCTCTCTCTCTCTCTCTCTCTCTCTCTCTCTCTCTCCCTCAGGTCTTACTATGTAGTTCTGTTTATACTGGAACTCCAATCTAGACCAGACTGTCCTTGAACTCAAAGAGATCCAACTACCTCTGCCTCCTTAATGCTGAGATTAAAGGCATGTGCCATCATGCCTAGTGAGAAGTCTATTTTCAACTCAGTTTGATGTGGACCCAAAACTTATATAAGACAACAAAGTTTATATAAAGAATTGTAGAAGCATCTTCAGTTCAATCATACTACAGTAGTTGCTTATATAATATAACTATGTTTTGCTTTCCCTTTAAAATATTTATGCATTTTATATATGTGTTTGCCTGCATGTTTGTATGCATGTATGCCATGTGTGTTCATTGACTGTGGAGGGCAGAAGAGGCTTGAGTTATAGATGGCTGTGAGCTGCCATGTGAGTGCTGGGAATCTAATGGACTTTGGTCCTTTGCAAGAGAGTCAGTGTTCTTAACTTCTGAGCCATCTCTCCAGTACAGATTTTGTTTCTTTTTGAGATAGGATCTCTAGCTCAGGCTAGCCCCAAACTTCTTCGGCAGTTAATGATGACATTGGATTTCCTCATCTTCTTGGTTTCCAATTGCTGGGGTTACAGGTGAGCCCCATCACATCCCACTTACTCAACACAAGGGATGGGAACCAGAGTTTTATGCATGCAAAGTAAACGCTCTACTAACTGAGCTACATCCCCAGCCCTGTAACCAGTTTTTAACAAACAGATTATAGGTTTTATCACTTGGTCTCCTTACTAGCCAAATGGTTGAGTTCTTAGAGAAATCTTTCTAGGGGGGTTATTAGATAATTTTACCCTAAGAATTTACTTCACATGTCAAATCTAGGTAAGATGAACTTTCCAACATTGTATTGTCTCTGAAAACAAACAAACAAAAAACCTAAAAACAGAACCCCAAGGGTTCATCTAACCGAGTTGCTTTCTTTAGTCCTTCGTAGGCAAACCAAAGTTCTCCATCTTCATTTAAGTGTTCCAGATCTTCCACAGAGAGCCTGGGAATAAAACAAAGAAGGCACAAAAGTCTAGCCTTGCTCATGTTTCACATGGTCCGTGTGTGTTATTCCTACAGTACTGTGCATCTTGCTTGTTAAAACATTTTGTGTGTATGTGTGTGCATGTGTATGTATGTGTGTGTGTGCATGCTTGAGATCATGTACACGCCATGCATGCGCGAGCGTGTGTGTGTGTGTGTGTGTGTGTGTGTGTGTGTGTGTGTTCAAGTGTGGATGCGTGCTGGTGGAGACTTGAAGAGGGCATCATATCCCCCATTGGCACTGGAGCTACAGGTGGTTGTGTGTCATCTGACATGGGTGCTAGGAACTGATCCCTGGTCCCCTGCAGGAGCAGAAGGTGCCCTTAACCACTGAACCATCTGTCCCTCCAACTTCCAACACATTTTTTTGATGCAAGATTTTTCACTAGCCTGGAGCTCATGGATTAGACTTACCTGGTCAGGATCCATCTGTCTCAACTACCCAGTGGTTCGTCACAAGCATGTTACGCCATGCTTAGCTTTTTTGTTTTTTTAAAGGAAAGCATAGGTTCTAGGGATCAAACTCACATGCTAACACTTTGCTGAGCCTACCTCCCAGCCTGTTTTCTGTCTGTAAATGTCTGATAATATAAAATTGATTACCTGCTTCTAACATCTTCAATGTCATAGCTCTCCAGAAGCTGTTTGGTGACCTCTGACATCCGTTCTGGAAGGAATGGGAGAGCAGCAGAAACCAAATTGGAACATGACTTTCTTTCTCATGGTCTTTCCAGAGTGATTTCCTACAGCTGAATAACCAAACATCTGGCTACCGACCCACTAACTGCCCTCTCGGGTATCCAGCTAGCAAGCTGTTCAGACTACCCACTCGGCAGCCCATGCCCCGGTACCTCTCACTACCCACTCGGCAGCCCGTGCCCCGGCACCGCTCACTACCCACTCGACAGCCCGTGCCCCGGTGCCTCTCACTACCCACTCGGCAGCCCGTGCCCCGGTGCCTCTCACTACCCACTCGGCAGCCCGTGCCCCGGTACCTCTCATCTCCCGTTTCTGTGACTGCACGTGCTTTTCCACATCTATCTTCTGGGCCTGCAGCAGCTCTATCTCCTTCTCAAACTCTGAGATGGTCTAAATCAGAGCCATGAACAAACCAAGGGCAGAGAAAACGGCCGTTAAACTTTCCATCAGACAAGGGCACAAACTGGTCACAGAGCATACGGAGCCCAGCAGCCTCCAAGGAGTTTCCTAGCTGGAATCTTATCCAGCTCTCGCGGCCTCAAGAAGCTTGCCCTGAAGCAGCTCAACTGTTCAAAATGCTGCTGTTTCCAGATCTTCTTGGTTGGAGACATTAGCTTCCCCATTTTAAAGGAAGCAATCAATCACAAGTGTGCCGGGAGAAGGGTGGGTGGGGGGCAAGCTGAGGTGAACTAGGTCCTAAAACAGAGGACAGTAAGCCTGAAGAGGGGTGGGTGGGGCAAAGGTTCAGCCTTCCTAGGAAGCTTTTGTCTTCAGCTAGGCTGAAAGGAGGAGCAACTGTAGAGGCAGGGGAGGCTAGGCACCCTGGGAGGGCCACTTGGGGACAGTTTCCTATGAGCATCTCTGCTGGTCAAAAGGCTGCACCTGCTTCTGTTCACACTGCAAGCTCAGCTCAAGGAAGATCATGGGTTTGTGGGGCTTGTTTTGTAGCTAAGACTTCATTCTCAGGGATAGCAGAGGTGAAAAGCCCTCTTAGAACCCTCTGGTAGTCTGTGTATTGACAGACCCCAGTTCCTGACTCCACAGAGGAAAGAGATCAAACACCGAGTGCTAAACCTAGACACCTAATTGTCCTACCAGACCCTGAGATGAGTAGAAGCTGAGCCCTCATGGATTAGAAAATGAATCTACACGGAATTGAAGGTTAAATGACACGTTCAGGATCATGTGCCAAGTATATGGGAAGCTAAGACTGTCCAATCTGAAGCCCGATTCCCTTTGTGATTCTTTACCATAATTCAGGCAATGTTTACATTTACTTGCAATCTTCAGACTGCATGTAACACAGAGCTTGATAATGATGGTTAAGATCTTTGTAAGGCAGACCTCTCAATGCATCAGAAGAAGCGAGTGACATCTACTGGCATCTCACTCCAAGTGCAGGTTCACTGTTCCTCCAAAGTAAGATTAGCCTGGAGAGATGGCTCAGAGGTTAAGAGCACTGGCCACTCTTCCAAAGGACCTGAGTTTAATTCCCAGCATCCACATTGCAGCTCAAAACTGTCTATAACTCTGGTTCCATGGGATCTGACACCTCGGGCAAGAACACTGATGCACATAAAATAACGACTAATAAATCACTTAAAAAAAAAAGATTAGCCAGTTGGTATGACACCAGTAGACACAGAAACAACTTCCCAGAATGAACAAGTCAAAGGAATATGATCATGTGATCCAGTTTCCCCAAGTCACCCACATTTAAACAACAGGAGATCAGTTGGACAAGGAGAGCCAGTAGACCACTAGTTAACACAAAGTACTTATATGGAAAGACAGCTTTCCTGGGAAACCCAGAGGCAACACAGACAGTTCTGATGGGAGAAGCCCTCACAGAGCACACGCGGCTGTCCCACAGCCACACAGAACATCTGCAGAGCTCTCTAACATGTGTTTTCCATGTTTAGAGGTCGCTTGGCAGCTTTCTGACTTCACAATGAAATGCTTTGCACTTGAGAAGAGGATGCAGCTGGGCGCGGCACTGTGTTTATTCCCGGTAGAGCCAGTGGGCTCTTCCTGTACCATGTGCACACCAGACGTCTGCATTCTAAAGCAATACTCTGTCCTGGGTGACCAGATGGGCACTGCCATTAGCACTTGACAGGAGGATCCTGAGTTCAGGGCCAGCCAGGGTGACATACGGAGAACTTGTTTCAAAATAAACAAATCCTCTCAAGGCTATAGGGATGCATATGGTTAAGGTTTCCAGTAAGGAATCATAACATATGGTTTATTGTTGTTTTTAACTTTTATTTCTCAAGAGCTTTTTATTAAATGTCTATGAATGTTTATGCATTTTATGAAAGTATAGACAGTAATTCTTCTAATTTGATTTTTGCAAATTTTGTAAGTTTGTAAATTTCATTTTAAACTTTTATTATAGATTGACAAGGTATATATATATATATGGGTGACAAAGTAAGGTTGTGACTTATGAATGTAATGTAGGAAATTAAGATAATTAGCACATATCTCTCTCAAATATCTGCCATTTTTGCCATTGAGAGTATTGAAATTTATTGTCTTAACAATTTTAAAATGAGTAATACTATATTAATAATGGTATTTACCACTCCGGAATGGATTTCTTGAGACAGGACCTTACACAGTCTAGTCTGGCCTCTACCTCTCTATGTAGCTTAGGATAGCTTAGCTTTTTCCCGGTTCTCCACCTCCCCAGTGCTGGGATTACAGCAGCACCACACCTGAACTTACTGACTGGGCTGCTTCCTCAAGCCTGGACCATTACTTGTGTGAATTTTCTGATAAGTGGGAGATGACAACAATTTCACTTCAGTACAGGTATTTGTAAGTTTATAATGTGATAGATGACAAGTGTTCACCTGCATTTATAATTTAAGTTGGGAGTATTCTTTTAGTCAATTATAAAATGAGAGTGTTGGAAGTTGGCTTTTCAAGTATGAAATACAGTTTCAGACAGCCCAGAGGCTGGGACTTGGGGAACAGAGCAACTGGGTGCTGTGTGCCTTCAGTCTGCATGGCTGCTCTAGTTATCTGAAGTCTCGGGAACGCAGAGATGCTCTCAACGGGCTAGCAGCTCCTGGGGCCACACTCAAACTGCATCGGCCCTTCTCTCTTTCACCCTCTCAGTTGCTAGAGAAGAACCGGCCAGCACCCCACTGTCACTGTGACTCTGATTCTCACTACCCCCAAGGATGTTCCCAAGCATCCTAAGCAAGCAGAGGCTACAGGTGGCGCCTCCTGTATTATGAACACACCTTACTTAGCTAAAGGGCTGGACCATTGTCACCCCTGCCACCCAGGAATCCGAGATAACCTGACTACAAGCATACAGTACGGTCTACTCCTCAACTACACAGCACGGAACTTTCTGCCCGAATCTGTAAGAAGGTACCTCTCCCAACACACACACACACACACACACACACACACACACACACACACACACACACACACACACTGCCTCATCTGAACCCTCTTCAAAACCCTACCATGCTGTCGATGGTATTCATAAATATCTTACCAAAAAGGACATTCTCCTGGTGTCCCTCTTGAACCTCAACTCTGAGACCTTTCTGCTCCCTCTGCAGATCAAAGGCATCACCAGAGGGTCAAAGCCAGCTCACCCACCTTTGCCTGCCTGCTCAGGCGAGTCACCTCCCCCTTCAGGCTGTCAGAGGTGACCCGTCCCTCCTCCAGCTGATGATGGAGCTGTGTCCTCTCGTCCTTGAGGGCTTTAATTTCTTCTCTCAGAGACTCTATCTGCTTCTCATAGGCTTGTGTTTTCAGTTCAAAACTTTTTTCAAGGAGTCTAGACAGCAAAAGAAGAAAAGAAAAACTTAGGTTTGTTTTTATAGTCTTTGAATAAAATACACAATATGCTGAAGACAGAGAGGGGACACCTCCATGCCAAAGGAGGAGACAGGCTCACCAGGACCCCTGCAGCCATTGCAGTGGTCCATGGACCTGTTTTTAAGCAGACTCTTCTTGTTATCTTAGTCTGAAAGCAGTGCCTTAGACCTCCCATTGTGAGCAACTCTGAAGATCACAGAGCATGGGACAGAGAGACAGACTTCAAGTCACACGGGGCGCTGGGGTACTGCAATCTCAAAGCCACGCCCAGGTTCCGCACTGCCCCCTGGCTGGGGTGCACATCCCTCAGCATAGACCTGGCAGATTCTGTTAAGTTCTAGCCCTTTCAAGTTCCCGAGACCCTTCAGGGGTCTTATTTAGTCCTCAATAAATCTAGCTGAGCGTCCCAAGTCCCCAAAACTAAATGAGAAATGCTAAAACCAGATCCACACCACCGGTGTGCTATTGAAAGGTTTCCATCTTTGAATATTTAGGATTTGGGACTGTGGGAGGAGGGGCGCTCTCTTAGCCAAGTCTGAGTCAGTGGAAAACTTCTGGCCCCAAGCTTCTCAGTAAGGAACATAAGCAGAAGAGGTCTTACCTTCTGAGGAATTTGAAAATGATTCAATTACTTATTTTGTGTGAGTGTATAGGCAGGTGTTTGCGTGTCTGTGATTTTATGTACATGTGTGTACCCCGATGTTTACACCTCTGCACATGGGGGCCAGAAGAAGAACCACACCCCTCAGGGTTGGAGACGCAGGTGTCTTGGGATACCCAGCCATATGATGCTGAGCTTCAAGTCAACTATTCAGCTGTCCGTGCAGCCCTCTGGTTTTAAGAGTTTTACAATGTTCAGCCTGGGAATCCAGCATGGGACTGATCAAGACCCCCTGAATCTGGGTGTCAGTGAGGAGGCCTAGGTAATCTATTGAGCCTTGGACAGCAGATCAGTACCCATCCCAAGTATACACACGGTCTCTGGACTCCCATAGAACAATGTGAGGTGCACTCTCACCCTGAACTCTTGGGGAAGGGTCTAGGCCCTGCCCTATATGAAATGACAGACTATGGACACCCCCATGGAGGGCCTCACCCTCCCTGGGGGAATGAGGGGATAACGGGGGGGGATGGGGGAGGGCACAGGAGGAGGGGAGGGAAAGGGAGAGGGACCTCGTACTGACTTGTGAAGCAACCTTGTTTCTTATCTAAATTTAAAATGGAAAATAAAAAAAATATTAATATAAAAAAAATAAAAATAAAAATGAAAAAAAAAAAAAGAATTCATTCATTGAAAACAATACTCAATTGTTGTTTTAAAATTTCTCTTAATCTTAGTGCTTGTTTTATAAGACTACAAATTACTCAACAAAATTCACTGAAGAAATATTAAAATTTTAGTATTATGGAAATTGATAGGCCTTGGCAGATTGTATTCATGTTTAAATGCCAATGTTTTACTTAAAGTTCTGAATTTTTAACTTTCTTTATTTTGTGGTCACAGATTCAAAAAAAATCATACTATATATCTTTGATATAAGTTATGTAAAATAGGAATAGTATATCATTTTTTGTTTGTTTTTGCCCTCGTTATAGGAAAACTAACACTTTAGAGTAATTGTGATTTAAAAAAATAGAAGGATGTCAGAGTACAAATCAGTGTCAAAATATGCCATACCTTCATGATATTGAGACGTTTCTTTAGGGGAGCATTCACGTTGGTGTCTTCCTTGAAACTATTTTTACCTCAGCCAACAGTGTATGATATAAGATAAACTACATTGTAAATTTACATAGAATTCTATGTGTTACATACCAAAGTAATCTTTAAAATTTTCATTTTTGAATGAATAATAATTCAGTGGAGATGAGATTTTGCTCTATTACTCAAACATAATGGGAACACAGAAATAAGCTGAACACATTTGGGTGAAACATGATTGATATCTTCTTGATAAAAACCTACTGATAATTCTCTCTGAATGCTATACTTCTTCACCTGTGGTATTTATTCCACTCCATATTTCAAAAAGCAGTAGCATATTACAACTTCAGTGATGGAACATTAATTTTACATTTGTTCATGAAATATATATCCAGCAACTATCACTTGCATAATTCACTCTGTACATTTGCTTTCTCTATATGAACGGTGTTATTCAAAATAAGACTGTACAAATAGCAAAATTAAGGAACAGAATAAATTAGATTCGGCCCAACTCTAAGGAGTTTTATTCATTATATAGAAGATACTTTTAAAAATGATAGTCTCAAGAGACTTTGCTTAGATTATTCTTCAAAGAAAAATGTCACTCAGTTAGTTGCTGAAGCATGCTCGGTTTGCCCCATTGTTTCTGGGTTTAAGGATCCCCTGACGCTGCAATCCCTTTTGTATTATTACTTTCTTTTCCAAAATTATTTAACTTAAAAATATGATCCTCAAAGTAGCCCTTGAACTTTATGTCTCCAGAAATTTAAAAAGGAAGTAACTTTAAATGTAAAACATTTCCAGATTTCTGCTAAGTGTTTATTGTTTGAAGTAAGTAGAGCAGAATGAAGAACAGTTGCCTTGAGCCAACATATAAATCAGAGTTCTCACCAGGGAATACACTAACTTCACTACTTCAGATTATGTGAAAAAGGGTATATGAAAGTATTTGAATTAAAATTTTCTTTGACAACTATATATATATATATATGTATGCTGTGTTTAATGAAGAAAAATAAATGTGATAGATATGAAAGAAAATTGCAAAAAAAAAAAAAAAAAAAAAGAGTTTTACAATGTATTTCAGCAAAGCCAGGTATCCCTAAGTGTATGAGACTCTATTCCTTGTGAAAGGGTAGCTGAATTTAGCAGGTGATGATGATCTAAGAAAACAACAAAAAGGAGTCATGTGACCTAGATCAACTTTATCTAGCACACAGGAACAGTCAGGACTGAGGCAGCCCCAGGAGCTCTGTGAGATTCCCAAAGCCCTCACACTGCTAGGATGCCAACCCAGAGCCTCACAGCAGAGCCTCACACCAGAGTCTCACACCAGAGTCTCATACCCAAAGCTTCACAGCAGAGTCTCACAGCAGAGTCTCACAGCAGAGTCTCACAGCAGAGTCTCACAGCAGAGTCTCACAGCAGAGTCTCACAGCAGAGTCTCACAGCAGAGCCTTACGCTGCTGGAATGTGACCCAGAACTGATTGATTTGCTGTAATAGCACCCAGAAAAAGACTCTGAAGAAGAGCCATGCTCCACAAAGATTTTTGAAGATATTAATAAACCTTTAAACTTTGTAAACACCCCTCCCCCCCAAAAAAACCCCAAACCCACTACAGTATTCTCAAGAGGCCAGAAAACAAACAAGAAAACCCTGGCATCTGAGGAACAACAAGCCTCAGACCCGCAGCCTGAACCGCTGGGTCTGCTAAGCGTTTGTGCCTCTGAGGACTGTGGCAGGGGCCAAGCCCACACAGGCCTGGGGACAAATGGGCTAAGACGGACATGGGTTGCTCACTTCACAGGCCTGCAAAGCCTCTCCCAGGCAGGACAGCAGGGAGCTCAGGGTGACCTGTGTAGCTGGCTCCTCGACCTTTGGAAGTCTCCTTCCCACCTCCTTACCTAGGCCACGGCTTTTCTCCTAACTTTCCGGGGAAGGGGAACCTCATCCTCCCAGGCTTCCCTGAGAGTTTGTCTCCCAAGGAACATGTCAAGAATATTCCACCCCCCCACTCCATCTATAAACCACTGACTCCTTCTGAGAAGGGGAGCCTAGACTTGAATCTCTGGGATTTAGTAGATGGTTTATAATTGAGCTAGGAAAGGGGCTGGTCCAACCCGAGGTCACGGGGATCAGTGAGGGTCCATCAGCAGGAAGAGTGTGAACAACTCCGGAGCATGGGCATCGCTTGAGGCTGTACGCTGGAAAGCTGGGCCCTCAAGACTAAAATTCCCACTTCTTAAAAATACCCACACCCTGCCTGCCTGCATCTGGATTATGCTAGCTGCAAGCTAAGAAGCAAAACAGAAAATAGCAGAGAGTGGATGGGGATGTAGCCCCATTGATGGAGGGCTTGCCTGGCAGGCATGAGGCCCTGGGTTCCATTCCCAGCAGTGCATAAACCAGTAGTGGTGGGGCACAGCTGTAATCCCAGCACCAGGGAAGGGGAGGCAGGAGGACCAGAGGTTCAAGGACACCCTTGGCTAATGGAGGAGGTTCAAGGCCAGCTAGTGATACTTGAGACCTTGTCAGAAAGGAAGGAAGGAAAGAAGGAAGGGAGGGAAAGAACAGGAGACAGAAGGGAAAGGGAGGGGCAGCTGAGTGGGGGAGGTGGCGGCTTTGAGGCAAGGGTATCTTACAGTCTTTGCTGCTCCTCTTTTTGCACGTCATCGAAGAGCTGCCTGGTGAGCTTGTCCATTTTTTCTGTGGACAAAGAACAGTCTTTGAAACAAACCTGCCAAGACAATGTCTTAAGTGTCTCACGCTTCAGACTCACCGTGGAGGGGTCGTTCAGCTGAGACTGAAGGTGAGGGCGCATGCCCTTAGTAAACTAGAAGGAGGCTTCAAAGTAACAGTTCCATTTTGGTACCAAATAGGCAATTTCCATCTTCACTTCTTGCAGCAACCTTCACATAGTTAGAAAATGCCTCAAAACAACTGCTCAGCGGGAGTGTAATAGAAACGATGTGTGTGTGTGTGTGTGTGTGTGTGTGTGTGTGTGTGTTTGTGTTGGGGGCGGGGTGGGGGTGAGCCTCTCCCTGCTCAGGCTCCAGCTTACTCTTTGACCTCTCTGCTCCTCAGTGACTCAGTGGGCTCCAAGGTCAGGATGAGCCTTCTTGCTGGAACCCCATCAGTCCTGTTCTAACTTAGAGGCACTGACAGACTTCCTCTTCATCTTGGGCTGCTCCTCCACTCTGCCCTGCACCCCAGGTCTGGTACTCTTTAGTCCACATGCTGGGCAGAATGTGTGCAAGGTCCTCAGGCCACTCACAAGTCTCTTACACACTCACATACACTCATGCATTTACTAACACTCTTATACACTCATATATTCATGAATATTCTTAAATACACACACTCACCAGGCGTTGCTGGCACACACCTTTAATCCCAGCACTTGGGAGGCAGAGGCAGGCAGATCTCTGTGAGTTCAAGGCCAGCCTGGTCTACAGAGTGAGTTCCAGGACAGCCTCCAAAACAATACAGAGAAACCCTGTCTCGAACCCCCCAAAATATACACATTCATACACCCCAAACTATACACTCATACTTGTATACACTCACACTTTTACCATAGTTGTGTCCCCACACTATACACTTACACATGTTCATACTTTCACGTACACACTTCTCACACTCATACACAGCTGTGTACTCAAACACATACATACCCCACACACTTACATTCATGAGCATCAATAAACTCTTGCAGCCCGGGCGGTGGTGGTGCACACCTTTAATCCCAGCACTCGGGAGGCAGAGGCAGGCGGATCTCTGTGAGTTCGAGGCTGGGCTGGACCGATAGCCTCCAAAACAATACAGAGAAACCCTGTCTAGTAAAAACCAAAGAAAAAACCTCTTGCACAATACTCTCACAAACATGTGCATACACTATCACACTTAAACTCTTCTGCACACCAATATACTCACACCTATTCATACTCTTACACACTCACACTCATACACAAATTCTCATACACTCACACACTCTTACATGCACACTCTCACATACATTCATACACACTCAGACTTGATGGGGGAGGTCTTTCTGTATGCTGTGAATATATGTTGCTCTTATTGGTTGACAAATAAAGCTGTTTTGGCCAATGGACTGGCAGGATGTAGCCAGGCAGGAAGTACAGGTGGGGCTACCAGAGTAGGAGAATTCTGGGAAGAGGAATGGAGAGAATGGGTTACCAGAAGATACCACATAGCTACCAGGAAGGTAGGACATTCTCCGGTAAGCCAAGACCGTGTAGAAATACATAGATTAACAGAAATGGGTTAATAATTAAGAGAGAGCTAGCTAATTAGAAGCCTAAGCCACTGGCCAAACAGTTTATAATTAATACAAGCTTCTGTGTTTTTATTTGGGACTAAATGGCTGTGGGACCGGGAGGGACAGAAACTTGGGTCCACACAGACTCTCACCACTCCCACACATAAAAACAACACAGTACACACATGTACACATACAATACACCACACACTCACATTCTCATCCCTGGGTAAAACCTCAGGGCTGCTGTCTATGAGGTGCAGACAGGGTGAGGCGAGCATCTTTTGAATACACTTATCCCCTTGATGTGCCCAGCACACAGCGGAGGGCCGGTCACACCCACACTGCTGAGTGACGCCCAGGGCTGGCTACCTTTCAGCTCCTGAGTCTTCTCTTGCAGCGTCTGCTCTGCCTGCTCTTTCTGCAACGCCAGCTCTGCATTGTGCTTCTGCAGCTTTGACAGTCTCTAGAGAAAGAAAGGAACATGAAAGGAGACCTCGGTGAAGTCCCTGCCGCTGGCCCCTGTGACAAGCCGTGGGCTCTTCAATCACATATGCTTGCTCAGCCTATGGCCAGAGTTGACAGCCCGCCCCAGCCACAGAATCCTGGGCTCAAGGGAACTTCAAAGCAGACACAGTCCCACCTACCTCTCTAGCCATGACTGACAACTGAGCCCAAGTCCAAGGACTGTCTCTGACCTCTCCTGAGCTCTGGATACCCAGGGCAGTTTATTAATTAACTATGGTAATAACTTCTTAGTTCACAAGACACACCGGGTTCACACTTTCAGACTGCAGAGGGGAGGGGAGCAGGGCAGAATCTGTGATGACAGAGGGCCTGCAGGGCTGAAGTGGGGACACCCTGATGCTGATGGCCATGGCTGGCAGAGGCAGCAAGGGCAGCAGCAGCAGCAGCAATGTGGGCACCCTGAGCAGTAGCTCACAGGGAGGGCAAAGGGAAGCCCTCTGGGTGCTCATGGCTACCAATGTGAGAGCTTCAAGCCTTTGGAAGGCACAGGAGAACGGACAATAATAAAAGAGTCAGTTAGAATATTCTAGAATGCACTTGCCCACGCCTGTGAGGGGCCCACGGTAGGCACTGGCTAAATTATTTCCCGTGAAAACTTCTCCCTTAAGTCTTTTTCTAGCCCACTTTGGTCATTTCTGTTTTAAATAGGAGAAAGCTAAAGTTCAGAGAGTCAGTGACCTGGCCAAGCAGCACACTAGCCAGCAGCAACGTCAGGATATGAATCTAGGATGTTGGGATTTCTCACTGGACCACAGAGATAAAATCTGCCCCAGGTTCTGCAGCACACGTCAGGGACAGGAGGCCTCCAGGGCCCATGCAGGTGACAAGTGACAGAGGGAAGAAGGAAGCAACCAGCAGCGTAGCTTGGACTTTGTGTCCGCTTGTAAAGGTGGACAGGGAGAGCATCTGATCCCTTCCCTCAGCATGCGATTCTCCCCAGAGTCCAGGCTTCTGGGCTCCCTTTGTCAGGGCTGTGAAGTCCTGTTTTATTGCAGCAAGAGCAACATTTGCCTCCCCTGCAGAGACAGGAGCGTGGGCTCCCCCATGCGGCACACTTCTGACCTCCTCCACTGTGTCCCTGTATCTCCTGCCCTTCTCTTCATAGCTGTGTCGGTGGCTGGCTGCTCTTTCCAGCTCCGCTTCCAGCTTCTGAATCTTTTCCAGGTCGCCAGCCCGCAGAGCGGCCAGGCTGGTCAGCTTCTCCACCAGTCCGTGGTTCTCTCTGCCCTGGAGAAAGACTCTGAGGTCAAAGGTCTGTTCATAGCGGAAGCAGCCACCGCATTCATGCCTTGCACGGCAATGTGGCATAAGCAGCCACCGCGTTCCTGCCTCGTGTGACAACGTAGCATGTGTATACCACAGTCACAAGTGACATTTGTTATCTACAACACCCCAGGTGACATTTATTAGCGTCTTCCCACAGAACGAGTGAGGTAGATTCTTTCTGAGCTGGTGACTCATGCCATGGGTGGCCCATCTGCTCCAGGGACACTGTAACCACTTTAATACTAGAGGCTAGATTGTGTTTACCTCAAAAGTCATATGCTGTATCTTCCTCCGTGGACCCGGGATAGGACTATTGGGGAAAAAGGACTTCTAAAGAGGGGACTTGGGTGTCTCTGGAGGCCACGAGGTGGGCCCCAGGCAACATAGCTGGTGCACTCAGTGGGTCAGGGTAGACTCACAGAAGGCAGGTAAGGGCAGGCTGTAGTGGGCTGGGGAGGTGATTCCAAGATTAAAATGCTTGCCTCCCAAGCCAAAGTGCTAGAGTTTGGGTTCCCAGAATTAACAAAAATGTCAGGTGGTCATAGTGACCTAACCTTGGAAGGTAGAAACAGTGGATTCCCAAATAAAATCAGCTAGTATGTCAAGCAAGCTTGCTTCTAATTTAAATTTTAAAAAAAGATAAAAAAAAGAAAATCAGCTAGTAAGTGCCACTAGCCATATGAGTGAGTTCTGGGTTTGACTGAATGTCCTTTCTTCAAAAAGGATAAGGTAGAGAGTAATCAAACATCCACACACACATGTACATTTACACACATGAACATGCATAAACACACACACACACACACACACACACACACACACACACACACACACACACACGATGCCTACCTGGTCCTCCAACTTCTTCTGCAAACGCTGGACCCTGTAAGTCAGCTGGATGTTGAGCACAAACCTTCGGATGCTCTGGAACCTGCGCCGGGCCAGCCATGCCCTCGCGTACTTCTGAAGGATCACAGCCTTGTGCTCCTGCAGCAACTGGAGAAGGAGCTTTGTGAAACATCAGCCAGACCCCGCCCCCCTCTCTCTCCAGGTCCTTCATGACCAGGAAGGCCAGCCCAGGACATTCCCGCAGTGCGGGGCAAGAATCTGCCATCACTGATCCACTGAACCCTTCATCCCAGATGGCTGAAGCAACCCCTTGGGCAGGCCCTCAGGGCAATGGAACCCCTGCACTGAGCAGGGAACAGAGGTCTGTGTCCACTCCATACCTTGTGGTACTGCCTCCTGGCCAGGAAGCCCCTTGTGTGGGCCTGGATGGTGATGGTGGCCACTCGGATCAACTGGTACAGGTTGCGGACCAGGTACCCTCGGCAATGTTTCTGGAGGATGATGGCTGCCCAGGCCTCCTTCAAAGCAGTGGCGGTGATGGCCTTCCTTGGGTAAAGAGAGGCAGTGGGAGCCAGTGGTCAGAGCCTCAGCCTTCACCATGAATCACGAGTGTGGGCAGCACCTTTCAGTGAGGGGGCTTCTCAGGGTCTTACATCTCTACCGCTAAGTGGTCCATCCTGCTGCAACTTCAGGCCCACCTGCTGTGCTATATGGTTTATGATTTATTAAAGCCACTGGAGATCAAAATAGCAAAGCAGTCATACTAGTTAGCCGTAGAAGTCAGGCAGTGGTGGTACACACCTTTAATCCCAGAACTCAGGATTAAGGGTAGGCAATCTTTGTTAGTTCAAGGCCACACTGACTAGAAGAAATTGATCCAGTCCTAAAAGAAACAGCTCACACAAAAGTGATCTCAATGCTTGGGATAACATGCCTTTAATCCCAGCACTAGGAAGGTGGAGACAGGAGGATATGGCTGGGTGGAGAAAGGAATATAGGGGGGAGGAGACAGGAATTAAGAGCTTTTGCCTCTGAGGATTGTGGAGACAGACTTGCTCTTTTAGCTGGGTAGAAGTAAGATCTACTGGCTTGGCTGCTTTGCTTCTCTGATACTCAGCTTGAACCCCAATGTCAGTCTCTGGGTCTTTATTTTTCTTGTTACCCTGACCTCAGTGTGGGTCACTCTGGCATGGAGGGGCCACGTGGGATCTCCCACTCGTGTCTGCTCCAGCCAGTTAACCCATAGGTGCACACGTACATGGATGCACAGCCCACGTCCAAACTATGAGGATGTCAGTGCCCTGGAACCCCACTTGCTCATGCGTCCATTCATGGAGAGATGGGTTTGGAGCTCAGATCTGGAGTTGGCAGACTACAACCTGAGGGTAAAATCTGCTAAGAACACCAAGCCTCGGTGGACACACCTGTGACCGCTCTACACACACTGCCGACAGCAGTGTTGTAGCCGGAGCTGGCCTTCAGGGCGTCCCTGAAGAGTTCATATGCTGGACACCTGGCCCTGGTTGTGATGTAAGGGGTGGACTGGTGGAAGGTAGGTCACTGGAAACATGGCCTCTGAGTGGCTCAATATGAGTCAGAGCTAAGAGGGATAGGTTTTTATCCTTTTTACTTTTCATTTTAGAATTTTATTTTTGTGTGTATGTGTGAGTGTGTGACACACATGCACATGAATGTACCCGTGTACACATGGAAGCCATAGGAGAATGTCACATTCCTGCTCTCACTCTCTGCCATATTCCTATGAGACAAGGCATCTCGTTGAACTTGGAGTTGGACTGGTGGTCAACCAGCCCTGGCAATCCTGTCTTCATGGTTACAGGCATGTGTGGACAAGTTCAGCTGTTTCCACATGGTGCTTGGATACAAACTTAGTTGCTATACTGGCCCTTAGTTATTTATTGAGAGACAGGGTGTTGTTATGAAATCTTGACTGGCCTAGTACTCATAATGCAGCCTAGCCTGGCCTCAAACCCACAGCGTGCCCCTGACTCAGTCTCCTGAGTGCTGGGATTGCAGGACATACCACCATACACTTAATGAGAGTGGCTTTATATAGAGGTAGCCCCATGGACTTGGCCCCTTTCCCACGTGGCTGTTTCTGGCTATTTTCGCTGTCACAGCAATAGAGGCCATTATCAGAGGCCAAACACAACTCATACTGCAAAACTGTAAGCTGAACAACCCTTTTCTTCATAAAGTGTCAAGCCTCAGGCCCTTTCTTGCAGCAACAGAAAATAGGTTAATGCTTTCAGGTTACCACAGTAGAAGCTGTCTCAGAGTTCACGAACCGTTAAAGCCTTGGATAGTTATTACCTGGCTCTGTATAGGAAAGTTAGGTAAGATGGGCATAAAGGTCTGGAGGTGAACAGAGAGGCTCTTCCCTTCAGAGCATATATGCCCATGGAGGAAGTGGATTTGTGAATGGCCGAGAAGCGTAAGTAAAACAATTATTTCTCATATTAGATCACATGAAAAGGAACAGTCATCCTGTCTGGGCAGAGATGGCACACAGAACAGGCCCTTCTCATATCCAGGCTCACGGTCACTGGTGAGGACCTCTCACCCACACCTGTGTCCAAGGAACAAGAGGAAGACTGCTGTCCTCATTCCGGGTACTTCAGCAGCCCGATGACCTAGCTGCTCTCCGTGGGTCCAGCATACCCCACTGTTGACCTGGGAAGTAATTGGTATGACCCAGTGTCTTCCTCATCCACTTACCTCACTGTTTTCTGACCCCGGAAGTACTGCTGGATTGTCAGGGCAGCTTGTCTCTCTCGGAGGAACTTCTTCCTCTGCAGCCAGCCCCGCACATGCTTTTGAATCATAATACAATCCTGCCTCAGTTTATCCAAGCGGAGTTTCTCTAAATAAGCCACTTGTCCTGCTCTGAAGAAAATTTTGGTTCTACCAAACTGGTATTGGTTAGAATCCTGGAAGAGAAGAAAGATGTAAATTAAAAATAAAGCCTTTTAGATTTGACATTGAGAGGGTCAAAAGATTTTCAAGCTATTGGTATTACTTTGACACAAGTCAGAAAACCCGGAATCACAATCTGGAAACTTCTACTTCAAGGTGCATATTATTTTCTGTCTTGGTTTTGGGTACACGTCCTATCCCATTCCCTGGCCATCATGACTTGCCATCTTATTGTCCCTATCCTGTTTCCTGGCTGTCATAGCTTGCCATCTCTTGTCCACTCCAGCTCATCGTCTCAGCAATAACCACAATCCATTCTGAGCAACATGACCACGCCTCTTGATCAGCACCTCGTCTGACCATGTCCTGTGGCCCAGGTCCATGGAGGATGGTATTGGATCATGGGAGAATGAGGCAGGGGGTGGCGGTGGAGTCCAGGGTTTAGATCCCTAAGGGAGATGCCTGCCGTTAAGGGATCTTGCCGCAGTGACAAGGCTGCAGCTGCCTCACTAGCACGTGAAGGGACAGGTTTGAGAGGCACGCTGCTGGAAAGACCCCATGATCCCAGCTGGCGAGACCAACCTGGATGAGCCTGTGCAAAGCCACCTGGCACACCTCCTTCTTATCACTGAGGGACATCTCCTGCTGGGTCAGGAGGATGCCATAGCGACTGTAGAACTCCAGGTATGTCCACCTGCAAAATCAGAGAGGAGGTTCTTCATGCAGCGGACTGTGTAGCCCCACCCACGGGGGAGGTGGTAGAGTCTGCTCTGGTGACCCTCCCCTGTGTCAACGCCAAAAGCACCCAGCATGTGCACCTTCTGCATGAGCTGATTCAACCAGCCCTCTGTCCCTCTTTAGCTCCTGCTGTGACACGGCGGCTGGGGCCATCACTGTCACCTGAGACGGGAGCCTGGGGATCTTCTGAGACACCCATAGCACCTTTGTAACAGATCAGACATTACATGTTTCCCAAAGGCTCAGATGTGGAAGGCTAGGTCCTTAACATAGTGTTCAGAGGCGAGGCTCCTGAAAGCGATTGGATCCTGATAATTCTGACCTAATTAATGGATTAATCCATGGATGAAGTCTATTGGAGGGAGTGGAAACCAGAAAGGACATGGGGCTGAGTTGGAGGAAGTAGCTCACTGTGGGCACAGCTTTGTCCCTGACACCCCCCCCCCACCCCGTCCCTCTCTCTGCCTCCTGCCTACAGTGGGGTGAGCCACTGTGGTCCACATGTGCCTCTCTGCATGATGCTGTGCCCGGAAACAAAGCCAAATGGCCATGGACCAAAACCATGAGCCAAAGCAACCCTGCCTCCCTTGTCTCCTCAGGTACTTTGTCACAGTGATGAAAGATGGGTATTTCTACCCTGACCTTCCTCCAGGATAAGGCACCTTACAAAATGCAAAGCATGTAAAAAAAAATTGCCACTATACCCTCTGGTCTCAGCAAGCACTTGAATGAAGGCAATTGTTAGGTCCAAAGTGAACCCCCCAAATGGTGGTGCCGCTGACAGTGTCTTAGGATGTCATTTAGATGACAGCCTAGGCCAGCTCAGGCTGGACTCTGACTGGGTAAACAGAAGGACTGCTATTGAGTAAACAAAAATGTAAACAGTCTTCCTCAGAAATCCTGTGAAGCAGGTTTCTGTTTGTCATGAAAAAGCCATTGCTTCCCTTATCTGTCCCCTACAGCCAACCAACTCTGGCAAAGCATATCCAGTTCCTGTTCAACCCAAACAAGTCTGCAACAGGTCAGAATCCCCACCATAGCCCCAGGCTAGACCCACCCTAGTTCCCAGACTAGACCCACACCCCATGTCCCCTATACCTCTCTTCTACCTGCCCCCATAAAACCAACAAGTCTTTCCCCACTGTCCACTGTCCTGTTCTACACTCTAAACACACACACACACACACACACACACACACACACACACCAGTCCTAATAAACTTTTTGTCAATGGTGTCATCCTGTCTGGTGGCTTCATTGTTCTCCAGCTTACAACAACCTACCTGGAAGGGTAGCTCTGGGCACTGATGCGAATTGTTTCTAAAACACCACAGGCTCGCAACTGCTGGACGATTCGTTTGGAGTCAAACCTTGAAGCAATTTTACAGTATGTTCAGGCTTTATGACCACTCAATGTCCCAGAATGTGTGCAGCAGGGAGGCCTGGACTTCAGGGTCCTGGACAGCAAGATCCAGCCCTGTTGTCCCTTCACCGTCAACTCACACAGAGTGCCAGGCACACGGCAGATCTGCAGAAATAGCTACAGAATGTTCTGGAACAGCCTCTCTGTGAAGCTGTCTAGAAGTTGGGGGTACAGGTAGGTGTGGGAATATGCTCTGACTGAGGGAGGTGAGGGAGAGGAAGGCCGCCTTGTAGGGGAAAAATACCAGGGTTGAACTTCCAGTGACAATCAGGTAAAAAGAGGTGCATGGGTAATAACATTCCAGCGCCCATCTAATGGATAAATGCACTTTACAAAACACTCTACAGTGGCTTAGGACCCAGGACTAACACTGTTGGTACCCCAGACACACTCAGCACCTCCACTGACAGCCCACTCTAAGGACTCTCCATTTAGCTCCAGTAGGTTAAAAAGGACTTCACGATTTACACTCATAGGTTAGAGGCTGTTACCCCAGGGCCCCTGAGACCAAATCTGATTTCTCATGCTGCCTCAGCCCCCCTCCTTCACATACACATACAAGCGCAGGGGCTTGGACCCTGGGTGTCTAACTTGCACTTGGAGACAATTATTTCAAACTCAGCCCTGGAGTTGAGATGGTTTAATCAACCAGAGAAGTCCTGCTAACATATAAAAGGCAACACTGAGTCATTAAAGAACTCAGAAACAGTGTAAGGAATCTCAGCAAACTCCAAAATCATGGTCATTTAAATGGGAAAAGCCTCCCACAGGCTCAGATCTTAGAACACTTGGTCCCCAGCTGTAGCCTGTTTGGGAAGGTCATGAAATCTTTACAAGCTGGAGCCATGCTGGAGCACAAGGGTGTGTTTGGGGGGGCGGGTCCTTTGAAGAGTTTATAGCCTTGGTCCATTTCCAGTTTGCTCTTTCTGCTTCCTGCATGTGAATGGAGACGTGAGATCCCAGCTTCTCCGTCTTGCTGCCTGCTGCCATTCGGGAGTCTGCCTCTGGAACCCTTAACTCAAAGGAACTCTTTCTTCCTTAAATTGCCCTTGGTCAAGGTAGGATGCCGCTTTCACAGGGATTGTGTTTCCTTGACAAGAATACTCACTCAAAGGGCAACTTCCCATCATTTGGCTTGATGCACCGAACGTAGTGGGGTGTGGTGGCATTGAGGGTTTCCATGAGCAAGTACAGAGAGCTGCGGAACTAGGAAGCAGGGCCAGAGGTCAGGGTTGCTCGGCAATGATTTAATGCTTAGATCAAGACAAATAAAGCTGATCAGGAAGCAGAGGTAATCTTAGGGCAGGAGAGATGGCTCAGTTAGGAGCATGTGGGGCTGTACTGGAAGACCCGAGTTTTGTTAGCAGCTCCCACATTGGGTGGTTCACAGATGCCTGTAACTCTAGTACCAGGGGACCAAACACCCTTTTCTGGCCTCTGTGAGTACCTGTGTATACCCTCGCCACACACATCCATATACCCTGACCAGTTCTCCTGTAGCAGAGAACTAAGGAACCACATGACTATCTACACCCAGGTGGAAAAGAGGCGTTGGATGTGTTGAACGGGGAGTTGGCAGTATTAACAGATGGGTTGGAAGAAGCCTGTTGTCTGTGGCCATGCCCGAGCTACGGGTCCCACAGGTGTCTGACCAGCCACCTCCCACGTCACTCCTGTTTACCTTGCTCCCGACTGTGGTCCGGAAGTGCTTGCTGTTTGGCTTGATGACCTGCTTTGCAGATTTAACTGTGATCGTTGCACCAAAGGGAGAAGACGGAGCAGGGTTTTCTTGGAAAAAGGCGGCGCAGAGATGAAACTGGAACAGAGAGGGTTTCCATGTCTCCAAGTGTCGACTGACAGTCCTCACCCGCACAGACAAATTCACAATCCTAGCAGCTGTCTAAGTGAGAGGGTCCAGACTGACAGTCCCAGCAACCTCTACAGCCGGAGCTCCATGGAATAAGGCAGCCTATTGATGGTGACTCCCGTGGCTTCCTTCCTGGGCCTGGGAGCGAGAGCACGGCTGTGCACGTGTCTGCATGTACGCACTGCTCCAGCCGGAGAAAGACACCTGCTACCCCTCCTGAGCCCCTGGGCTCAGCTAGACTCTTTCCTCAGCCCACTCACTCCTCCCTGCAGATCCAAGTCCTGCTCCAGAATCAAGGCTGTGACAGTGTCTTCCAGCCACACCCTATTCACAACGCTGAACCCACAATCCAATGTTTATATGTGGATGTGTTTGTGTGTGAAGGCGCATGTCCACATGGATAGACATGCATATGAAAGTCAAAGGACCACCTTAGGCTTAGGGCTTACCCAAGTCAGAGTACAGGAAGACAGAAAATCCGTTTCCACTCCCCACTTGCTGGGTTACATACATGTGTGTACCATCGACCCCAGCTTTTTTACATAGGTGCTGGGGCTCAGACTCGGGTTCTCATTATTGTATGGTAATCACTTACTGAGCTAGCTCCTTAGACTTTTTTATTTTTTGAGGCAGGATCTCACTATGTAGCCCAGGCTGACCTAGACCTTGTTACTGATGTGTAGCCCAGGCTGGCCTTTATCCTGCCTCTGTTCTCTCATCTTTATTTGCTCCTCTTTGAGGCATCCATATTCTGCTGAGCATCAGTGTGTCACAGGACTGTCTTCTGTCATCATTCATTCTTTCAAAGTGGACAATGTCCTCCAAAGCAGGGCCCTTTGCATCCATCCCCCTGTGTCTGGGCTGTGACTGCATCTGGAGCTCCCACCTGTTAGCTCAGGAGACAGACCCACTCCTGCTGCTGCTATAAGACATCTTCTAGACAGGACCTGAGGTAAGCTTGGGGCTGAGTAAGTAATCAGCAAATTAAATCAACTAATTCTGTCACAAGACAGCGCAGTCCATGTCAACCCTGAGTGCTCTTCTGTGAGCCACTTTGATGAGTGTGGTCGTTTCCAATTAGCATTTTTTTAAATGATCATCAGTGCAATTGCCCAGGCTCCCTTAGGAAATTGTCAAAAGATGGGATCATTTTAAACAGTGCATTGGATCTTCTAGAAGAGGGAAATAAATATAGATCACATTATTCTAAAGTAAAGACCTGTCTATGAAATACCTTCTCCTCAAAGTTTTATAAGGAAATGTTTGAGTGGGAAGGAAAGGCCGCGAGTCATTAATATGGAATCAGTGGACTCTAGGGCCTGTTGCGCCAGACCACACTTCTTCTGCCATCCCACATTTGCTTTGACTTTCTTTGGGTATGAGAGAGACAGACAGAGAGACAGAGAGAGAGACAGAAAGAGAGGGAGAGACAGACAGACAGAGATAGAGACAGAGAGAGAGAGAGGGAGGGAGAGAGAGACAGAGACAGAGACAGAGAGACAGAGAGAGGGAGAGAGAGAGGGAGGGAGAGGGAGAGAGAGGGAGAGACAGAGTCAGAGAGAAAATGTGTGTGTTGATGTTGGTGTGTTCTTCAGTCATTCTTCACCTTCTATTTTGGGACAAGCTCTCTCACTGAACCTGGAACTTACCAACTTGGATACTCTGGCTAGTCAGCAAGCTCCAGAGATTGGTCTGTCTGCACAGTGCTACAAGGGATTTTTGGCACGGGTGCTGAGGATCAGACTTATGTCCTCATGTTTGCAATACAAGCCGTTTCACTGACTGACATCTTCCCAGCTCTTTGCTCTGGTGGGTTTTTTGTTTGTTTGTGTGTTGAATGCTGTGGGTACCTCACGCTGCTTGTTTACGGCTTCCTCTAGAATGTGGTTGCCCATGGAAAGACTTGTTCATCAGGCACGGTCACTGCCATGTCCCCAGAAGTGAGGATGGGGACTTACCCACAGCTAGTGCCACACTCCTTTGTATGAATGAAGGAGCCAAATGTGCAACGTGCTTTCCCGACCAGATGCGTTAGCTGTCCTCCTCCAGTCACTTGCATGACCGACCACATGTATGTGATTTACAATGCTTCCAGACACGAAAGCATACTTTACCTCCAGTTCGAAACCAAGTAAAATGTGGCACATGTATACACTGGACTCTTACTCAGCCGTGAAAAGAGAGTGAAATGAAAAGTAGTACCTGCAAGTGGCTGTTACCCAATAGCCCCTCTCTCTCCAGCTCCGCCCTTCCTTGTGCCAGCGACACAATGAGCCTGTGCCCCAGGGGCCCCTGCCAACCTTGCTCGCTCTGAGGATTTCAACCAGCGTGTCATAGACAGTGTCTCTGTTCTTCTCCAGGAAGCCTTCACACTGGTACTCCACCTGTGCAGACAGAGGCCAGCGTCCCCAGGATCAGTACAGGCTCATCTCTTCCCTTCCTTTCTTTGTAGTACATGGAATCAAACCCAGAGCTCTACATGTACTGAGAGTGCGTTCCACCACTGAGCTACACTCCCAGGTCCCATCTGTGTGTGTGGGGGGGGAGGGTGGGTGGGTCTCTGGCAGTACATATATCCATAAATGAGCTCAGTCTAGACTTTTGAAGGATTTCTTGTGGTTAGATAAAAGCCAGCATTCCTTAGGACCTTGTGAAACATGTTCCAGGCCCCTAAAAGGAGTAATTTCCTTTGCTTCTGGCAGAAGGGACACATGGCTCCATTGACCTACAGCAGCTATTGGCATATCAAAGCTCATACTAGTTTCCAGGCCCCTTCATTCTCTACTCACAAGTACTTGTAATACATTCCAAAACTCCCATGCTGGTATCTTGGCCCCTCCTACTTCACCCCAAGCCCCCAGGCCTGCTCCAGTTCAGAGCTTCCCTCCTCTACCTAGTCCCTTCTGTCCCTTCTCTTGCTCTCTCATATTCTCTTTCTCTTGCTATTTTCTTGCTAGCTCCTGCTGTTCTCCCTTCTCTCCAAGTCTGCTCTGGACTCTTGGAGCTGTCTCTGAGCAGGGCTCCATCTGTCCCTAATTCCCCAGGGATGATGGGATTGCACATATGTGTCACCTTGCCTACTCTTTTCCAAATGGCTCAGGGGATTGAACTTGGGTCCTCAAGTACTTTACTGGCTTCTCTTCCCAGCTCCCCTCAGTGGGACTTGAATCCAACCACACTAGAGAAGTCCTGCCCTGGATAGGGCACATTGGGTTTTACTGTACCTTATCAGCGAAGTGCTGGATGATGAAGGATGTGTTTGACATTCTGGGCTTTTCGAATAAAGGGTTCTTGTTGATGAAATTGTTGTACAGCTTTTGAAGCCAGTTTTCATCCGTTCCATGAGGCAACTGGAAGAGAAGGCACAGACACACTCATGTAGCGATGAAAGATGGTGAAGGCGAGGGAAGAGGCTGATTTGGGGGCACCAAGGCCGTCTGCTGCCTCAGCGAGACCCTTCAAGGACAGAGGCCCTTCTTCCTCTGAGCAGTTCTAAGCATCTGCCTGCCTTTGACCTAATCTTTGTAGATAGCTAACTTTTATTCCGGACAGATAATAATCGTAGTAATATATGACATATTTATCACAATATTTAAATGGCTATGCCAGTCCCTTTAGAAGGGAAATGGTCGTGTCACGGCTTGTATAATGCAGGATAGGCAGTATTTTATTATTCTTTTCACAGAAGCCTCACAGTTCGGGGGGAGAGGATGGGATGGGAGCCCGACCCCACTCCGAGTGATGGGAAGGACAGCACCGGGTGTGTGTCCATCTCAGGGAAAATAGAGGGTTTTTGTTGTTGCTGTTTGTTTTTGTTTGTTTGTTTGTTTCTGCCTCCCGGAAACAAGATCTGGCTAAGCTCCTTGAAACCCTGTTTTTAATGCTGGCATTTCAACACTACTGGTTAAATTCAACCCAAACAGAGTGAATTCAATACCCCTTGTGTCTCAGTGTCTTCCAGGTCACCTTAGGAAACACTCCAGTACTTACAAATACTTGGAGTCTACCTTGGCCTCTATTCTCCTGCCACTAGAACATTCAAGAACACCAGCTTAATGCCTGAAAGAGCTGGTGCACAGGTGGTACATGGAAATATGAGCAGGAAGAACCCATTGAACCAAGAATTCCAGGAAGGAGCCACCAAGAAGTCCTCGCTATTGTGTATAAAACTGAAGACATGATGGAGCCCAGGTACAGTTGAGGGGGAGATTTTAAATTGTAGATCTGAGGGAGAATTTAGCCAGGGGCATCTGGAGGATTCTAGAGCAGGGAGAGAAAGTAGTACACTGAACACAGCCAGCAGAGGGGAGATAAAGGTGGGAGAGAGAAAGTAGGAGAGAAGAGAAAAAGGAGGACCAAGTGAGAGGGGTTCAAGAGAGCTCATGGCCAAAATGGCAGGGTTATATGGGAGTGAGAAGCTGGGGGGGAGGAAGGTTCATGAGCTGGAGAAGCTTAGGGTGGAGGGCAGGGGGAGAGCTGAGAGGAGCTACAGGTACTGAGTGAGCCTGGAGGCCAGAATGCAGATTACATTAACAGGCACCACAGTTAGCCAGCTCTTTTGGACCTGACATATTGTATCACTATTTTTAAGCAAATACATCTGGGGGGGGGGAAAGTCTTCTGGAGTGTCAGAAGCTACTGTTTCAAGCCCATTCATACTCTCCTGGGGATTATTGTTTTCTTGGGGCACACTGCTGGACTGGCCCAGGTTTAGGTCACTCCCCCCCAAAGAGCAAAAATAACAAGAAAACTCCTAGAGATTCTCTGGAATCAGATGGTGTTGACTTTTCGCTCCCTCTTCCGGTGACTCACAAGAACCAGGAAGAAGGAAACTTTGACCTTGTTGTTAGCAGTTAGCACAGGGTGGAGGGAGCCATTCACTGTGTGCCTACACATCCATCTGCTTGCTGGATGTTACCCTACTCATTGTGCGTGAGACCCTGCTAGGTCTCGAATCAGGAAAAAATGGCACCTGAGACGCCTATTTATCGTGTCAAAGCGGACTCTGGCCACCAGCCTCCCTCAGTTCCTACTCACAAGTGCCTATTACAGGGCTGGCATACCCTGCCTAATACCCTCAAGCTCTCCAGCTGCTGAACTCTACTGTCCTTCCCCAAGCTGCTCTTCCCTATATAACCCAGCCATTTTGGTTACGTGGCCTTTTGGCTTCTTAGCCTCTCTTGCCCTACTCTGTCTTCTTTTCCTCTCTTGCTCCCCCCACAGCCCAGTTTAGTCTGGACCCTTCCAGATGCCTCTGGCTGTTCTCTTCCTCATTTCTACAATAAACCTTCTCCACCATACCTAGGGGTGTCATGTCCTTGTTTGTTTTGTTTTGTTTTTTGTTTCATTCACTCAAGGGTGTAAGCATGTTAAGGGTGGGGAGGGTCCTAGGCCCTAGAGTCCCAGGTCCACATTAGTATCTCAGAGTTACCATCTAACCAAACTAGTAAGACACCCCAACTTTACAGACGTGTTTCCAAGAAGACCACTCTGTGGTATGTGCGTGAAGCCAGTCATTTTGAAAGTTACCAAGCATTCTTCATCCAACAACTCCAAAATGCCCATTTTTGCTTCAATCAGGTCAATAACGGGTTGATTGTCATAGAAGTCTATCAGAGTCCAAGGGATGTCTTCCTTCATGTATTCCTCTTGCTCAAGTTTAAAGACGTGCTAGGGATCCCAGAGATAAATTGGAAATTAAATAACATCAAAGAGAGCAGATGTAGGACAGGATCAAGCCTGAGCAGTGCAGATGGAGTCTGATTTGTGACCAGGAAAACCCTGGAACACTGACCCGCCTCTTCCCAGGGATGGGGCCACCAAGCTTCTCCTGTGGATCTGGCTGTCACCCCGACACCAGCCTGAGTGACTTCTCCACTCCTGGTGTGTCAGGCCTGGGCTACCGTGTGTCACCCACCACCAACGTAGCTCCCTGAGCCCTTCTGGCTGTGTCTGTGGGCCACCGCTGCTCTCTGGGGACAGAACCAGCTTCCTTGGCCTGAAGCAGCCCTGCCAGGGCAGGACAGCCAGCCACAGAGCATGCTGGCCATGCTGCCAGTGTGCAAAACTTATACTAGAGTTCAGGGTGTCAGGAGGCTTCCCTGGGACCTGACTCAGGCTCCTCCTGGAGGATGAAGGAAACCGGTGACAGATGGGGAGGAAAACATCACAAGTTGGCTCAAAAAAAGAAGCCGAAGATGGGGATGCAGTTTCGAGACACGACCAGAAAGTGGCACAGGAACTCCCTGTATAGCTCTACCGGTCTCTTCACCCATGCATGCATCCTCGAGTCAGGAATCGGCACTGCGCCTCGCTGGCCCCAGGAAGACAAAAAGCGCCACCTACCAGGTTAAACTGCTGCTGCAGCTTTTCATTAGCATAATTGATGCAGAACTGTTCAAAGCTGTTGACATCAAAGGTCTCAAAACTGAAACACAGTTGAACAAATTAAAATGAAAGCAAGCACAGGACCTAGACATTCATCACAGTTTAATAGTTTAATGATTCCATAGCGTAATGGTTTGCTTCAAAGTGGCTGGTTCCTACTAAACTGGCAGCTCGTTGATGGCCTACCCTTTCCCCCCCTGGTTGTTTTCTGGAAGGAATCTGACTGTACATGATTCACCTTCTGCAAGCCATGCATTACAGTAGGCCTGTCACAGGTGGTGTATTGCTTAATCCATATAACACGGGGCCAGCATTACTGACCTTGCTCTACATAATGGGAAATAACTGAGAGAAAGTAGACAGAGCCTGACTGGGAGTGACACCTAAGCTTTCAATAACAGGACACATCTCACCCTTCTCCCTGCCATGGAGGGGACACACAGGACAATTCTGGCTTCCCAAGGCTGACTTTCAGAGTTCCTGGAACAAAAATCATTCAACACCCCAGCCCAACAGGAAGCCACACACATCCCTGCCTTGTTTTCAGGCTTTAAAAACTGTCTCTAGGGTTACCAGAGTTGTAAACTCAAGAACCTGGAGCAGCCTGGCAGCACTTTGGGCCTGGCTGGTTACTGCACAACAGGGAACCCCTCGGGTCTGGTGATAAACAGGATTGTCTTAAGGAACAGCCTCACTTAGCTCTTGCCAGCTGTGGCCATGTATGAGGCCAGGGTTTCACATTAGCTGATTCTCAGGAGGAGGCAGCAGGATAGGCTTTGCTACGGTGTACACTAAGTCCTTTGCCTGGCATGGTGAGTACCCTGCAGGGAGGAAGCTAAACAGATGCCTGCCACTGTGTGCCCTGTACCCTGCAGGGAGGAAGCCTGAAGAGATGCATGCCCCTGCATGCCCTGCACCCTTCAAGGAGGAAGCCTGAAGAGATGCATGCCCCTGCGTGCCCTGCTTCTCGTGGCTCTAACTGCCTCAGGTGGAGGATTAATGGGACTTCTTCGTTATTACACATGAGGGTCAGAGCACAAGAGGCAGCAAATGGTGCCCAAACGGCAGCTTGAGTCCCTATCCCCCACCCTCTTACCCATGCCCTTGTCCCCCACGGCTCTGGTTCTATGGGGTCACTGCCAACCCCACCATAGGTTCCTGGACAGTCCAGGGTGACTGGAAGCTAATGGTACCAGCTGTTTGCATAATTTTCTGAGCACCTGAAGTGGAGGCTGGCTTGGACCTGGAGGGACCTCAAGTCAGGGCCAAGACCAGGGCTTCCCACAATAAAGCAGACTGCCAAATGAGGATTCTTTTTAGGTATTATGAGCTGAAGTCTGTGACAATGCAGGCAAAACACTTTATATATAATAGATAAATAAATCTTTAAAAAAAGACTCAAGGTGCTTCAGGGATTTCTTCCACTTGACTTTCCTGATAGTCCTGCAGGAGAGGCCCTAGGAGACACACACACACATAGACATGCAGACGGACAGACACACAGACACTCACGGATACACAGACAGACAGACTAACACACACACACAGACATACATAGACACACAGATGGACAGACACACAGATACACAGACAGACAGGCACACAGATACACAGACAGACAGACTAACACACACACAGACATACACACACACATACATAGACACACAGATGGACAGACACACACAGATACACAGACAGACAGGCAGACACACACACAGATACACAGACAGACAGACTAACACACACACAGACATACACACACATACACAGACACACAGATGGACAGACACACACATATACACAGACAGACAGGCAGACACACACACAGATAGACAGACAGACAGACTAACACACACACAGACATACACACACATACATAGACACACAGATGGACAGACACACACAGATACACAGACAGACAGGCAGACACACACACAGATAGACAGACAGACTAACACACACACAGACATATACACACACATACACAGACACACAGATGGACAGACACACACAGATACACAGACAGACAGGCAGACACACACACAGATACACAGACAGACAGGCAGACACACTATTATTCCTCTCCTTGCCTCCTTCACCAGTAAAATGAAGTCACAGAGGGCAAGGACCTTTCATCACACAGTGCCTGGCAAGTACTTATTTGTTAGACAGAAGTATAAAGTAAGGGCTAGGGAGATGGCTCTGCAGGTAACGCTGTGTACTGTTCTTACAGGGGAACAGAGTTTAGGACCTGATACCCACGCTGGGTGGCCCACAACTGCCTGTAACTCCCTCTTCCAGACTCTATGGGCATCAACACTCATACATGCACAAACTACATATACATAATTACAACAATAGAATAAATCCTAAAAAATATGAAGAAATATACTCCTAAAGTAAAAAGTCTGCTGTTTTTAAAGGCAAGTTCAAGATACTACAACAGCCACTTCTCATCTCAATGTAAGAATTTTAAACCAGGCTACACATTTTTTCCAATGTTATTTAATTTTTTCTTACTGTTACTCAAATTGTTTCTTGGAATAAGATAGAGTAAATAATTTACTAACCTATATCAGCAGTGTATTAGCATTTTAAAACTATTGATGTGTTTTAATTGCCAGCCATGAGTAGTCTACATTAAACAGTAACTCCCTTTAGAGTCTCATTTTACCTGGAACAGGTATAGGAACAGCTGGTTTTCTACCTGGGTGAAAAGTTCAAGGACAAAGCCCTGCCCCTAGTCACTCTGCCCTTCGCTCTTTCTCCTTGCAGCCAGCAGCAGGGACATGGAGGCCCAGGCCCTTTCCTTTGGGTGGCGGAAGAGCCCCCAGCTGGTAGAAACCACAGTGCCTTTCACAGGATGAATCTTCCCAGTGTTCCATCAAGATGCAGATGTGGTCCTGGGAGAGTGGCGGAAACTGGGGCATGGGACGCCAATTGCTAAGAACCAGAAAGTTCCTTGGGAGTCCTCCCCACAGCTTCCACCCTGCTTGCTGTAAGCACCTTCAGCAGGAGCTGGACCCAGGATTCAGAAAAGCAGGACGGGGTAGAGAAAAGAATGAACCGGACTCCAGAGAGGCCCAGGTACTGTGCTGTATAAAGAAGGGGTGGGGTGAACCAGAGCCCTTATCACCCAGGAGAGGACAGCAATGTAGGTGTTGAGGGCAGGAGACATCAGGTAGGCAGACTGGGAGGATGCTAGCCTGCCCTAGCTGGCATTTCCCTGGGGGAACAGGAAGGCACTACAGGGATGTATAACTCATCAGCCTGTAGGGGATGGAAGTAGACCACAGCCTCCTGCCAAAGGACCAGCCAAGAACAGCTTAGTTTTCCAAGCCTTGGTTGTTACATTTCTAAAGTGGGGGTGTTTCCAGGTGACTTGAGAAGCCACTTACCACAGGAACTGTTGCCCAGAGAGGTTTGCTGGCTGTTATTACTTTAGCATTTATTGTGTATGTGTGCTCATGTATGTGTATGTATGTGCTCATACGTGTGCACACAGGGAGGGCAGAGGTTGACGTTAGGGATCTTCTATAGCCTACAGCCTATTTTGTTAGTTGAACATAGAACCCATCAGTTCAGCTACGTTGGCATTCCTCTGCCTTCCCTGTGCTCTGCTGAGCCTAGCCTTTTACGTGGGTGTTGGGACCTGAGCACATGTTCATTTAGCAAGCCCTTTACCCACAGAGAAAGTTCCCTGGCCCTTGCTTGTCATTTATTTAATGCACTCTACAGAAAGGACACTACGACCCAGGAGCCGTACTTTACATCTCTACATGGAACACAGGAATCATGCAAAAAAGTGGAAAGAAGCAACCTAAAAATAACAGGGCGTTTGACATTTAAATGATGAAAGGCACACAGAAGACAAGCTTACCCATAAATGTCCAAAACGCCAATAAAAGTGTGCTGCTTGCCTGAGAAGTGCAGGGCCTGGTTGATTCTCTCTACAATGAAGTCGAACAGGTGAGCGTAGATCTTTTTGGCCAGTGCGTCTCTGGCATTGATGGCCTGAGGCCTGGTCATGGGCTTTACCACAGTCTCCGAGGTAGTCATGATTTTTCTATTGCATAGCCACTGAGCCACTTTGCTAGACTCCAGGCCCAAGAGCTCACAGAATACCTTCAGGTGACTGTCATCCTCCTTCAAGAAACAAACACAAGCCCTATCAGAGCCACCCAGCCACCCAATGTTAGTACTGCCCCATCTGGCCAAGCCATCCCCCCAAAAACGATTCCTGGAGAGGAATGCAGAGGCAGCAGCCTGCTGACTCAGGAGGAGAGTTTGTCTGATGTCCTAAGCTCCTGAGATAAACGAGTTGTATGCTGTACCAAAGCCAAGACCAATAATTATGACTCAACTTTTCTAAAGGCTTAACTGGGGCTGGAGAGAAGGCTCAATGGTTAAGAGCACTGGTCGATCTTCCAGAGAATCCAGGTCTGAGATCCAGCACCCACACTGCAACTCACAACTGTCTGCAACACCAGTCCCAGGGGATCTGACACCCTTACTGGCCTCCTGGGGCACCAATCATGGAAGGGTACACAGACACACACAGGCAAAGCACTCATACACATACAATAAAAATAAGTGAATCCCCCTTTTTTAATGTCTCAGAATTCTCTCTTCTCTAAGGCACTGCCTCCATGGCACACGACAAACCTGGTGTGACAGAGCTCAGCGTGACCATGTTTGTTGGGTGGGAACCATGTTTACTCTGTGGGAGTTTAGTCAGCTCTCCCAACATCCCAGTCATCTGAGGACTGGCAAACTCTGTGAGGTCGGGACACTGCTGGTGGGAGGGGCAGCGGATGTGAGAGGAGGAAGGGAAGAGGAACATCCTGGTCACCAGGAGAGTGGGAGAGCATTGAGGAGGAGGGAAACCGGCTACCTACCCTCAGCCTATCGTAGGCTTCCCTACTGTCTCCACATTAGACCATGAGGTCAGAATTCCTGTTTGGTTTGATGTTGTTTCATAGTGCTTACAACCCCAGGCACATGGTAGCCTCCACAGATGGTTGTTGAATAAAAGAACACATAAACATATAACACACACACACACACACACACACACACGCATGCACACGCCTGCACGCACACATGCACACATGACAAGTCAGTAAGATAACCCTTGGAAAGCTTTCTTCCTCGTTCCTGCTAAACCAGTCTGCCCAGCAGATCCAACTGTGACTGGTGCTCATCCATGACGGCCAGTGAGCCATGAGCTGTGCCACTGACCTTCACACCCCAGAAGGGCAAAGGGAACATGACTCTTACACTGACTGAAGACCTCTCGTTGGCCACGGTGGTGACCTGCACATTACCCAGATGTAGGATGGCGGCGAGGATCTTGAAAACATCCATCTGAAAATCTTCCTTGAAACCTGAAAGCGAACATTCCCCAAGTCAGGGCACTGCTGTTCTTCTATGCCCACAATTCAGCACCCGGATTCTCCCGAGACTCTCCAGCTTCAGTGCCAGGACCTGGGACAAGGGTGTGAAGTGGGCTTGTCATGGGGCAGGAGTGTGAAGTAGACTTGTCATGGACAGGGGTGTGAAGTGGGCCCAGTCCCTACAGACCAACCACTGTGGATCAAGGCAAAGGGTTCTTGTGTCCTTGGGTCTCTGACTGGGTCTGCTTAAAGGACAGCTTTGGAAGGAGATAAAGGACGAGGAGGAGGATGGCCAACAGGAAGAGCAGGAGAAGGAGAAGGAAGAGGAGTAAGGCTCGGTAGAGGATGAGCAGAAAGTAGAGTTAGAGAAGGATGCTCTGCACATGCCCACCCCAGCTCTTCAGTGCAGCATGGCCTCTGCTTGACTGTGTTGCCTTACAGTGGTCTCTGCTCCTGGCCTGGCATGGAGTTTACCTGAGTCTCCTTTCAGGTTCATAAAACAACCCTGAGTCTGAACAGTTCTGCCACTCCTCCTGGGTCGCGGCTGTCCATGGTGGCTTCCTCGACCTCAGGAACATTCTCTGTGTTGGTCCTTTCATAAATAAGCATTCCCTCTCTGATCCTGTCTTGATGTTGCTAAATAATCCCCCTGGGATCTTGACTGATGCACGTGGAATACACATAGGGAGACTTGGCCCATTTTCTGGTGCCGAAAATAAGCTAACCCAGCTGCTAGGAGTACCATGTGTGCTGCCAGCTGTGACATGGGCTGTTGCTAATCAGGACACAGTCACGCATGCTTGCAGCAATCTGTGAACATGGAGAGATGCTGGAACCCGCCCATCACGTCCAAGTTCCCTGGACCATGTTGGACAGACAGCAGAATGGAGGCCACCGCCATCCCGGCTACCCAGCAAAACACTAGGCCCTGAGGTCAGAGAAGGGCAGCTGATGCCATCAAAGCTTCCCATGGAGAAAACCTGGGGTTCTGGATCATCAAGGAGGTCAGATTCCTAAAGAATCTGCAAATCTTCTCTGTTTTGCTATCCAGGCCCAGATCCAGGGCTATGAGTTGACCCATCCCAACATCTACCCCATCTATGGTCTGCTGGAACACATGAAGGGCCTGGTCCTGAAGACCCAAAGTTACAGGATCTCCATGACACATGGCAAAAACAGGATATCTAAGAGGAGCTCCAGTGAGGGCCCAGCATGGATAGTGTAGCAGAAACCAGAGGCCTAGAACCAGACTGATGACTCTTGGAAATGAACATTTGCAAGTAAGGATGTAAGAACTAAAGGGTGTGCTGTCTGACTCACTGTGTGTCACACTACACTTCCACAGTGAGATTTTTCTTTTCTCCCTCCCTCTCTCTCTCTTTTTTGTACTTTTTGTTTTGTTTTTTGGAGACAGGGTTTCTCTGTGTCCTGGCTGTCCTGGAACTAACTGTAGACAGCAGGCTGACCTCGAACTCATAGAGATCCACCTGCCTCTGTCTTCCATGTGCACCTCCACTACCCAGCTCTCTGTCTCTGTCTCTGTCTCTCTCTCCTCTCCTCTCCTCTTAAATTTTATTTTGTTTTATTTTGTGCAGGGGAGGCTTCGGGGCAGATATGACGGGACAGGAGATGAACGGGATCAAGATTTATGATGTGAAAGGCACAAAGAATAAATAAAAAGAAAGTTTAAAAAACCTTCTCTGCTTTAAAGATGAAAGATACCAGACCATGAATGCATAGGGTATTTCAGCTCATTGGGTCTGGGAGTTGAATGATAGGTAAGCCTAGAAAACCTGCAGGTGGTTGATGTGACAAATGACAAAGAAATGACTAAGGAAAGCAGAGGAAACCACGGGGCCTGGCGTGCCCTGTTGGCATTTTGTAGTCTCTAACCAAATCTTTTGGCCACCAGGCCTTTCAGGGACAAAAATGTGCAGCCTCACCAGCACCGTATGTGATGGATTGCAAGCCTCGGTAAGTCAGGATCTGTCCTGAGACAAAGGCTCTCCAATATCAGACAGACACCAGGGAGTGAGTGTGCCAAGTCCTGTCCCTGGAGCCTGAGGTGTGGACTTGTTGACAGAGACCAAGGGTCAGAACAGCAGCCAAATCATTGCAGGAAGGGAAGGGAAGGGCTGCAGAATAGCAGAAATGGGGGCAACGATCTATATCAGCGTGTCTAACATGGCTCAGACAACCCAGGAAAGAGCGACCAGCAGGCAGCAAGCAGCTTCCATCCCAGTCACTGGCTGAGGCATTTGACACCTCACACAGTCCAGGGATGGCCCTGGCCATTAGCAGTCCTCGTAGGTGGCAGAATAATGTCCTTTGCTTCTCTGCACAATGCAGGGCTGACGCTGGATAGAGACAAGTCAGTGTCCCCAGTTCCTGTTCTTTATTTTAAAACTGACTCCTGTATGTGAGTGCTGGCCTCCATGTATGGAAGTGCACTCTTGAGTGCTTGGTGCCCCTCTGAGCTCAGAAGACATATCTGATTCCTTGGAGCTGGAGTTAGAGGTGGCTGTGAGCTGCCAACTGGGTGCTGGGCAAACCTGGTCTTCTGGAAGAGCAGCCAGTGCTCTTACCCACTGAGCCATCTCTCCAGCTCCTCAAGCATGTTTTTATATGCCCTGAGGGTGTGCACTTCCTTGGCTAGCATGATGTCGCTTACCCAGCAGTGTGAAGGTCTTCTGCGTCTCTGCCATGTCAGCTCTGTCACTTACACCCTCAATGACAGTGTTACCTCCCATTCTCGTGTAGTTGAACTCCTCAGCACTCCCTGGGACAGAAAGGACAATTAATTCTACCCATATCTCAGAAATCTGGACATACATGGCTATCAGAAATAAGAAAAGGCCAGGCATGGTGTTTTTCCCTCGCTTCCCAGTACCAAGTTAAAGGTTAGCCTGGGCTACATCATAAAATCCTGTCTGAGAGAGGGAGAAAGCAGGGTTGGGGAGAAGGAAGGAACAAGAAGGGAAGCTCATACTTAATGGGCACTGTGAAACCCTTTACAAGGGTATTATAGAAACGGAAGCTGAGACTCAGCCAAGTGAAGGTCTCACCCCACATCTGAGGCAAAGCAGGGGTGCAAAGGCAGAACTGAGTGTAAATCTCTGGGTATAGTTCCTGCCACCCCTGCTTCCCCCTCTCCTGGGGTTACAGGCATGCACAGCATGCCTGGTTATTTGCAGGGCTGGAGATTGAACCTGCGGCTTCATGCATGCTAGGTGGGCACTCAACTGAGATATATTGGCTGCTCTTCCAGAGGACCCGGTTCAGTTCCCAGCACCCACATGGCAGCTCACACCTGTCTGTAACTCCAGCTCCAGGGCTCTGACACCCTCACACAGACGTACATGTCGGTAAAGCACCAGTGAAAATAAATAAAAATAAATTATTGAAAAATAATATTATATATATTCACAGCTCTTTCTCTTTGGGGGGGTCAGTATTTTATTATGTGATCCTAGGTAGCCTATAAATTGCTATGTAGACCAGGTTAGTCTTGAACTTGTGGTGATCCTCCTGCCTCTGCTTTCTGAGTATTGAGACTATCCATGTATGGTGCCACAGCTGGTCAATCTGATTTACTTCACGCATTCATTTGAGCTCCAAAGCCCACCCTATGTGTTTTAGAGAAAGCAGTTTTTTAAGTTGTGTAATAATAAACTAAGAACTTAAGCACCTTCAGGAAAGAGCCATTTCATCCGCCACCCCCCACATACCTAGTTTAAGATGTTTAAATTCTGACTGTTGCGCGCATGCACAGAGCTGATAGAAGATGTGGTAATTCCGTTCATTTTCTGACTGCAAGAGAAAAGAAAAGGTCCCATTACACCAACCCTTTAACCAATGAAAATGCCAGGGCTTCAACTTGAGGCCCCTAGATACCAGTCTGGACGGCTGATTCCCTGAGGATGGACATGGCTTCCAATGGCCAGCTCACAGCTGGCTGTCCTCGTAAGTGAGTAAGAACTGGGGGCACAGCCGGGCATTTATGGCGCATGCCTTTAATCCCAGGGAGGCAGAAGCTGGCGGATCTCTGTGAGTTCAAGACCAGCCTGGTCTACAGAGCTAGTTCCAGGACAGCCTCCAAAGCCACAGAGAAGCCCTGTCTCAAAAACCAAAAACAAACAAACAAACACAAAGAACTAGGGCGGACATGATCTTCAAGCAGACATCCCAGAAAACATAATTAAATGAAATATCCTGTGAAAAGGAATGGTGTGATTTCTATGAGCAGAAACTTCTTCGATGTCATTGGGGTACTCAAGGCTTCTTGTTGCTCTGGCCAATGTGTTTAAGAAGTTCCTCCATTTACTCACAGAAAAGCCTTTCCCCTCTCTGCCCCCACTTACCAGCTCTAATCCCCTCTCTCACCAACAGGAAAGTCAGGCTGGCAGCTCTGCTTGCTTCAGTGTTTGTGTTCAAGAAAGATACACTTGACTTTTAAGCTCTAAGGGTTTTCTTTTCTCCCCAATTAAAAAACAGTACCTTTATTCTTAATTCCACAATGCAGAAGATTGCATCTATGTATCAATTTCAATTTTTTTTAAAAGAACAAGCCGGGCAGTGGTGGCCCACTCCTTTTAATTCTCAGCACTTAGGAGGCAGAGACAAGGGAATCTCTACAAGTTCGAGGCCAGCCTGGTCTACAAAACAAGCTCTAGGACAGTTAGGGTTATATGGAGAAACCCTGTCTCAAAAACCAAAATAAAGCAAAACAACAAAAGAACAGATAAAGAGGCCGAAGGGCAAAGGAAAGGCAGTCAAACTCCACTTTTCAGGATGTAGACTTGAAGGTTGTCTAGTGAGTCTATGCATATAAGCAGTATTTAGAGCTGGGAATAGGGGACTTAATACTTTGATCCTTACCTGAAAGACAACTCTGGATTTCTCCAGGAGGTAGGTTCTCATATTGGCACCGATGATCTGATTTCTCTCATCAAAGCTGATTTCTGTGTATTTCCCAAACCGACTGCTGTTGTCATTGCGGGTAGTCTTGGCATTTCCAACAGCCTAGAACCACAGTGTTGGGCATCACAGGGGGGTTGTTGATCAGTGACAATCCTATCTCAAGCATGCAGGCTGGTCAGGTTGTGGAGGGGCCTGGGGCTGGGGAAGGGCAGCCTGGCTCCTCTAAATCTGGAGGAACACAGATTCTGGACTTCACTGCCCTGAGGTCCGTTTCTGCTTTCCATAGAATGCCATAAAATTTAACTTCCTTTTTCATGTCTTCTACTTGCAATATGGGAACTAATGAATCTTGTGGACCAAGTGCTGTTATGGACTGAATGTGTCCTTCCACAGCCACATGATTCTTTTAAAAATTATTTTGTACCAGGCAGTGGTGGCACACACCTTTAATCTCAGCACTCAGGAGGCAGAGGCAGGTGGATCTCTGTGAGTTCGAGACCACAGACCAGCCTAGTCTACAAGAGCTAGTTCCAGGACAGCCTCCAAAGCCACAGAGAAACCTTGTCTCAAAAAAAAAAGTATTTTGTGTATGAGTGTGGGTACATGCACACACATGTCTGGAAGTCAGAGGACTTTTGCTCTCTACCATGTGAGTCCCGGGGATTGAACTCAGATCCTTGGGCTTGGCAGCGTATGCCTTTATCCACTGAGCCGCTTCACCAGTCCAAACCTCTGTGCATTGAAATCCTCACTTATTTTATTTTATTTTTTGGCATAAGGAAGGCTTGAGGGCAGAGCCCTAGGGGACGGGATTTCATGCTAATATAAAAAAGACCCTCAGTAAAGAGCTCGCCCTGCTCTCTTTCTCAGTCACGTTAAGACACTCGAGTCTTCACAGAGCTGCACCGTGCTGGTACCTGGTCTCGGTGCCTACATCTACAGCCTCCAGAACGGTGAGAAATAAACCTCCGGTCTCTGTAAGTCCCCAGCCTATGGCACTCTGTTACAGCACCCGAATGGACAAAGGGTGGGTAGGCACAAAGGAGGAGGTCGTATAAAGTGTGTCAACTGTCCAGGCAGGGCTTACAGAGGTTCAGCAGAAAGTTCACACCCTTCCTGTATTCATCTCTAGCCTCACTCCTTCCTGAGCAGACTTCCTAGTCAGCCACAGAAACTGCCCTTCCCACCTCCAGGCTGATTTTCATTCTAGAATCTCCTTCTCTGTCTGAACACCTTCCACCTAGAAGGAAACTTTGTCCTCCTCTTCTTCCTCTCTCTCTCTCTCTCTCTCTCTCTCTCTCTCTCTCTCTCTCTCTCTCTCTCTCTCTCTCTCTCTCTCTCACAAAACATTCTGTCCAGACTGGCCTGAAACTTGCCATCCTACTGCCCCAGTCTTCCAAGTGCTAGCTTCTGTTGACATATGTCTGCTGTGTACCTACGATGAGTCACAGGCTTGGTCAGCAAGACAGAACTAACTGGTGTGGTCCCACCTTCACGGAGCTTAGAGTCTGGTAGGAACAGAAATCTTAAATAGCTCTACAGCCATTCACTAGGCAGGTCACAAGGCATTTCTTCTGGACTGCTTTCCTGTCACTCTCTTGGATGGTGATCTAGTGTCCATGTGCCAGTGTGTGTCTCTAGCTGTGCACCTAAGGCGTGCTCGGTTCCCTCTCTGTCCTTGAGGTTATTTCATTTAAAAATATGCTTCTGTTAGCAAGGGTCCGGATCTTAAAGACCAGGTCTTGCTTATTTCTGTTATGTTGGATACTGTCCCACAGTGATCTAAACCAAGCGGGCAGTGGGGGGTCCCTTAAGGTCCTGATTTGGAAAACAGGGAGAGGGCTCTGGAGGCCACAGGCTGTATTGCCAGGCTTGTTCTCTGCAATCTTCTTGTCATTTTATAAGGCGTGCAGTGTTGGCCCCGGGGTCCCTTTCCTGTGCAGTCTAGGTGTCCCTCCTCTCATGGGGCTGCCTGCTCATCTGGGGTGCTCTGTGGCGGCTTTGCCCCACTGGAGAAAGGAGTAAGACTAGGAAGTAGCTGTAGCACGTGCCCAGGCATAAGCTGTCAGTGCTCTATGACTGACTTTAGACTTCCAAAGCTCAATTCCCTCACAAAACTCGAGAGTGAATAACAACCAGCTTGTGGGAGTGGATGGCTGCTGCCTGGAGAGCATCTGTGAGCTCTGTGTGGCTGGGGATCGCCCCTGGGATGTCAGTACACATATGGGGTCTTCAAATCTGACAACACAACATCCGGTGTTGTAGGTAGAGAACACGCTGGCAGTCACCCCTCTGCCTCACCTCCTCCAATCTTACCACCGAGCTCGTATCCCTGCTCTTCCCGCTCTCACTTCTTTGGTCTTTAAAGGAGGGAAGTTACAGCAACAAGCACGGCTCATGCCAGAGCCTCCTCCCGGAGCCTCCAACCCTCATCATCCCCTGCAGTGATGCAGTGCCCACCTCAGTGATGGGATTGGATGCCAGGACTTTGTCCTCCACGTGGGTGTTGCTGCTGGATTTGCTGACAGTGGCAAAGTACCTCATGGCGTAGCGTGCAGAAACAGTCTTCCCAGCTCCTGACTCCCCACTCACGATTATGGACTGATTTCTATTGTTCCTAAAACCAACACAGGAGAGACACGCACTGAGATATGCTGAGAAATATTAACTTTCCTCTTTTAAAATGGCAGCATAGTGCAAGGCCAGCCTGAGCAACACAGCAAGATCTGTCTCTGAAAAAGAAATGATTAAGGGTAGAGATGTCGCTCAGCTGATACAGTGCTTGCCTAGCATGCATGAAGCCCTGGGCTTCACCATCAGCTCCCTACAAGCCAGGCATGGTGGTGCACTAAGGAAGCAGAAGCTATATAGGATGTTAGAGGCCAACCTGGGCTACATGAGACCTTGTCTCAAACAAACAACAACAAAAACAAACAAAGCAAAGAAAGGCCCTATCCATCCATCCGTCTGTCTGTCTGTCTATCTATCTACCTACCTATCTATCATCTACCTACCTATCTAATTTAGAAAAAGGTCTAGAAAACTGGAAGATAGGGAACTATTCCATGGGTTCAAATATTCAGCGAACTTCCTTCTAGCTTTTTCTTACAGGTGATCACTGAGAACACATACTGTTTCCTGCTAATGTCCCTTGTCCCTTTGTGTTGAGGTCCCCAATACCAAGGCCAAGGTCAGCAATCACTAGAAAGATGAGGCTTCACAGTCAAAACCAAAGCTAGGATTCATGAGACCAAAGAGTTCAGAGCAAGACAGGAAACTGGGTGGAGACTTCCCAGGAGCCTTCCTGCATTGTGTCATGATGGCCATGTTCCTGCCTCAGGGAATGGATTTCATGCTTGTGTGAAGGTCTGTTTGCCTGGAACCCACACATCAAGGGCTCTGTGCTTCCAAGCCAACTGAAGTTCTGCCTCCCAGGAGGAAAGGTGGTTCTCAGTATCAAACACGCTGCTTCTATAAGGTGTAAGGTGTAGCCATGTTTGTATGAGATAGAGTGAACTGCCCGAAATTAGCCGGGCTCAGGCCAGCTTTCAGGGGGCTCTAAGGACAGCTCCCTCCAGCCATGTTAACAAGCCTGCACATCCTACCAACATTATTTTAAGAGCAATGATTCAAAATACATTTGGGGACATATGTGCTCTCTAAGCCTACACAGTTACATAATGTAGGCTGCTTTAAAAATAATACCTCCAACTTTTCAAGCCACAGGACTATGGGGAACTAATGCCACCCCGGTGTTAGCATTTATTTATGTGGTAGACACTGGGTGGACATTTCACATATGCTCTCAGTTTCGCTTCACAAAAGGCTAATTATCAGTTTTACAGTTGTGTAAGACAGGAACTCAGGTGTCACATGAGTTGACCTGGGGCATACTATGGACACATCCTGTGGTGACACTGGAGTCCCTGGTTCAGTCATTTTATTTCAAAAGAAAGTGTCTAAAAAGGTACCAGACATGTGTCTCTCAAGAAAGGTAGATGGCTGTGTCCAGCACCAAGCCAGGGTACCAAGAGCCTGCTTTCTCTTCAGTACATGCATTCCGGTGACACAGATTCAAGCTGGAACCTGGCATGGCCCTGCAGTTGGCCTCACACTGTTGATGACCAGACTGTAACCTCAGATGCTGGCCATCACACTGTACTTCAGGGGCTTATGGAGGCCTCCAGCAGCCAGAAAGTTCCAGATGCAGGGTGTGCTATGGTTGGAAGCAACCTCGGTACAGCATAGACATCCATCCTCTCCTCGTTCTTGGGAACAAGACCCCATTGTTAGAGACTGAGCTACTGCCTGAGTGAAAAGTATACCAGCCTTGTCTGGCCATGTGGGTATGTCACATGAGCAGTGTTGCTCTACGGGGCTCTGTCACCTGGAGGACAATCCCTCTCTTGATCCATGTGACTTAGAGTATGGAGGAGATGGCCAGGCATTAGACTGGCCCTGTTGCTAAGGGTCTCACTCAAGGGACAGGGGAGTGGGGTATCATTAAGTCTCTGATGACTTGAAAGAGGTGAAATTTAACCTCAGATTGTTCATCAGGCTTCCCCGTAGGAGAGAAGCATGCCTCGTTTATATCATGGCTTCCTTTGTCATAAGCCCGGAACAGAAATGAGCCTGCTAGCAAGTCTGGGTCACAGATGGGGACCATGCAGCTGCTCCAGCTGGAATTACAAGGCAGACAGCAGAGCCCATACCACAGCTTCTAATGCTAGATGGGGGTAATGATATTAGTACAATGGACATCGCAGGAGTGAGGTAAAACCCAAAATCACTGTGTGTGAAAATTCTTTTGCCAACTGTAAAGTGTTTGGCAAAGTCAGGGTGGCATTTTTTTCTCTAGTATCTTACAGATAAGGACAATGGAACCACAAGAAGACAGTCATGGGAATGAAGAATATCTGGGCCTAAATCCCAGCTCTGTCTTTAGCCCATTGCCTACCCAGAGGTAGATATCACTCTGGGGGGTAGATTACTGGCCAGGCATGGATCTGGTGGGCTGTCTCAAAGGTATGAAGATGATGCAGGGAATGTGAACCTGGTGTCTTTGTACAGGAGGATTTATGTAAACGTTTAGTGGCAAAATCAAAATTCTACAGGGTCATGAAAAGCAAAGTGACAAAATCAGGTTAAAATCCAAACCTGTGGCTAGAACCTGTGCTTTTCTGGAAGTGGATTCCACCTCTTAAACAGGTAAAAACCAAACATCCACAAACCATAAATATCTCAGTGCAGACTCATTTGGTCCTCCTCCAACCAAACACACTGCAGGGAAACAGATGGAAGGCCTGACTTGTGACCACACAGGAGCAGAACCAGAAAGTCTCTAGACAGGCCAGCCACCCTGTGACTATCACCTATCCATTATGGCCATCTATCCAGCAAAGCACATACCCATCCGGCCTCACAGTCCCTAATAGTGAACTCACTCACTACGAGGGCTGAGCAAGTGCAGGGAATTCCGGGAGAGCAGAGGAAGGTCCTCCTGGAAGCAAACTACCTGGCCATCTGCTTGTAAGCCTCCTCTGCGACGGCAAAGATGTGTGGGTCCATGTCACCCATGTTCTGTCCGCTGTAGGCATGGATGATGGCATCCCCATAGATGGGCAGCTGTTTGTAAGGGTTCATGGCCACCAGGATGATTCCTGAGGAAAGAGGTGAGGCACGGTCACCAGACTCTCACGGGGCTACCCCATCTGCTCCTTTGAGGGAGAGCCTCCTTGAATACACTTCTTTTTAATGTCCGACTCTTGGCGCTTCTGCAAACAGGCTAGGAAACATGTTCAGGGTGGTGGAGCTCTGGTTTTAGTGTTGTCCCCATCCACCGTTGTGCACGCAGAAGTCAGTGGGCTGGAAACTTAACCCCCTTCATGTCTTAGGTGCACCTAGAGATGGTCTTCTGAGAACTGTTAACATCAGATGAGGGGCTGAGGGTGAGGACCCACAGTGGCCACGTTTGCACACCTGCTCTGTCTCGAATTGGGATGCCCTCACCAGATGTTCCATAGGTGCTAGCCATACCCTTGGGCATCCCAGCCTCCAGAGTCATGAGCTGAACTTCCGCTTTCTGTAAGTTATCCAGTCTCAGATACCCTATTACAGCAACAGAAAATAGATGAAGACATGCCCCCCTCCCTACTCTACCCAGAAGGCCCCTTCTGCCACTCCTAAAGCCTTCGCTTGACTTGGGTTAGGTCACTGAATGTTATGGGTCTTTGTTACCTGACAATCACTGCAGCTGTTTTTATTTTACTCTTTACTTTTTGGGGGCCTGCCACAAAGCTCCCAAATAAATACACATTATTACTTATAAATGCCTGGCCTTAGCTTGGCTTATTTCTAGCCAGCCTTTCTTAACTTAAATTATCCTATTTCTCGTCTCTGGGCTTTTTACCTTTCTCTATTCTATACACCTTTCTTTCCTTCTTACTCCATGGCTGGTTGCGTGGCTGGGTGGCTGGCTCCTGGTGTCTCTCCTCCTTTCCTCCCTCTTCCTTCTTCTATTTATTCTCTCTGCCTGGCAGCCCACCTATCCCTCTCCTGCCTAGCTATGGATCGTTCAGCTCTTTATTAGACTAACCAGGTGTTTTCAACAGGCAAAGTAACACAGCTTGACAGAGTTAAACAAATGCAACATAAAAGGACACATCTTTGCATCATTAAACAAATATTCCACAGCATAAAAGAATGTAGCACATCTTAAACTAACATTCCACAACAAGCCATCTTCATCTCTGGGCTGTTCTGATGGCCAGATGGGGTGACACATAGGAAATGAACTGCGTTTTTGCAATTCCCAGTATAAATGCAACAATAACAACAATGTCCCAGGAAGTAACACACGTGTGGGGTCTAGTGAGAAACTCGAAACACAAGCCCGTGGTGTTTGCTTTTCTTATAGTCCATCTTCGTTCCCATGAAAGATTCTCCCCGCACAGATGCCTCTTTTTACACACACTCTCAATGCTTAGCATAGACTCGGCAACCAACATGCTCGGGACACTCAGACAGCAGGCCTCCGGGTGCACACTCCTTACCGCTGTAGGTATAGATGAGCTTGGACTCTGCAAAGCGGATTCTGAGGTTATGCAGCACTGCTGGCTCGTGGAGGTAGCTGAGGGCTGTGAGGTCATTCTCACCCACAAGGATGTCCGGGTTTCTAAGTGGAGGCAGTGACCCTGGGTCAACAGGGTAGTCCAGCTCCTATGAACAAAGATAGATCTAAACTCCTGGAAACACAGGGTCTTTGATACTTCCACTAGACAGTCTCCTTTCTCCTCTCTAGCTCCTACAGAAGCATTTCTCACACTAAACCAACAACAAGAATCAAACCTAGACAACAGCAGCATACAACTTTTTAAGAGGTTGTTTGTGTGTGGGGAGGTGGGGTAGATGTTTTGCCTGAGTGTATGTATATGCATGACATTTGTGCAGTGTCTGCAGAAGTCACAAGAGGGTATTGGATCCCGTGGAACTGGAGTTACAAATGGTTGTGAACCGCCATGTGGGTACCCAGTTTGAACCTGGGTCAGTAAGAGCAGCAGGTACTCTCAACTGCTGAGACATCTCTCCAGCCCCTATAACTTTTTTTTTTTGAGATAAGGTCTCACTGGGTAGTACATACTGGCCTCAAACCCTCTATCCTCCTGCCTCAGCACTGTTGGAAGGTGAGTGTTACCACACCTGTCTTAGAAATGCTAAGTAGAGGAGAAAGGAAATAGCCTTCCTAAGTGACTCTGGGTAGTGAAAAACTGGGAGCCAGGGACCAAAGCACTGACTGTGTGTCTTTCTAGGGGAACAAAGCACTGAGGATGTCTTAGAGCAATTTTGACTGTGTGTCTCACCCCCCAACACACACACCTGACTTCCCTCCTCTTTGAAGGGGTCCTCAGGGCTGAAGAGGCTGTAATGAAGGGTGATAAAAGTGATGAGCAGGTAGGTATCCAGCAACCCCACCCGATCTCTACCATAGAGGCCATGGAATGTATCCCTGGAAAGATGCCGTTGCTGGGACAACACAGGCTAAGGTGCTTTGAAGTCATCAAGAGTCTCCTTAGTTGACACACTTGGGGATGAGAAGTGTCGGAAGCAGTCTATGCCAGGGCTGTCCCTGTCATCCTCAACTGTGGGTGCATGACTTCTCCAGTCTGGCTCTTCTTTCCTAGGAGCTAAACCTCAGATTCTCCAAAGCAATTGCTACAGAGGAAGGTGATGTTGGGGTCCCTCATGGCATCAAGACTGCAAAAGACTGGAACCCCCACCCCAGTAATAACAGCACCTCAATGCCTCCACTCTTGTGTTACTATTGGGAGAAGCTCAGGCCAGAGAGGGCACAGGGCTGGAGGGAGGTTGGCCAGCTATCTTGTCTACGTCCTAATTCTCAAGTTTCCACTCTTGATGTCTGGTCCTGGACCAGCTGCCCCCTGGCAAATGCTAGGCCCTCGTCCCTGGTGTTTTATATGTGCTTCAGTCCTTCCTTGAGGAAGGCATGGCTAGCCAGGTGAACACTGAACAAGACAGGCCAGGAAGATAGTCACACTCTCTCAGCCCCTGACATCATCCACAGGGCTTGACTCACACCCTCCCTGCACCTCACATCATGCATGCAGGGCCCACACACATCAGGGATCCCGGTCAATTTTGCATCAGAAGAGAATCTGGGGAAGTTCAGGACACTGAACAAGAGTCCTTGGACCAGATCCCACTGACCCTCATCGAGGCAGGTCTACGTGTAGTCTGCCCTGCCAGCACACTCCCTAATTCCAAACTGTGTTTGAGATAATGTCAACAGACTCTCCGGTGGAGTTGTAGTGTCCATGCTTCAGTTTTTTCTGTTTTATTGCAACAATATCATTTCCAGCTGGAGAGAGAGAGAGAGAGAGAGAGAGAGAGAGAGAGAGAGAGAGAGAGAGAGAGAGAGAGAGAGAGAGAGAGAGAGAGAGAGAGAGAGAGAGAGAGAGAGAGAGGGCCATTTCTGGGGGAGGGGAAAATGGGAGATTGTCAAGTAGAGGCAGAGGTGACATTCTCCACACAAAGCAAGCTTTGTCCTCTGGTACAAGGAAGGGTTAAGGTAAGACGCTCTGGCTGCTTGCCATTCTCTCTGCCTCCCTGGCCGGGGAGCAGCCACCTGGAGCCTGCTAATAGCGCGAGCAGCTGCTGTCTGAAGACTTCCCTCCCTGAGCCCTCCACCTGCTTAGTGCCCAGTCAGCTACCTGAGGTTCTTAGAAGCCCCTGTGGCACTCAGAAAGAGCTACAGGAAACTACCAAGAGCCAGATGCCCTGCAGGGCAGCTCCCTAGCCGTGCTCTTAGATCTTATGTGCACACAAGGACACTCCCTGGCCTTCAGGACCTGCGACAGCACAGTCGTCAGCTCTTTTCCTGTATGTGGAAAGTAAGGGTACACATTTAGCAAGTGGTATGCCTGACTCCGAGAATTACCCTTCCATCTCTGCAACTTCTGAGGTCTCAGGAAATGCCTGAAATCCAGGACCAGATGCCTGGACGTAGCATGTGGCATCTCCACGTGTATTTCGTACATTCCTGCATTTAATGTTGATAAGCAATTCCCAGACCCCCACCCCGATTCAGCGGAGCACAAATGATTGGTCCAGCTTTGCACCTAACACTTGACTCTAAAATCACAAAGTCAACCTTGGCTATAAACCCAGAGGGGTGACTTCTTAAAGCCTAGACAGAGTCTTCATCAGAAAACTGGGGTGGCCTCTGGCCATGTAAACGCCACACAGCCACATCCCACTGGAGCCTGGGCTGAAGTCTGAGCGGCTGCTTCCTCACCATTGCTGGTTCTGCCTCTGCACCCTCCCAACCCTTCTTGGTCTGTACATCCTAGACTGACTTTCTAGCTCTCCAGTCTCCTTCTATGCCTCCTACCTCTCCCCAGGATCTAGTTCCTCTTGCCATCTGGATTGTACCTTGGGATCAAACTCCTTCCCTCCAAGTTCCTCACCTGCCCAGTCTCTACTGAGACCCATGAACCACAATAGCTTGTGGCTTTTCAGTAAACACACTGAGCATTTGGAACACAGCAGGGGCATGTATCTGGTGACTAATACGGAACCCCTTACCGCTGGCGTGGGGCAGCAGGAGGGTCCACACACATCAGGGATACTCAGCACTAGCTGGCTTTCCTGGATATGGGGCTGGTGTCCCTTATGCTCCTTGGCTTGCATTGTCCCTCAGTACCTCCTGTCCCTGTGTCACTGCTGTGTACGCCATTCTGTGCTATGAGCAGCAGGGACCCTCACCGTTCCATCCTCTAGCAGGAGTCGGAGGACTCGGTCACCAACTCTGTAGTCCTTTTCAATTTCAGCCGACTTCCAGACTTCCTCAGGATCAGGGATCCAAACCCTGTTGTACTGACCACAGGAGAAGACAGAGTTAATCTCAACATCTGAGAGCCCCAAACACAATTAATTAGATCCCCATACCCAGCAAGCTTTCATTCTGTCAACTGGGCCAATTCCCACATTAAGAAGACACTCAGGGCTAGGGGATATTCATGGGTAACGTGCTTGCCATGTTAGCACCAGGACCTGGTCAATCCCTAGCACCCATGTAAGAAGCCAGACAAGGTGTTTGTAACCGCAGTGGATCCCTGAGGTAGGAGGGTCAGTCACCCTAGCCAATCAGTGAGTTCTGGATCATCCCAGTAAGAGCCTGTCTTAGTAAACAAGGTGATGGCCCCAGAGAAATGACAGGTAGACCTCTGGCCTCTGTATGCACACACAGACACAAACACACACACACACACACACACACACACACACACACACACACACACCTCCCCCAACAATAAAATGAATGTAATGAGAGAGAGAGAGAGAGAGAGAGAGAGTATGAGAATGAATGTGAGAATGGAGGACCCAGACCTATACAGAACCTGAATGGAACTTTGTGCACACACAGACACACCTCTTAGATATATCCACACCCACCACACACATCTTTTCACCATGACCACACATTTCCTACCTCAGACCGGCTATTATAAAAGGTTTCGGTAACCTGAGAAATCACAACTTATTATGAAGTATCCCAACATATCAAGAATTGGTCATAGCCGGGGCGGTGGTGGCGCACGCCTTTAATCCCAGCACTCAGGAGGCAGAGGCAGGCGGATCTCTGTGAGTTCGAAGCCAGTCTGGACCGACAGCCTCCAAAACAATACAGAGAAACCCTGTCTTGTAAAAAAACCAAAAAAAAAAAAAAAAGCATTGGCCATTATAAAATCTCAGGGCTCCAAGTATCCCTGGAGTAGTCTATTGCAAACTGTCTGTCAAGTTTAGAGTTCCAGACGGTTTGTTTCAGATGCTGTGTGGGGCAGGAGAAGGTTGAGGTGTTCAGATGGGAGCCCTGCTGGAGGGCGAGGTCCCTTTGGTTTAAGCTTCCAGAGGAACATGGGACTCTGGGAGTTTCTGTGTGATCGCTGAGCTGGCCAGTTCTTTCATTTTGCTCATGTTCCAACTCAAACCCAGACAGCCCAAGAGGATACCAGAAAGAATCTTGAAGGACCAACATTCCAGCGGGGCCCATGACTCCTGCCTGGAACTGGTTAATTAAGCAAGTGTGGCCCCGAGGATGACCCTGACAAGCTATCTGTCTGACTGTCCCGTGCTCTCCTAGGGACTTCTGGATTCATTCTGGGTACAAGAATCACTCAGTGACAAGCAGCATTAAAATGCATGTGAGCACTCTCCTCTTCTCTGCAGCACCTCAGTATCCCAGGTAACCGATCCTGCTGGTCCTAGTGTCCCTGTCAACACATGGTCTGAGACCTAGACTCCTGCACGGGAAACCCAGCCTGCTAAGCAAACACTACAGTTTACTCAGTTCCAGGGACCATCTACCGTCCCTCCTTCGTCACATTCCTCTACCCACAAGGCAACACTGTAAACCATAGTGAGAGTGAACTGAAGCATTTAGATAAATACACACAGGCTGTACAAACAGTGACCAGCTCTCACATGACTACTCTGAGCTTCTGGCCTATGAGAGATAAGCCTCCATCCTGGAATGGCCAGCCAAGCCTGCTGCAGGGCCAAGAGCCAAAAGGCTGCCTGCGGGCCTCTGCTGCACTGCCTCACCAAGGGGCCTAGAGAATGAAGAAAAGCTAGGACTAGAGAGGTCAACAAAGCAACGTGGGCTCAAGAATATGCCAGATCCTCCCATGTCACACGTACAGGTGAGCTACGGCGCACCTGTCTGAGGGGTCATCTGGCATTTACCATGAACATGGTCTGATGGCTGACTTGGAATGTGTAGTGACGGGAGCCTTCTCCTCTCTGTACTTCCTGGATTGGAATCTCCATGCTCAGGGCATCAGAGCCAGACAGGTGATGTCATGCCTCCTTCTGCTTCCTCCTCACTCTCCTTGTGGTCCCCTCCCTGGAATCTCTATCCCTTCCATGTGACTACTCACAGAGCAGACAATGGTGGGTGAATCTAACTTTCTGTACTAAATGAGAAAGGGACAATGTTAATCTTTAAATTGCATCTCCATCACCTTCAGATAACAGATCCCAATATCCTTGACAACTCACATAGTTTAAGCGGTGATGCTGCTTGCCCCTCTCAGGTCCCCAGTAGGAACCCGAAACTGTCCTGTCCCTTCCCTGTACTCCCTAGGTGCTGTGAGGCTGAGTTGTTTTTTTTTTTTTTTGGTTTTTACGAGACAGGGTTTCTCTGTATTGTTTTGGAGGCTGTCGGTCCAGCCTGGCCTCGAACTCACAGAGATCCGCCTGCCTCTGCCTCCCGAGTGCTGGGATTAAAGGCGTGCGCCAACACCGCCCGGCCGAGGCTGAGTTTTTAAGTAGCCCATCACTTATCAGTCATGGACAACCTTCAGCACCCACCATCAGCTGTGCACACACAGACGCCCTCACCCACACCCATAGTATACCACAGCACAAGAAAAACGGAAATTGTCCTAAAGACTTTGACTAACAACCTGGGGGCCACTCTGCTAGCCAATTCCTCTATTCAATCTACTCTGTCTGCAGTCACAACAAACTACCAGCACTTTCTAGAACATTCCAAATCTTCCCTGACTGTCTGTTTGCTGTTCCTCCCACCCCTAACCCCACCCATCCACACCTATGAGCAGGCAAACACCCATAGTTCCTAGTTATGGCATCCTCCTTGGTCCCTACCCAACAGGCTTGACTAAACCCTCTTAAAAGCTCTCACCTCCTAGCCAGCATCGGAGTGTCACATGTCTCACCTTTGTGCCTGGGACCCTACACAGCATGTGGTCTACTCCATCAATGACTGTTAGACAAATGCCCAGCAATTCTACTGTTTCAGAAAAGAATGAAAGTTGAATTTTGGCTTGTTGACCCTTTCTCATTTTAAACTTTTGAACTATCCGTAGATCGAACAATGGTGGGTGAATCTGACTGAATGAGAAAAAGGAAGGCTGTTAGGAAGGTCAAATGGGAGCATCCCTAGCATGAACATTGGCTGCGTGTGAGATAGGGGCCTGGGCTGTGAGTCTCCAGGGTACTTCTCCTGACCTTGCTCCCTGGGTTTCAGTTGAGCTTTGAAGATGCTAAGAGTTCCTCATGTGTCTACAGGCACACAGCCCTGGTGTTCCCAGTTTCTCCTGTGAGTCCTTCATATACAATCAAGACAAATACACAGGTAAATGACTATACCTTTCTGGGGAAAGCAAATGCCAGCTCTGCTCTAAAGCAAGCCGCATGGGAGGTTGGATCCCACAGCCCACAGGCTCCTGGCTGAGCAGCTGGTATAAGGCAATATCACCATGAAGATGAACACGGACACACCCAAGTTCACCAGAGGAGGGGCTGGCTGGAGAAGGGCCCAGAATGGCTCTTGGTCTTACCACTGTTCTCAGCAGTGGTCAAGTCCTTGTGATGTTCTCATTTCTCTACATAATCCACCTTTCCATCCCCTCAGCCAAACCCATTCCTCACTGCGGTGTGCACGGTGGCTGCCTTTCTCATTTCTGTACACGGTGTTCATCACATGCCCCACCCCCCCAAGTCATGTCAGAGTTCTTTCTTCCTACAGGTTCACTGAAAGAGCACCATGGTTCTATAGGAGTGATATCTGAGGACCGTCCTCAGGGTCACCTCCTTGACGTCTCTGAAGGCAGCAGATCTAACCTCCCAGTCCTTAGTCATTTGTTTACAAATTATTTGTCTTTGTCACTGCAGCATGTACAGATTTGGGACTCAGCACTGTTTTGTGGTTCCCTGTCCTTCCTCATGTGGATGGCGTCTTGTGACTAGCTTTTCTCTCTCTTCCTGGATACTGGGGTCAGTTCCTTTTAGAACCATGTGACAGATTAGCAGGTGTGGGCAGGTAGCTAGAAAACATGGACTTCCCAGGAGTTCCCTGTATGGGAAAAGCTCAGGTTCCTTGAAGATGGTAAAGGTGGCGGCCAGGTCAGAGCATCGGGAGGCATTAAGAATCTGACTCTGTCAGGCCTGTGTAACTAAGATTGCTTTTCCTCAGATTTTTTTCAGATTGAGAGAAGGCTCTGAGGGTGATGTCTGGTGCATAGAAACATTCAGCTTTATCAAGCCAGATAAAAATAACCATCCTATCCACAGCTGTCACTGTAAACAGAAACCCCGGCTCTGCGTGTGTGCACAGAGCGAGTATGTAGAGTGTGCTCACTGTACCCTGCTCACCGCACCCTGGTCTTTACAAGCTAATGGTCAGCAGAGGGGACACATAGTTGGCCATGTTAACATGGACAGGATGGAGGGCTGGTTGTGGACTTCTCGGAGTCTGCTCAGACCGAAGCTGAATGGTGTGCTGAGCCAGTGGTGGACACACAGGCTAAGCTGGGAAGGACAGACAGAATGCCCGGTAGGGCATGAGCCAACTAGGGGAGCGTGACAGGGGGCTGGGAGAAGATATACAGGAAGGTCCTTACGACAGGGTTGGAACCTGAAAGTGACAAAAGCTTCGTGAAGATTTTATTAAGTAGGGATTGGTCAGACCAGTTTTTCTCAAAGGGATTTCGAGTAATACTGCTTAGCACATTCTAAGGCTTTGTAGCAAGAGGTGGGTCACTTTACACTTCCTGCACCAAGGCCTCTGTCAGGGGTCCCCTCTCCCTCTGGGAACTTCTCTTCCTGCTACTGCCCTGGCCTCCTGCCTCCTCCTCTGTGGCTCTTCTTGGATTGGAGGCTGGCTGTTTCTCTCTTGGCATGCAGGCACTCCTCTGTCCTGGCCTTGGCCCTTTTGCAGTGGGGTGCTCCTGCTTGGTGTCAGTGGCCACAGCTGGGTAGAGGGTGCCTCTGACTGAGCTTGTCATTCTCTATAGACACCCAGACCGTGCAGGCACCGCTCCTTTCCCCTGGAAGTCTTCTCGCTACTTCAATACCCTTATTTGTTTAAAAAAAAAAAAGTGCTTCCCGAACTCTCTCAGAAACACTTCCTTCTCCTAATGGCTCTCATGCCACCCATACACACCCTGTTCTCAATCACACTGATGCCAGTGTCCATGTCATCCTTGGTGTGTCCCTTGTCTGAATGTTCCCTGGTCACATTCCCCTGGTCGGCCTCCACCCTCCATGTCCAGGACTGAAGATCTATCCCGATCCCTGCACATCTGGGACCCTGATGAGGCAGTTCATCTAGTGAGGCAGTTCATCTAGCCTCCTAAGCCACCACCTGATTCCCCCGTCCCACTCAACCCCACCTGTGCTGAAGGGCCCTTCTGCCCCTGCTCTCTTCCTCTTCATACTCACTAGGCCTCAGCAAACATCTGCTTGACATTTCTTACTCAAGAGAAACAGAAAATACCTTGGCAGGCAAAACAACAACTCTGGCATAAAAGAAAACATGTTTTTCTCTGCTCCCACAAGCACAGTGCTTCTGCCTGCAGAGAAATCCCAACCCCACCACACTCCAACCATCCTGCCTTCCTCCACTCCACAATGTCCTCACTTATTGTTGAGGGAAAGCCTTGGTATTTAGACCTAGCTGCCTCACTATGTAGCCCAGGCTAACCTCAAACTCAAGACAACCCTCCCGCCTCAGCCCTCTGAGTGCTGGGATTACAGGCACTTGGAGATAGGGTAAATACAACTCTGTGTATTTTTTGCTTTGAGAAAAGTTGTTACTCAAACAGGTCAGTGATCAGTTATGTGTCCTCAAAGATACCAGTAAGGTGAGGGTTTATTCAAGAATTTTCTTTTACTGTTAGTAACACGAAGACTTAGAAACAATGCTGGTTACTTGGTGGCTCACGGTGTCTCCGGTAAAATATTCTAGATGAGGGGTTCAGCTCTGTGCTGGAGTGCTTGCCCAGTAATCACAAGACCCTGGGTTCAGGCCCCAGCTCAGGGCAGGGGTGGAAGGAGACACGCAACAAAATTACAAAACTGTTAGGGAATGGTTTGAATGCATCAGAAGGATGTCCTTTTTGTTTGATGTGTGTTTGTAATTTATTAAAGTAGAAAAATCCCCCCCAAAGACAATTAAAAGGGGCCTTTTAAATTTAAAGTTAAAGATGGGGTACAACTGTAATACCAGCGCTCGGATAGCTGAGGCATGATCTCCACAAGTCTGACGCCAGCCTGAGCTATACAGAGGGTCCCATTCCAGCCAGGGTTACAAAGCAAGTGCCTGTCTTAAAAACAGGGTGGAGTGAGGAGGCCACACTTTAAATATCAGCACTCTGGAGGCAAAGGCAGGTAAAACTCTGTGAGTTTGAAGCCAACCTGATCTACATCGTGATTTCCAGGCTAGCTGGGATGACACTGGGAGGCAGTCTCAACAAACAAAACCAATAACCAAAACCAAACAATAACCCCGCCCCACCCCCACCCTCCGCCAAATTAAGCTGAGTTCATGTATGCCGGGAAAATGTTCCAACAGAATCCATACTAGTCCCACCTGTCTTAAAGGGGTCTACATTTCCCCTACGACAGCGCAGCAGAATCTGCTTTACGGCTGTTTTATTTTTACACATGCTTTCCTGGACTGGGGTAAAGCCCTCCAGCCCTGGAAGTTTCCCAGAGCGCTCTCAGTGACAGGGTCGGGCCCATCTGAGGAGCTCTCTGAGCTAAGCACCATAGACTGGCTAGTGTGAGCCCGACAGCACCCATGTGCTCAGACCAGACAGCTCCAGGCGGTCGGGGGGAGTCCCCTGAGGAACTTCGCCACACAGGGGAGGCCCACCCAACGTTCTAGAGAGCACCAGTTTTGACAGAATCCTCCAGGCGGGGGCCTGGAAGGTTACAGAAGCTTGTCGTGCTGGGTCGAAGCTCCTGCCCAGTGCGGGACGCAGATTCCATCAGTGGCAGGAGGAAGGGTCCAGGAGGTCCAACCACCCGACGTGGGGACAGCGGCCCTCCGTTGGGTGTGCCCACCTGCAAGGCGCCCCGGCCGAGCTCGCAGCTACTCCCAGCCTCTGCCCCTGCACCCGTCCGGACAGGTGCACAGGTGCGTCCCCGCGCCCCTACCTGCGCGTAGAGCTCGGCCACCGCCATGGGCCTCCGCGCTGCTGCTGCAGGGGACCGTGCGCGCCAGACAGTCAGCGCCGGGCCATCTTGCCAAGTTTTCCCCAAGTGCCACGGCTCCCTTACCCGAGGGCTCGGGCGCGGGGAGTGGGGCGGTGGGGGCGGGCATGGGGGGGGCGGCCTCGGGATTGGTGCTCGCAGCCAGGCTCATGCTGCCATTGGCCCAGCCCAGGTAACAGGTGAAACCTCCAGGGGTCCCGCCCAAGTTTCTGCTCCCTTACTGTAGCGGACAGAGCACAGAAATGCCTACACAGAAAACCACAAAGAATCAGTGAGTTAACAACTTCCAAACTGAAGAGGGGGTCGGAGAAAGAAGAGAGAGAGAGAGAGAGAGAGAGAGAGAGAGAGAGAGAGAGAGAGAGAGAGAGAGAGAGAGAGAGAGACAGAGAGAGACAGAGACAGAGAGAGAGACAGAGACAGAGACAGAGACACAGAGAGACAGAGAGACAGAGAGAGACAGAGACAGAGAGAGACAGAGACAGAGACAGAGACAGAGAGAAGGAAGGAAGGAAAGAAGAGAGAGAGAGGCCTTTGTCCTACGAGCATTTTATATGAAATAGAAAATAAGATAAATGATCAAGGAAAATGCACCCTGAGATTACGATTACGCCAATAAAAAACCTCGTTTGACCTTTAAGGAAAGCGTGCGTCCATCTCTCTTAAAGGGCACACAAGGAGGGCTGGATAAGTACGGGCGTGCTATTTGGACGGGTGGGATTAATTTAACAACCGCAAGGTGATGGTGCCACCCAAATTAACACATGAGTCCAGTGTACTGGGTTAAAAATCCTGGCAGCGTTTTTGTATATTGAGTTTGTTTTTATATTTTATATGGGCTAGAAGTCCGTGGATAGCTAAGACCATTTTCACAACCATGAAAAGAGAGATCTCTGCTGTCCTTTCTCGGGAGCAGCCCCCCTTTCGTTCTTTTTGTTTTAAAACTAGCGTCTCTCACTGGGATCTGGGGTTCACTAAGTGGGTTAGGCTGACCTGGGAGCTCCACAGCGCCTACTGTTTCTGCCTCCTCTGGCTCTTCCGTGCCACCCCCACACCTGGCTTTTAAATGTGGGTTCTGTGGATTGAACTCAGAGCCTCAGGCCTGCAGTGGAAACACTGTAGATGGAGTCATTGCTCCAGCCCTGTCTACCACGTACACATAGGCACAGAGCTGTAGTCGGTAAAACAGCATGTACTCATATGAGAACCGATAACGGAGCCCAACGGAGTCCATCCACAGAGCCCCACACTGAGAGACACGGGAAAGCAACAAAAACAGATCCATGAAGATGCTGAGTAAGAAACAGCATACAGGGTCATGGTTAGAAATTATAAATAGCCAGGCATGGTGGCAGACAATGGTGATCCTAGCACTGGGGAGACTGAGGCAGGGAAGCTTAAGGCCAGCCCACTTGGGTTTTGTTCTTATCTGATATGGTTTATGACAATAAAGATTTTTGAATAGGATATTTTATTAACGTATGAATAGATATATATTTGAGACTGGGGACTCACTAGGTTGTACACGCTGTCCTCAAACTTGAAATTCTCCTACCTCAGCCTTTCAAGTTTTTGATATTACAGGCACATACCTGTGGTAGTTGAATGTTATTGGCCCCCATAATTTCGTAGGGAATGACACTATTAGGAGGTGTGGCTTTGTTGGAGTGGGTATGGCATTGCCGGAGGAAGTGTGTCACTGTGGAGGCGGGCTTTGAGGTTTCCTATGCTCAGAATACTGCCCAGTGAGTCAGTTGACTTCCTGTTGCCTGCAAGACGTAGGACTCTCAGCTCCCCCACCATGTCTGTCTGTGTGCCACCATGCTCCCATGACAATGGACGGAACCTCTGAGACTGTGAGCCACCACAATTGAATGTTTCCTTTATTAGAGTTGCCGCTGCTGCCACGGTGTCTCTTCACAGCAATAAAAACCCTAGGACAAGAGCACAGAGCCTGGTGGTTGATTTTTATAATGTTAAACTATTTTTTTCACATCTGGGATAAGCCCTACTTGGTTGGGGTGTGTGGTCACTATATGCTGCTGGTTTGGTGTGCGATGTTTTGTTAGGGGTTCTGTGACTGTCCTTGTATGGAGTGCAGCAGCCTTCCCTATGGTGTGTTTTGACCTCTAGAGAGTCAGGAAGTGAGTGCATCTATTTTATCAGTCTGTGAAGGGTTTGTTTCTTCTTGAAACATTTTCTTATACTTGAAGTGAAGCCCTTGGACTTTTCTTTGTGAGAAGATTTTTACTCATTCCCCCCCCCCTCTTTGGTTTTTTGAGGCAGGGTTTCTCTGTGTAGCCTTGGCTGTCCTGGAACTCGCTGTGTAGACTAGGCTGGCCTCAAGTTCATGGAGATCTGCCTGCCTCTGCCTCCCTAGTGCTGTGATCAAAGTGTGTGCCACCTTTGCTTTCTTTACTTGGATATCCATTCAGGTCTTATGGTTTTCATGCTTGCCTTTCTGGGAATTTGTCCATTTTATGCACTTCACTGGCACAGAGATGTAGGTGGTACTCTGCTCTCCTCCTGATTCTAGATGAGGCCCTGAGAAGGCAAAGTCTAAAGCTGCGCTCACCGCAGGTACGGCTCAGCAGTGTGGCCTGCAAGCCTACACTCCCTGAGTCTCTCTGCATGCCAAGCTTCTCAATTTGTCTCCTCCTCATCGTCCTGGCTCTACTGAGGACGATTTTATTCCTTTCATTCCTGATTTTAGTAATTCACAATGCTTCTCCTATTGTTTAGTAAACTTGATTAAAACTTTGTCAGTTGTGTTTGTATTCTCATTTCTTTTCTCTATAAAATTTTGTTTCTCCCTTACCATTTCTTTTATTCTGTTTGCCTTGGGTTTGGCTTGCTCTCCCGCAGCAGGTCCTAAAGTGAAGATGTTTAGTTATTGATTTGAGGCATTCTTCTTTTCTAATAGACTTAAAGCATAAACTTTGGACCAGTGAGGTGGCTCAGTGGGCGAGGAACTAGTCACCAAGCCTGATGACCAGAGCTCCATCCCTGAAACCTATATGGTGGAAGGAGACAACCAATGCCAGCAAGTTGTCCTCTGGCCTCCACATGGCCACCACAACATGCACACTCTCTCTTTCTCTCTCTCATAAATAATAATAAACAACATAATCTTTTTTTAAAAGTATTTTGTGTGTATGGGTATTTTGCCTACACTTATGTCTGTGCACTACTTGTGTCCCTGGTACCCATGAGGTCAGAAGAGGCTGTTAGATCCCCAGGAAATGGAGTTATAGAAGGTTGTGAGCTGCCATGTAGGTGCTGGGAGTTGAACCCAGGTTCTCTGGAAGAGCATCCAGTGCTCCTAACTACCAAGCCATCACTCCAGCCCTGATCTCATTTCTTGAATAATTGTTTTAGTTATTCTGATATGGATGCCAGTTTATATGCTCTGTGGAGGTGTGTCTCAAAGACAAACAAAAACTGAATAAAATTAGAAGAATCTTGAGGGTCAAGTACGTCAGCTCACACCTGTATTCCCAACCTGGGAGGCATAGGCAGGCTGATCTCAAGTTCTACCATATTTGTTCTATTTGCTGGCTTTTCCCCATATTTTTGTCTCCCACTTTTTTTATTCAGCTGTGACTCCAAAGGAATGCTTTTTTTTTCTTAAAAAACAGGGCCTCTCTATGTAGCCCTTGTTGTCCTGGAACTCACTAGATCCTTGAACTCAGGGAGATCCACCTGCCTCTTCCTTTGTGGTATGGGCTAAGAAAGCTCAGAGGCATTGCCCCAGGCATGTCCAACCTTTGGACACTGCAAATGCCATCATTTCTCTTTCTAGAAAGTCTATGCTGGAGAACGGCAATTGAGTTAGTTACAAAACTATAATGCTGTAAGGCATTTTATGATTGTGTGTTGGGCTGCAGCCTCAGTTCTACTGGCAGGATGTGGGTTGCAGGTTGGCCATGCCTGCTCTGTGATCTTAAACCAAGCCTGCTCAGGGTGTGTAGTCCTTCGCTAAGCATGCTGAGGGATGGGTGGGCCCCTATATGAGACACAGACTCTGCAGTAAAGTCCTGGTGCCTCCGTTGTTAGAGAGGACCCTGCTTTGGAAGTGAGTCCACTCCTCTTCCCTAGGTCAGACAGCAAATCTGTGTCCACTACAGTGCCAACCCACTGTGCAGAATCATGGGGGGGCGCTTCACACTCCAACCCTGGCATGAGCCACACGTTCATATTTCTCCACGCATCTTGAAAACATTTTCTGAGTCCGAATGTTTTTAAAGATACATTGTAGCAGTTCTGGGGTATTGTTCCTTCCTGCTGCTAATCAAGGGGACGTGTTATTTTTTCAGTGCTCACACAGGGTATTTCAATGACATTATTTTGCCCTTACCCACATCCGCAGCCCTGGTGTACCCGCCACCAGCCTGCCATGGCAGGGGTTTTGGCACTTGGTGTCTCTTCCCTGAATACATTCAGCTGTTAAGCACCACTATTGGCTCCAATTACCCTACTGTTTTTAGCATTGCCGTAAGCATAAATTGTTTTCCACACTGGGAAAATGTCCAATCAACTTTGGGCTCCTTTGGAAGGATAATTCTTAAGGTCAATGTTTGACCTGTATCTGACCACACAGACTCCTCTCAGCCGATTCTTCTCTAATTTGTCCACAGAAAACCCAGGGCCCACACTTCAGTCTGTCTCCAGCCAACCTGCCAGAGTTCCCAGAGTCCCATTTTCTTTAACCTCCACCGTATTTTGGCTTAAACTTCTTTTAAACATCTGCAAATGAAGTCAGTTCCTTTAGGAAGAAACCTTTAGATTTTCGGCATTCCCAGCGAAACCTCAGAGCCCAGGCTCTGGAGGTGGGGTGGGCATAATGGTCCACTTGTCCCCCAGAGATGTCCTCGCTTTAGAGCTCAATGTTGGGTACACAGGGTCAATATAGACAAGTCTTCCTGGCCAGATTTTCTCCACATGAAACCCTATCTTGCAAGTCTGGTTAAGAGCGACTGAGGGCCCAGCATTCTTAGCAGTATTCATGGTGGAACCCTGAGTTGGGACAGGGTAGACGAAGTCCTGTCCTCTTGGCTGTATTCATTTGAAGCTTAGCCCCATCAACACATAGCTGAAGGCCCAATGAGAAGTGTGACTCCTGGCTGTTCCCAGAAAGAGCACCCTCTGCCTGGGAGCTGGGGCAGATGAGACCCGTGTTCTTGGCCACAAAAGGCTAGAGTCAAGCTTATAACTTGTTGATCTGGGAAATTGGTGTGCATGTGTGTGTGTCTGTATGTATGTAGATATTGCTTTAAATAATGGTGGTAGTCCCCCATAACTTCAGGCATGGCCTTGTTAGAATGACCTTAAAGACTTACATCATTTTAAATTTGTTCTAGAATTCTGCTGCCTGCTTGCTGTTCAAGATGTGAGCTCTTCACTGCTGCTCCAGCCGAGCACCTGTACTGACCAGGGTACTGCCTGAGTGCATTCTGCCAGGTGACAGGGGCAGGACAGCATAATGCCTGAATCCTTACAACTGGATGGAATCCAGGGCCTTCTGCACTGAGGATCATACCAAACTGTTTTCCAGACCAAACTGCACTCTAGCACATGCTCACCTAACTGATTATGTAGCCCAGGCTAAACTCAAACTTGCAGTTCTCCTGCCTCAGGCCTCTGGGCTATCGTAACACTTGTTCAAGTCCGCCTCCCTTCGACACTTCACCAGGTCAAGTTGCCACCAGGGTTTGAGTTCTCTTCTGAACCTCACCTAGCCTGTGTTTTCTTTGAGCTCCAATACCTGGCCCACCCAGAGTGGTTGACATCATGTTAGTAAGACCACACGACAGCTTTTTATGTTGCAATTTCCTTCACAATGCCTATGCTTTGAATTCGGCAGCACAGTAGGCCATGTTGAGGGAGTAACTACATGGGTTTCCAGTTCTTGCTCTGGGTGGTAAATGCCATGTCAGAATCCTTCAGCTGCACAATTCCTTGCTTACTAGTCTTTCTGTACTGTCACTGGTAAGAGCATCCTGGAGCCCTGGAGCCCAGCAGCCCCAAGCTTTGGGGAAGAGATATACCTCTAGGGCTACATGCATTCTCTGCTCCCTTCTCTCTTGCTGGTGGGTAGATGTGTTGCTTTCATTTCTGGTTAACTCTTTCCCATCCCTGCCTTGGTCCCACACTGCTGTCACACCCACCTGGTTTCTGTGGTGACTCAAGGTTTTGTGGTCGGGTGTGGCTCAGGCTGACTAGATTCTATTCCCCTACACACAGTGACTAAGAATAGATGTAGAGCCAGGCGATGGTGTCTCTACCTTTAATCCTAGGACTCGGGAGGCAGAAGCTGACAGATCTCTGTGAGTTCAAGGACAGCCAGAACTACAGAGAAATCTGGTCTGGAAAAACAAACAAACAAACAAAACGAAAGAAAAGGCAAAATGGAAAGCATGTAGAATTCAAACTGATCAATGAGACGCCATTCTGACATGTTACTGGTAATGTTAACAAAGAGACTAGATGACAGAGCTGTGCTTCTCAGGGCTCTGTCACCACTTGGGGAGACCCTGGCTAAGAATGAGGCCAAAATAAAGGAAAAGTAATGTGTCTCTCCCTGAGGCCAATGACTGGGCACCTAAATGCATTCTGACTCAGTTATATCAGGGCATGGATTCCCTTTGGGTCTAGTTAGTTTGATTTCAATCCCATATCCCAGAAAAGAATTCTAATGATCACAAAATGCCACAGTGAGACTGGTTTCACTCTAGATAGAAAACCTTGATTGAGTTCTAATCTATTTAGAAAGAAAAGCTGTTCACAAACGTCGTTTTTCATGGCTGCAACTGTACACAAGACCATGTGTTATGTATAACTGCTGCTGCTGCATTTGAGGGTCTGTTGTGGTGTGGGAAGGACAGTCCTTGCTAAAGGAGTCTGGTGAACGAACTTATGGTGACATGAAAGCGGGACACAATCTATTGTAGAAATTAATATTCATGCTTCTGCGTTATGACTAGAGACGAGACTAAGTCAATCACAGGTCCTTTCTCCATCCAAAGGAGTGTCACATACACACCCACTGACCTCTATCCTGTTCTGTGTCTTTGTCTCTTCTACTATATTAGAAGCTCAACCTTTGACACAACTCCTGTTCAAACTTTTGAAAACCCTCCATTCCATTCTCAAATGCCTAGGCTCTCTGTTTCTGCCAGAGAATCCAAGGACAGCCAGGTATGCCTTCCTCTTGAAGAAAAGAGGCCACTGTTGCTCGGCTGGCTTAGTTGATCTGCTTGCTTATGTGTTTGGCAGTTTGCACATCAGACTTACCAACCTTTCAACTTCTAAGACCCTCTGAGAGTCTCATTTCATGAAGAGACTAGACTTACATTTATTGATCTTCAGAATAACAATTTGTTTTGTCGTTTTAAAATATGAAGCAGGTTTACAGACATGGACAAAGCTTCTTTATGTCCTTATCTTTATTTCAACAATTTTCTACAATAGCTAAGAGAATACAGCGCTAATGACAGATACGCACTAAGTACAACACCAGACAGCTACAAACTTAGAGCATAAAAGGTCATTCTGATATTGTTTTGGCTTTCCTTTCAGCATTAGGTGATATCCAGTGAAAAACTCATGTTTCCAAGGCTTTGTTGATATGAGGTGACTTGTTAACCTTCTAGAAGATTTCCCGTGAGCTCAGTTCCGACCTGGAGTGGCTTGGTAATGCCACGTTTCTGCTTCCTCACCTAACCACTTTGCAGAGATTAACTGTGTAGATCAAGAAGATTCTTTCTCCAGATCCAAGGAGGAAAAAGATATGAAAACTGCAATATCCCATTCTGCTGTATTTCACAATAAATTATAAACAGTTAAAATAAAAACAGTTAAAATAAAAACACAAAAATGCCATGAGCTCATCTGTGCAATACTGCTGGAACAATTCAAACTTTCTAAGAACAAGAGAAAATCAATATTACTTCAGGAGCCCACAAAAGAACATAATTAGGGACCATAAATCACAACACATATCCACATTTAAATGAGGAATTACTGTTTGTAGGAAAAGTAAGGGCTTGAGTGACTCAGGCTAAGATTTTGTAACATATAACAACAACAGTAAGTTATTTGAAACTTCTAACTCTGGAAAATGCATTATATATGACAATTTCAACCCTCAAAAACAAACCCAGAACTTTCCCAACCATTCCATCAATATTACAACACCAAGGAAATGTCAGTTGTTTTCAGATATGTTATGTGTCTAATTCTACCCACTACGTTAATGTTTTTTAGCTAGCTAGATCAAATTATAAAATTAAAAAATGTATAAAATGCATTTTGGAGATGTTTGACATGGCATCTTTCAGTTTTTGGTCTATAGTTAATTTAGGTGCTAAGATGGATTAATACATACACAGTTACTTTCCTGTTTTTTACTCAGCCTTTTACATGAGGGCACCTTTACATTTTAAAAGGACGTCTACAAAAGGTTTTTAGAGTTGTATTTTTGCCTTTACTAAAAAAGGGTTAGTGAAAGGTGCAACCCCCACGAATATTCATTTGCTTACTGTCACCGGGAGTTGCACTGACCCAGAAACATTCTTAAAGTTAGCATTTCACTAGTCGCTGCATAAATTCCAGTCTTTGTTTGGAAATGACAGTACAGAGGTGGCAGGAGATGCAGAAGGGCAGAAAGAGTCAGTGGTAGGGAGCCTCATCCGATCCAAATCCTCACAAAACCTCAAGAAACATGGCAAGATATCCCTCACTGAGGACAAGTTCTGGGGAACTTAAGGCAGCTCTAAAAGGGAAGGGGCAAGGGTTAAGGCGGCCCTCACAGCACAGTCTGAGAACAAATTACAAAGCACGAGCGCCAAGTGCTTGTGGCCTCAAGCATGCATGCCCACAGCACAGCTCCTAGCTCCTCCCCTGCAGCGTGCTGTGGCACTTCCAAGCTTATACTGACTCACCTATGGTGGACAGCCCCAGGGAGGGAGGTACTGAGTGTCCACTCTGTAGCAAAATGACATAGAGAAGAGTCCTCCGTAGGCTGTGCAGCAGTCAGGGGCTCTCACAGGGAAACCTCAGGGTTGTGGAGAGTGGCCTGCCTTGTCTCTTCACATCTGAGGTTTGCTGCTTCCTGGCCCTTTTAGTTCGGACTGCCTCTAATTTGAGAGTCCATACCCTGTCAAGGAGCACTGATTCGTGACAAAGGGCAAGCCTAGTCACAGCAGTGCTAATGCACTGTGCACTGGCCTCCAAGAAGTCGGGGCTCATCATTTGTCTATTCCCACATACCATTAAAGGTGAAGAGTGCCCTTACTAGCCCAGGGCACCCCGCAGCATCTGGAGGGGCAGGAGAGCCTGTGCCCTCACTGCTAGAGGGCAGTGCCACCATAGGCAAGTCACCGACCGTGTCATTGTCAGGAATTACCATCCACATGATTGTGGGAGCTCTCTCCCGCCGATGCTGTGGGGCGTGAGGTAACAGAGTGCTGGCAGGAAGCACATGCATATGGGCACTATTTCTGTTCTACTGGCAGCAGGACCAAGCAGTGCCACACACGGACATTTGCTCTGTATCCTAAGAGGTTGGGGTTACCCAGAGGACCCTGATTACGCCTCCTGAAGAACTCTCATCTGGTGGCGGTGTGTGTAAGAGAGGGGGTTCTTTGTGGGGTTCTCAGGATGGTGGCGGCTCCTCTTCTCCTAGAATTGTCACAACTGCAATTTCTCACAATAATCAAGACACCGAGACTCAATTTCACAGCCTCCTGTATACACTACTAAAGAATATGTGCAGCACACACACTTGCTCACCCATAAGGAATCATTCTTTATCTACCGAAATGAATCAGCAACAAAGCAAGTCATCTAAACTGGCACAAGTCTAAATCTCCTATCACTTGGCTTTGGATTATAGTTCCGTGTATTTGCTTTCAGAGCAGTGCCAGGTCATGTGGAATGTCCAAAGCTCCCAAAAGAACCATCAAGTTGTCCTTGGTGCTTTTTGTTTCGTGTTTATCTTTCCTGCCTTGGAGTTACTGGAAGGCAGATGCAAGCCTTGGGCTAAGAAAGGCTGCAGGAAGGGAAGGGGAACTGTTTGGATCCCAAGGGTGTGAGCTGCACCTGTAGCAGGAAAGTGGGTGGCTATAGGCGGGGCTACTAAGAGTAAGAGGGCTGTGCTGCTGTGCCTGTCAAGAGCTCCCTCTTTGGAGTCCGAGTGTATCACCGCGGATTACAGAAAAGCCAATGATAAGGAGCACAGAGATGAGAGAAGACAGGCATGAGCACGAACACCAAGAGCCGAGTTCCATGCATGCCAGCCAGGGCCGCAGAAAACCATCCGCTGGTGAACTGGGCTGAGGGAAGAAGTGGGAATGTGTGACAGGCAGGGGAAAGCTGGGTGTGTGCCTGCAGCTAGGTGAGGGGACAGATGACAGAGCGGAGGTGACCCTACCTAGTCAGCAGAAACCTGGTGCCTCCTTAGCGAAGTGCACACAGCCACTTACCAGGTTCTGAGGTTCCCTGGTATAAGGTATTCTTTTGAGAACTAAAACCCTCCAGATAAACAAGAGACGGTACTTCAGATCCCCAGCTGGGGTTCTGAAGCAGCTGGAAAGACTTGAAGCCTAGCATCAAAGAACTCCGAGCCATTGTCGCTGCAGCAGGAGACACTGCAGAGTGGGAAGAGCTATGGAGCAGGAGCCCCAGTTCTCGACAGCAGAGAAAAGTACAGGAGAGACAGACCTGTAGGACACACTGTCTGGAGGAAGAAAGAGAAGGGCTGCAGGGACAGTGGCTGTGACAGCATGATCTAGAAGACAAAACTCAGGGTGTACATCAGTCGTCCTACACAAGACTCAGCTGGGAGCAGGGTGTGGGGGGGGCTGAGGGAAGACAGCCTACACATGGCTCTGTTTGCTTAATAACTCTCCCTCTCGCCATCCCTCTGTGCCGTGTGACACAGCACTGACGAAATGGCTTTAAGCAGTAACTGCTCACTGAAACACTATGGAAAAACCATTAAAACCGAATCTGGTTGAATTAGTGTTTAAGGTTCTGCAAATAAATAAATAAATGTATTAGAACTGAAAAAGGGTTGAGCCTGTAGCTCAATGATAGAGTACTTACTTACTTAACACAAATGAGGTGGTGGGTTCGATCCCCAGAACTACAAAAAAAAAATTCCTCAAACAAAACAGCAGTTCATCATGTAACAAAATTGTTTAAGTGATTTTCAAATAATACAAATACAGTAGGATGTTCCTAAAGTACCTAAATGATGTATGTTAAGAAAACATTATCGACACATAAACTTGTGACTTACTATATTAATCCTTAGAGAACTGACAGGTGCTAAACACTGGTCTTCACAATTGGACAGACTGAGTAACTGTGGCCCTTTTTCTAGGAGCCAAGCATGAGGGAATTGTAAATGGGGAAGTGGCGGGAACAACCAGTTGTCCAACCCTCTTACTTTATAAACAAGGACATTCAGGCTTCAGTAAGATAATGGACAATAACTGCTGTTTAATAACAGGATTTATCATTGACTTGAAACTTTTGGTTCTCATCAATAATATTGCACATATTTAAATGTCACTGTTATAGACCATCTTATAGTTTAACTATACAAATTGATGATTGTAATTGAGAGCCAGAGGAATTAAAGCTAAGAATTTGCTCTTGCGTAACCCAAAGGATTTATTATATAAGATTTCCAGGAAAAAATGGAGAATATGCTTAATTAGAATTTCATAATGAAAATTTATAGCATCTAGGTCTTACTGAACCACATCCTCTATAAAATTAATAATCTTCTTATATTTCTTACATAAATCTTCTTAATGTATTTATAATATGATGTTTTTAAAGTATCCAGTGGTATCTGAGAACATTTATAGAGATTATAACACCTAAACCCCCTGATTTATAACAATTTATTATAGTCTGTTTTGAATAACTTACAGAATAATCAAAGCTTCAAGATCTGAATCATAAATATTCTGACAGTACTTTCTAGTGACTGAGGCCAACACTTAATAAATTAAAAATAGAACTGGTTAGGATGAATATATGCATGGCAAGAATCAGATTTGGGAACTAAAAATAAGTAATTTTACAGAACACTATACCATGATGTGATACCCACACAGGTAAAATTAATTAGCATATCATGTAATACATTGTGATCATCAATGACATCAACAGTCACTCTAATTCCACCTAAACATCAAGCATCTTGTCCTATTACTACACGACTTCCAGTGTCTGCTACTTGTGCAGATGAACCTGTGGATAATTGCATATAATCCAGTTACAACTGATCTGGTTGAATTGTAAACAGAGTGATGAAAAGAAGCTTACTGTGTAGTGCCTAATAAGACTGTCACTAACATCAGGAGACAGCTCGTAGCAATAATTTAAGATGCTTGGTAAGCTACAGTACAAAAGGGCAACTAAGCTACCTAGCAAACCAGCATCTTTAGTATCACTGTACCGTAATGACACAAATAAGGAAGTTACTTGGGCAATTACTTTACATATTGCCAGTTTATTTTTTTGATCCAGTTTGACAATATCAACATGATTGACTCCTAAGCTGATATGATATATGTTCAGTGCTGATTTTTCTTTCAGTTCTTTGTGCCTTGCTAACAACAGTTCATACATATGGAATTGGAGTTTTCTATGTCACTTAAATGCAGCCCTAAAGATTTAAAATAAAAGCTGTCAGCTGAAGACACACACCTTTTCCCTTCCTTTCATTCCTCCCTGCCATCACTCAGCTGTATGTAAACTCAGTTGATTAAGAATGAACGCTGCTTCAAAGGTCACACAAGACAAGTTGTCTCTTCCCAACTGGAAAGGTTCTAGGGAGATTTCCAGTTAATGACATCTTCTTTTAGAGATGATCAGTACTGTTTCTTTAAAAAGGTATTTGCAGTAGCTCACTGGAAACAACTGTTCTTATTCAGAGAAGAAATGCGTTCTCTACGTTTGCCTGGACAGCACTTCAGACCCGTGCAATGAAGCCCAAGCCTAGGCTGGCTGGGATTTGGATGGTTTCTAGGGCCAGGGAGGATGGGTTAAAGGGAAAAGTGACAGGAAAGATGTGTTTAGCATCCATGAGCAGCTGAGGAGAGTCTTTCCTGTCTCGTAACCGCATCTGAGAAGATTAAGGAAAAGGACAAATAGGGTGTTAGTCCTTCCAATTTGTAAGATATATTTCTACCAAAATTTTTATTTAAAAAACTTTAATGAAAAATGTTAATCTTTTAAAAATATTTATGGACTATAATCTTATATAAAATTGATGTACTGCAAAATAAGTAAAATGGGAAAGTAAAAGATAAAAACACATTATCCCTTTGAAACATTGTAACTATTCCACTGGAATGACCATGTGGTTAAACAGTAAGAAAGAAAAAAGTATTTACCTGTATAGTACGGATGAATGAAACAGAGACCCTCTCTTCAAACTCATTAACAGGTGTGTACAGATTCAATACCTTGACAATCTGGAGAGAGAAAGGGTAGAGCAGTTGGCATATTTCACAAACCGGCTGGCTCTTCACGGTGTGGAGTGTGGGAAGGACCTGTGTGCCTCCCTGTTAGTTCTGCCCGGGGTCGGCTGGGAAAGGGAGGGAGACCATGAAGGGCATGTTTGCCTGTGTTTGAAGTTTTAGAAGAAGAATGCAGCCAGATAACATTGTAAGGAGGAAAAATTTAGAAAAACATTCAAACTGTACAAAATATAACATGAAAAAAGTGCCCCTATTTTTATCCTCCCCATCTCCTAAAGCAACAACGGCTAACCACATCCTGGGCAACCATTGAGTTACTTTCTATACATTCTGGCTTATGCTATTTTTATACAAGTGGAATGAACTGTATTAATGCTATTCTGCAATTTGCTGTCTTCACATAAAAGCATATATGGGCACATTAAAAATAACAGAATTAAATATTATTCACTTTAGATCATCTTAACACATATGCTTAGAAAAGAGTTACTATAAATGAATAACACAAAAAACAAGGTCTTTAAAGAAACTTAGCCAATAATTTAAGGAGTAAATTCTTTTTTGATTGCTTTTTGTTTGCTTGTTTTTCTTTGTGCATTTCTGGCTGTCCTGGAACTCACTCTGTAGACCAGGCTGTCCTTGTACTCGTAGAGATCTGCCTGCCTCTGCCTCATGAGTGCTGGGATTAAAGGCGTGTGCTATCAGCCCCTAGTTTAGGAATAAATTGTTTTCTTTCTTTTTAAAGATATATTTATTATGTATACAGTGTTTTGCCTGCATGTACATCTGCATGCCAAAAGAGGGCACCAGATGTCATTAGCCGATGGTTGTGAGCCACCACTTGGTTGCTGGGAATTGAATTCAGGACCTCTGGGAAAGCAGCTAGTGCTCCTACCCTTTGAGTCTTCTCTCCAGCCCCCGGGTGTAAACTCTTAAAAAAAAACAAATTTATTTCACAAAATGGCCATTTTTATTTTCCTTTTATGGTGCTGGAGGGCTTGGGACAGGGCATCTCTGTGTATTCCCATGCTGGCTTTGAACTCACTATGTAGCCCAGGCTAACCTCAAGAACATCATTGTTTATGTAAGGTAGAAAGTGATTTTCATCATCAGTGAATGTACATATGTGTGTTTATATCTATCATCTATCTATCTATCATCTATCTATCTACACACAATATATGTATATATATCTCATATCTCAAATGCAGTCTGAGCTGGACTGGAGCTTGCTGTCCTCTTGTATCAGCTTCCAAGGGTTGGGATTATAGCCTGTACCACCATGCCCAGTCTCACTTTCAAGTTATTGTTTAAAGCTGTGCTAACATACTAGTCATCACAGTCACATGTAGTTATTTACATTTAAAATAGAAAGTTAAGGTGAGGACAGTGCAAAATGTGTGGTAAGCACCAGAGAGACATGAAATAAAAGTCAGGAATACCGAGCAGTCTGTGAGTGACCCACTGGACTCAGGAGTTAGGCACTCAGAGGCAAGGGATAGAACTGTGCAAAGAAGGGCTGTTCACTGAAACTTAGCAAATAAATCAAATAAATAACTGGACTGAAGGTCTACCTAACTCTTTGGGGGCATGTACTAAAGTTGAAATATTTGAGTTCTAAAGCACATTCTTTAAAAGCTGGAGGACAGCAAATATCTATAAATAGGGTTTCCCCATGGTACATTACTTTCCATACTTGGAAGAAACGGGGAAGGAAGGTTTCAAAACCATCATCAGTCCTGCAGATTTCCGCTTATACGTAAGCCTGTAGCGGGAGTTTCTGCAAACATGAGTCTGACACTAAGAAGCGACAGATGGCGGTTCTGACTGTCTCCCCTGAGCAAAGTGAGTTACACTGGCCACAGCTGGAGAGCTGAGCACTGGGAAGACGAAGGCTCAGCCCAGGAAATGCCAGGCAGAGAGAACAGCAGGCTCTTCGGACGCCTTCTTCCTCCTGCTGCTGTTTCCCCTAACACCCTTCCTACCCTGTCCCTGCCCTGAAGCTCAGTGTTGCACAGTGGCACCTCTCAGAAAAAGGCTGCCATCGCCTCCAATGCTTCTTGTAAAGCATAAGAGCAGAATCTGCTAGAATTTCTATGACAGGGCCAGCTTCACGCATCTCTGTTCCCCTTCTCATTTCATTCTCAACTGAAGTACTTTTCCCCACAAGTAGATATTGTGTGATGGGGATAACCATGTGAAGAACTGAGAGTTAGAATTATTTTGACCATGTGTGTACACACGTGGGCAGTGCCAGAGCATGTGTGTGGAGGTCAGTGAACACCCTTTGGGAGTTGGTTCTCTCCTTCTATCATGTGGGTTTCAGGGAACAAGCTCTGATCATCAGGCCTAGCAGTAAGAGTTTTACTACCTGAGCCACCTTGCTGGCCCCAAGTAGAAAAACATAAAGAACCATTAATTATTAAATAGCATAGAAATAATTTCACGATTGGAGCTTCACAGCATATATGCCCCACAGGAGCAAGGACTTTGTTTTGTTCAAGGTTGTACCTCAGGTCTGAGAACATTACACAGAGTACTGGCACTTACTCTTTGCTGAATATTCTTTAGATGACCATTAGTAGCATTGAAATGTACAAATCGATCATAAACATCTCCTCTCTCCTAGATTTACATCATCATGTATCTTCTCTGTTAAGGGAGGAGGCCAGTGCAGAGAGGAGAGCAACGGCCAGGCCTGACTCCTCTGAATTGCTCTGTGATGGCTACTCTGGTGTGCCACCCCAGCAGGCAATCGTACCTGGGCAGTGGTCAGCGCATTGCACATGGAGCAGATGGCCTCGGCATCGTCATCGGTTTTCTTTTTCACTTGCAAAAGCTGAGCAGCTTGAATGAGAGGTTCCAGGGTCTCTTTTGCCCCACTGTTCATTAGATTCTTGTCACGTAGCCACTCTTCCAATTGACTGACATTGTACCTATGCCAAAAATAAAAAGAGAAAGTGTAAGAGAGAATAAAAGAGAAAATGCAAATTTGCTGAATACTGCCATAAGCGTCTTAATTTTGTGTATGTAGCCTTGTCAGTCAAAATGACAGGTAGTATTTTTGTTCAATTTCCTAAAATCTAATCAGCTGTGCTTTAACATTTATCATTATAAAGTCAGAGGCTTGTAATTGTAATTATGTAAGACTGAATGACAGGAGGCTGCAACTCTTTATTGGGAGATAGAAACAAAGTCATCAGAGGAAAAGTTATTAGACTTGCTAATAAATAAAACTGAATACGTCATATGACCCTCTCCTTACTAAACAGCTGACTAGAATGTACTTTCTGGCTTCTCCTGCAATTCAAACATAGGTTCCCTTTGCAGGATAATCCTCTTAATTCTTCACACACTCCATCTTCCTTAAGAAGACTCCAAATTGGGTGACTGAATAACCAGATACCCCAACATATACCCCAGACTCAAAGTGCTCTAGGGAAGGGCCTTGAAAATGGGAACAGTAGCCTGAGAAAGCCTAGAGATAGCTGAGAAGGACAAGGGGAAGCCCTTGGAAGAGACAAAGACTCCAAACTGGAGAGAGAAGGAAATTACACAAGATGCGAGGGTTTAGGTACTCAGCTATCTGATGGTAGATTTCAAACTACAGTTAAGGCAGATGGACACATAGTTAGAATTCGGTCACCAGGCAGATAGAGTATTATGACATTAAGGTGAGCGACTTCTACTGGATGTCATGGCGCATGTCTGTAATCCTGGCACTTGGGAGGTAGAGGCAAGAAGATAAAGAGTTCAAAGTTATCACCCGCTACACTGTGAGTTTGAGATCAGCCTGGCTACATGAGACCCTGTCATTAAAAAACAAAAACAAATGCAAAACAAAAAATATGCAAATTTCATGAAAAGTTAGAATCCCCGAATGGAGGGAATACCTTAAAGTGAAATGTGGATAAGAATGATAAACATAGAACACTAGAGTTCGCTAGTAGCAACTACAGACTTTGTAGAAAACCCCTTTCTCTTTCTTGGTGAATACACTGCTTGGGCATGGCTGTGCATGCCTGCATTCGTAGCTGAAGCAGAAGGACTGTGAGTCTAAGACCAGCTGAGTTTTCTCTAAAACAAAACAAAAAAACTAAAATTCAAAAATGGAATATACTTTTTCTTCAAATTCAACTGTTAGTAAATTATCTCTTTGGACCTATTATTTTTCTTCAACTTAAGCTTTTTTAATTAAAAATATTAAGTGTATGAGCTTGGTTGGATATATGTTATGTGCCATGTGCATGCAGTGTGCACAGAGGCCTGAAGAGGGAGTTGCATCCCCTAAACTGGAATTATAGATGGTTGTGAACCACCACACAGGTGCTGGCAACCTTACCTGGGTCCTGTGCAAGAGCAGTAAGTGCTCTTAACCACTGAGTCATCTCTCCAGCCTATTCTCATTCATATTCCTAATATGGAAAGATAGTTCCAAGAACAACCACCAAATACTAGAAAGTTTCATTTTTTCCTTAATATTGTCTTATCGTGCAATCAAAATAAAAAGAAAACAAATGTCCATTGTTGTGTATTTTGCACATCCCTACACTCCTACAAACAAGATGGCTTAACAGAGGAGCAGGGTTTCCTCCTGAGCAAGAGAACCCACCCAAGTGAGAGAACTGGCTCTACACCAGTCACTCCCTCATGCTTGGCCATGTGGCACCGACACTGGGTGCACTGCTTGGAAACAAGCCATCAGCCCTCGAGAGGCAAGCAGGGCAAGGCTGCCACATGTTGATTTGCTTACCTGATCTGCATGCCTTTGCTCCAAGAGCACATGTCCTTGCGCAGGAGGAGGTTGTTTAGGGTGATGGCACCCACAATGTAGAACATCTGCTTGACCACCTGCTTGATTAGCTCTGGGTCCATCCCATGCTGACACATGACTGAATGGAAGGAGTTGAGCTGCCGCAGGATGGAGTCGAGTGTGTAGGTGCCCTCGTCTGCGATACTGGAGGTTCGCTTTCTGAGCCCTGTGGGCTTCACCCCGGATACACCCTGAATTGTTTCATGCTCTAGCATGCCTGAGACTGTAGAAGTATTTCAATTATTAAGAGGATTCAAAGGGAAGTGCATATGTATATGCACACACACTCTCTCTGTCTCTCTGTCTCTCTCTCTCTCTCTCTGTCTCTCTCTGTCTCTCTCTGTCTCTCTCTGTCTCTGTCTCTCTCTCTCTCTCTCTCTCTCTCTCTGTCTCTCTCTGTCTCTCTCTGTCTCTGTCTCTCTCTCTCTCCCTCTCTCCCTCTCTCCCTCTCTCTCTCTCTCTCTCTCTCTCTCTCTCTCTCTCTCTCTCTCTCTCTCTCTCTCTCTTTCTCTCTCTCTCGGAAATGATCTGAGAATGAAGATAGTGGGAGAAGGAACTTCCCCAAGAATAAGCCTTTGGATTTTAAGGAAAATGCTGAGATCATAGAGAAGGAGAAAACCATGGCCAGACCTTACCTCCTTAGAGTGTCAGCATAAACTTTAATGAAGTAGCAAGGATTTTAAATAAAAAAATCGTCCACAGTATTAAGCAACCTTACTGCTGTATTTTCTAAAATAAGCAGCAGCTTTGGAATTGCACTGGCCTGTAGTAGCTGAGAAGTTTTTGAGAGTGGTTAAATAAATGTTATTTGTATTTGATCTCAGGCAGGAAAACAAAACCCAACAACAACCACAAATCCAAACAACAAAACAATAGCAAGAAGACAGTAAGAAAGGCATGGCCTTGGGAAGCAGTCTTGGAGAAGACATGTTAGAGCTGGAGGTGTGGGGATGGAGAGCTGAGCCCCACAACTATAGTGAGACTTTGGGAGAGCCTTGGTTTCTCCAGGTTTAATCTCCTTGCTGAAACTCTCTCTCTCTGTCTGGTTTATGCCTCCTTAGAAGGCTTCTAACATGTCTACTCTGAGATACTCACTCTGAGATGTCATCCCCTGCCTGGGAGGCCCCTGAAAGCAATGACCATGCATGTTTTTGTTTTGTTTTTTTCCCTTGTGCTAAACTGAGCTCTCCACAAACCCTATATGGATTCAAAAACATTTGTTACTGCTACTAAATGTCTGGGAGATGGGGATAGTTGAATAGGACAGCTTAGAGGCAAACTTCTTGTTCAGCCAATACACCTGGCTGTACCCAGGGGCAAAGATGAGAAAGATCGGGGAAACTGGTCTTCTTTGCCTCTGTGTACTTCCTGAATTTTGGCCAATCTAGAGTGTTTTAAATTTATAACTTCTGAAGGCACAAGATAAGACATAATTGCCTACTCATACGACCTCTTCAGATTTTTATGTCCCCAGCTGTTTTAACTATGGGCCTGTATAAGGATTGAAATCTATGAGCCCACTAAGGGAGGTGAAAATGTAAAAAATGTGGAGAGCACATGATCAGGGGAAGAAAATAAGGGAAGTTTGCTGTAGTATGAAGAATGAAAAGCCTCAAATTTGCCTTGAGATAAAAGTGGTAACTTGAAAAATCAAAACAATTTGCTATATCACAAATCAGCAACCTGTAATTGGACAGGACTAATTTCTATCAGACATGCCACATTTCCCAAGGGAATCAGACAACCCAAGTTATAAAAGAACCTTCAGAATTAGTATAAAGAGAGGTGCATGGACTCACACTCCATGTATGTATGTATGTATGTATGTATGTATGTATGTATGTATGTGTGTGTGTATGTATGTATGTATGTATGCATGTATGCATGCATGTATAAACAGGAGCACATGTGCCACTCAGCCAATGGGAAACCACTACTTAAATATTCCAGGAGACACACAACTCAACCTGGAGTGTCTTGTACAAGACTATGACAGCTGTTATTGTTGCTACAGTGTCTTTCCAGCCACTTCACTGTAGACCATGCCAGCCTCCTTGGTTTCCACTGGTTCCCCCAGGAGGCCCGGTGCAGTAGTGCCACAGTATTGGAAGTCTGAAGTCTTTGACAATTGGACAACTGGCAAAGTCTAGTGCTAGACATGAGGCACAGCTAAGTCTCTTCAGCCCAGACTCTAGTACTAGCCTCAGTCTTGGGGAGACTTTACTACTTTATGTTCCCACAGGACACATGTACCACTGGCCTCACTTGCTGGCAAACGGATGTGATGCTCAGGCACACTGGTCTTACCTATCATTGGCTGAAGGATGTTCTCTAACACCCTCACAAGCTGCTGGTAAATCTGAATGGCCAAGTCGCTCAGCACTTGCCGATATTCAGCAAGGTCAAAATTGGTGAGACAGTGTTCATTCTGGCGAGATGTGTTGTGCTTCATGAAGCCCTAGAATCAACGCAGTGTTAGTGGTGGACAGGAAGCCTGTGCCTCTGTCACCTCTCTGTCCCCAAGTGTCTCTGTCTGTGTCCCTCAGCACCCTCCTGCCCAGTGCGGGGGTGATCACTCTCAACACTGCTGCCTGTGTCTCACTCCTGTCATCACCCCTTCCGCTTACTGCTTTGAGTAACATAATCTTGGCAACCCATACTTAAGGCTGTCTAACAGCAAGATGAGGGAATTTAACTGAAGAAAAAAGTATTTAATAAAACAGCAGGCCTACTGCCAAACACTAAATAAATACTTGAAAGTACTCTGTAGTTCTTAGCTCTTTAAATATAGTCCTACTATATATATATGCACAATCTTCTTGAGTAGGCCAGTTCTTTATGGAGTAAAAAATAATGAACTTTGTCATCTTCCCTTAACTCTGGAATCTATACAGTGATTTCAATTAGACCTTAGAGAAGTTTCCAGCGGCCTCGGTTTAAGAGGAGGCCTCCCCAGATAGGCAGCACTTCTTCCAGTCACTCTGCTCCCCAGCCCCGCCTAGCGATGGAGCTGCTTTCTGGATGACACAGCGTAAACGTGGTGCCAGCCCACACCCTTCAGGGCCTTTCTCAGGGTTCTGCTCGTTCACCTTTTTGGGTGTCTGCTTGTCTTTGTATATCCTATCATTTTTCCATGCCAGTCCTCTGCTCTGGGTGTCAGAGACTGCTACTGACTAAGCTTCTCTGCCTGCCTTACTGACAAAGGATGAGGGGGTTGGAAGGGGTAGGGTCAGGTCAAAGGTCTCCAAGTTGTGCAGATGCAGAGTCACAGTCCGGCTCCTTATGCCGAGATGAAACAGGCAAATGGATGAGCCTCACTGAGCCTCAGTGTCCTTATCTGTAAAATGGGTTTAATGCTAACCAATTCAGATATTGTAACAATTAAATGACAAACATATTCTGTATGTCAAGTACTGTCAGACACACAGGAAACAGCTTTTGATAATAATCAACAGTTTACAATTTTACACTTAGTAAATCTATCAAACAATGAATGAACATTTTACTACAAACAAAAAAAGTATAGATTTTTTTGGACTCATCCAAAGATACATATATGATTTTTTTTCTTTCAAGACACGATTTCTCTGTGTAGCTCTGGCTGTCCTGGAACTCGTTCTATATACTAGGCTGGCTTCAAGCTGAGATCTGCCTGTCTCTACCTCTAGAGTGATGATATTAAAGGTGTGTACCACCATGCCCAGTTACATATATTATTTTTGATTATTCCTCTTTGTTGGTTACCTTTAAGGTACCATGGTTAGCCTAAACAGACTCTTTCTTTAAATAATTCCTTTTTCTTTAAATAATTCTTTATCCTAATGTTAATTCTACATAGACCACCACAACATACTAAGAAAAAAAATTGCTTTCTGGTAATTATTCACTGGACTGATGCTTGGTTTGTTTTTGCCATGCTTCCTCAACTGCTAGGAAGGAAGAAATTACATCACTGCATAGTTTACCAGAAGATAACAAGCGGCAGTGAAGCAGTATATTTCCAGGCCACCTGCTTGGGGGTTTGGAAATTAACATGATTCAACTGTTTTCTAAGCTTTCCCTTTAAAGATTAAGGAAAGTACAGCATGCTGTTTTTAACCACCAAGGTTTTCTCACCTCTTCTCCACTATATTGCTTCAAGCAGTGCAAAAACCGGCACGTGTTAGAAAGCCAGAAGGAGACAGTTTCAAAATCATCACCTCTTTTCTGAAAGAGAAAACACATCTAAGTTTTCTTATCCTTCGGGAAATAGCTGGGCAGACACAGAAGACCCACTTCTTTCCAATGACTGTCGCAAAGTACCGCACAATTAAAGCACATTTTAGCTTTACATCTTTGTCAGCAGGTTAATCAGGTCCCCTGGATGTTTGTTACTGTCCTTGCCTTAGGAAAGTATTTCCACTCATCTAACTTAGCTGTCACTTTGTGTAGAAAAAGGTTCATTTCACATTGGCCCCACACCGACTTACTTTGCTTGTGATTAATGAAATGAGCCAGAAAGAGCCAAAGGCACAAAGGATATAGTAATTTCTGTAATGAAGAACATGACAAAGGGTTTGCCATCCTCAAATGCAGCTTGGACTAAAACTCTTGTCAAAACAAACTCTGTGAGCAGTGAACCAAGGACCGCACACTGAGTGGACAGGGAACCTGGCTGGCTCTTGACCACCATGGGATGAGTACAGGGAGGAAAAGATGCAGACTTGAAAGAGATGCTGGCACTGGAAGTGTTCCTCAGTGGTCAAAGGGCAGACACAGTGGAGATGACTATGAGTTTGTGAATGAACCTTTGCAGTTCAGACATGAAAAGTCACAGAATCATCAATGTTTATCTATATTTTACACAAGAAACATTAAAATAGTTACCTGGGGTAGGGGCCTAGCATTAAATAACTATGATTTTACCTTAGAAGTTCTTTTCAAAAGTGATATGAGGGACTGGGTCTGTAAAGTGTTTACCACATAAGCATGTAGCTGCTGAGATTGAGCCCTAGCAGGCATGTGAAAGACTATCTATCTATCTATCTATCTATCTATCTATCTATCTATCTACCTCTCTAACTACCTCTCCATGTCTATATCTGGTCTACTGTAGCCTAGACTGGCCTCAGACTCACTATATAGCTGATGCCAGCTTTCAATCCTGATTCTCCCACCTCTATCTCCCAAGTGTGCCACCATACCTGATTTAAAATGATATATATTCCTTACTGATACATCAGAGCACAGCCTGGATTTCTAGAAACTACAGAACATCTGTCTTGGATCCTGGTTGTTACTCTATATCGTAAAGTATACCAGAATAGGATATGCTATGAGGAATGGTTAATTTCTTATAGCATCATTTTTTAGATAATAAAATTAACATCCTTAAGTATGCATAAAACACATTAAAGATTTGGAGGATATTATTCTGAAATGACTTTAAGAAAGAAATCCTAGAAGATATTAAGCCCAATTAAGTATTTTTAGCTGAGATAAGAGAACTGAGTTCAGGTCTCTACTTTGAAGAAACCTAGCTTTAAGAATATTGCCAGAATTATAGCTGAGTGGTGGTGGTGCACACCTTTAATCCCAGAACTCAGGAGGCAGAGGCAGGCAGATCTCTGTGAATTCATGGCCAGCCTGGTCTATAAAGGGAGTTCTAAGACAGACAGAACTGTCACACAGAAAAACCCTGTTTCAACCTTACCCCATCCCCTTCCTCCAAAAAAAAATTGGCAGAATTAAATAAAATGTTATGACATTCCCACACACAGGCAATCACCCTATGGCTTGCATACAGGTTTGACTAAGAAGTCTAACTCTTCCACAGATGTGGACTGTATCTACTCCCAGTGGTGATGCTGGTTGAGCTGGCAGAGAACATCTTGGTATAAATTGGGAGGAGGCAACATTAGTCACAGGCTGTTGTATAGGACAGAGTCACTGAACATCTTTGCTGATATCTAGGTAAGCCTACCTGTAGAGAGCCTCAATATAGGCTAACAGAAATCTTATAACTGTACCTACACATTATCAGTATCCTTAGCATCACCAGAAACAAAAGCTAACCAACCAAACAAAAACAACTGGACGAAAGCAGAAGGCGATTAAAGACAGGACTTCAAAATAAACAAACTAACTCCACTAAAATAGCTTCTTTCCACGTGAACAGGATAGGTCCTCTCTGTTCCATTAAAGTAAAATACTCTGGGCCACTTCAAAATACACTTCAGGGAAACTTTAAAGCATTTAAAACCAAGTCGCACCTCTCTAGTAGTTATCTCAAGATAATATTTTCTTATAATGAGTAAACTATATCAAAATTAGATATCAAATTAATGCCATTTTGACTCACAAAAATTAGACAAGCCCAAAATTATTTTCAGTTTTCTATTTATTAGATAAAATGATCTGTGAGCTAAAAACTTTATGGATTCTCAATATACCTTAGAACAGCTACACTGTTTTAGAGCCTGTGTCAAAAAACTGCTGCTAACGCCGGGTGGTGGTGGCGCACGCCTTTAATCCCAGCACTCGGGAGGCAGAGGCAGGCGGATCTCTGTGAGTTCGAGGCCGGGCTGGACCGATAGCCTCCAAAACAATACAGAGAAACCCTGTCTCGTAAAAACCAAAAAAAAAAAAAAAAAAAAAAAAAAACTGCTGCTAAGGTCAAACTAGGGATGCAGGGCAAACACACTTCAATTCAAACTGTGGATATAAGGCAATGCACACTGACTTAAAGTGGAGCACAAAGGCTGTAGTAAGCACTCTTAAAATCATTAACTAACATGTCATGATTGATCAAATTAAACAAATGTATCTTAAATTAGGTTTAGAAGGGGGAAAAGTTTTAAAAATCTGTATAGGAGTTGACTTAAGAAAAAGTAAACATGCCTTTTATCCCAGTACTTAGGGGGTTAAGGCAGGTGGATCTCTGAGTTTGAGGTCAGCCTGGTCTACAAAGCGAGTTCCAGGACAGTCAGGGCTGTTTGGTTGTCATAAAAAACCAAAACCCAAACCCAAACCCAAACCAAACAAACAAACGAAACAGTGAACACATAGTCTATCTGGCATCAGTGTGTCCAAACTTAAATGAGTTATATTTAGAAAACATTTATGAATTTAAAAGAGGAGCCTTCAGAAGCCCCACACTTTGGAAAGCACTGTGGAACAGATGACAGAGAAAAACTTCGCTACAGAAATGGGGAACCAACACTTGACAGAGGCCACAGAGGCTGGAGCAGAAAGGTTATAGAGAAGACAGCTTCCTACAGCAGGAGTCTGTAGTTCAGCCTGAAAAGGGTTTGTGAAGAGCAGCTGTGCCGAGTCTAAAGAAGAAACAGTCTCTGCACAGACTGGCATCGTTAACAACCATGAGAACTGGGGAGTGTGGAACTGACCTTCAAGACTTTTTTGATGCTGTTAATTGTTGACGTCAGCAACGACCTTACTTTCTGATCATCATTCAAGTAGTCAGCATGCCGCACACACATAAATAAGATATATGCTGGTAACCCTGGAATCAGATTGACAGCCACACCACGTGGCTTCAATTCTGAATAAAGAAAAGGAGAAACAAAATTATGTAACCTTGAAAGTCTTTGTGGGGGCATGTTTTGTGGGAGATAAAAGCACAGTTGTGTAAGAGCTCAATCATTCAGGGCAAGTCATAAAACAAAACAAAACAACCCCCAAACTCCCCAAAACCCAAAATAGTATTTTAACAGCTCATTAGTGAAATTATTGACTATGGGCACATCTACATAAAATTCATATATCCTTCTGTGATTTTTCCCTTGAAGTCCAGTCTTATCAACTGTCCTGAAGTCTCTGCTCAGGCACATCAAATCAAGCCTCTCCCAAGCCAAGCTCTCCATTCCTCATGGTGTCTTCTCTACTAATAGACCTTTGCATGTTCAGCTTCTCAGGTCATAAACCTCATCATTTTTAAAACTCCTTACTTTTCTCACACCATATACCCAACTTATCAGTCCTGTTTGTGCTCCCTGCAAAATATAGCCCAAATCTAAGTACTTCTACTAGCTACTCCCCAGTTGAGGACATTATCGCCTCTTTTTGGGTTGCTGGAATAGCTTCCTACCTGATCTCTCAGATCCACCCCCTGGTCCCAGATAATTGCCAAGTATCTACAGCTCTACAACTATTCACTTAAGAAAACACATGTTAGGTTATGCCACTTTTGTACTTCTTTGCTCACTTACAAAATTACAAACCTGAGCCAAGCTGTGGGGGTGCACACCTTTAATTCCAGCACTTGGGAGGCAGGTGGATCTCTGTGAGAAGCCAGCCTGGTCTACAGAGAGAGTTTCAGGACAGCCAGGACTGTTACCACAGAGAAACCCTGTTTCAACACACACACACACACACACACACACACACACACACACACACACACACACACACACACGTACGTGTATCTCTCCATCCAAACCTGACTTGTGCTCTACACTGTCTAGCCCTGTGCTTCCCCATGCTCAGCTCACTCTGCTCCAAACAACTCTCCTTGCTGTTTGGGGAACATGCATGGCTCCCACGCAGGGTCCATGTCCTTACACCTTTTCTGCCTCTGACGCTCTTTCTTCAAAACCGAAACTTGTTCCTTATACTCTTTACCCACCATGCACAGAACACACCATCAGAGTGTTTCCTGACAATTTTATATAAAACTATATGCCTGTCTTTACTCTCTATCCTTTTTACCCTTTAAATCACCAGCTCCTAAAACATCTTGTTAAATGAAGATCATGTTGAAATGGAAGCACCTCTGAACCTGTGTATAGTACTAAGCTGAACGCCACAAAGCTGAGGAGTTAAATTAGGTGTACTTATCAATCCCGTCGCTGTCACCATGGTAGCTGGGAGGAGAGAAAGGCAAAGGCTGATGGTTTTAGTTCACTGCTATTTAGGGGTCTATGCATTTGCTCCTCATTTTATTCCCCCATATATTCCTCTCAGAGTTTACACTCAAGGTCTTAAGCTCCTCCCAAATGCCCCTTCCACTCCCTTTTCAATTGTCCCATCTTTTTTGTATTTTGCTGGAATTTTTTTCCTTAATTATTTTTTTCTTCCATAGTATTGAATTGTCCTAAATGCAGTTAATCTAGGGAATGAAAACAGAAATTTAAATATCTAAATAGCATATAACAGTGGCATCCAACTGTGCTCACATTTGGGAATCCCTGAGACATTTCCAGAGTAATACTAGATGTGGCCAAGCTTTTCTTTGGAAACTTCAATTTCCCTATTTTGGGGCAGGGGATTATCAACATTTTTAAGAGCTTCCTGAGTGTGCTGAGGCGATGGCTCCGTATCTATCTAGTACTATTCATGTGGCCCTGGGTTTAATCCCTGCGCCACCACCTCCCCAACACAACCTCTACGTGCTGGTCTTAGAGGAAGCACATATAGGCCTTAGTACTTGTGAGGCAGAAACTGGAGTACTGTGAATTCTACATTAGCTTTGGCTACATATCTAGGCTCACTTGGGCTATATATGATGAGATCCTGTCTCAAAACCAAACCAAAACAACCCAAAATTCCTGAGTGATCTTAACATAAAGCCAGAAGTGAGAGGCCTGGCTTCAAGGGACCCTGACAAATGGATCTGAATCATGTTCTCTCACTTTGATCATGAGCGCTCAGAAAGGACTCTACCACAGCACCACCATGCAGTATGAAATGACAATTCATAAAACTTTGGAGTTGGACCTGCCAGGGGTTTATATCTATGGTCTTTGATGTTCAGAAAGCTGAAACTCCTGGTAACTCCCAGGAGTTTAAGATTAGCATGGACATGATAGGGCCACTGCCTAAAAAAAGAAGTGTTAGCATTTAAAAATTTTTAAACATGTTTTTGTTTTGTGTGTGCTGTATAAGGGCCTGTGACAATGTGGGTTTGTGGAAGCCAAAGGATAGCCTGCAGGACTCTACTTTCTCCTTCTACCATAGGTGAAGGAACTCTGGCCAGCCTGAGTATGGCAGGTATGGCCCTGGTAGGCCTTGCTCTTCTCCTTGATTCGCTCTGCCTTGCTAAAAATGGTTAGATTACATCCCTAGAACTAGTCATCAAGGTCTATTCTCTTACTTGGCCACTTCCTTCTCCTGAGGTTGACTACCAAGGTCTAGCAAAGTATTGAGGTCCAACAATCAAAAGCTTTGGCTTACCTAATTCACATGCCCAATGAAAACTAAACACCTCATCCTAACAAGGGGTTTCCTCTTGTACCTTGATAAACTGACATTTTCTTATGTGCCACACCTGTCTCCCTTTTATCCAGGGGCAAGCCTTTGTGCCTCTGGGACAAAAATACCCCTTCCCCATCTCCCTTGTTCCCTGCCCCTTCTCCCTCATTCACAATCTCCAGTATCTCTCTTATTCCCTGCCCTCTCTTCCTCTGGGGCAAATAAATCTCCTTTGTGCTGAGAGAACTTGGTCTTGGGGGGCCTGAGCCAACACTGATCTTTTACAATAGGGGTCCTGGGAACTAAACTCAGATGATCAGGCTTGACAGCAATCACCAATACCCACTGAGCCATCTTGCCAGTCAAGAAAATCCTTTTAAGGACTATTAAATCAGTTTCAAAGCTAGTGAGCAGCCTTCCCAGCACTGACCTGGCTAGAGGGAATCTTACCCATGCAGAAAGCACTTGCCTAGAATCAGGTTCTTAACAAGCTTCTGCTCATCCTCCCTTTTGTACTCCAGCATTCCTTGGAAATCCTTTTCTTTCCGGGGAATGTTGACTGGCCGGATAGGCTCATCAATGATCTGTCCTGGAGATATGTTCTCCATCTGACCCACTTCAGGAGAAACAAAAAAGGAGAGAAGTATTTGTCAGGTAGAATGGTTGAGAGGACTCCATGCTCTTGTAAAAGTAAGTGGACTCTGCAAGAAATGAAGCTCTTTCACCCCTTTAAAATAGTTTTCTCTGCTGAAACTGGGTAAATAGCATCATTAAAGAGAAATTCTACTCTAACAGCCACAGAGCCTGTTACACAAGCAGTACATCAAAAAGTTACCCAGAGACTGGCAAGGATTTTTTGTTTGTTGGTTTTGTGCCAGGTTTACTCTGCCGTAAAATCAAGTATCCACAGCACAGAAGAAAAGTCCCCAGCATATGCAATTTAGCATATTTGCTAATGAACCTTTACCAACCAAAAGTAGTTATACATATTCAGACTTTTGTTTGCAAAATGGAAAAACAAGGTGGGAATGGCAGAGCATACCTGGAATCCCAGCACCTGGGAAACTAAATCAGGTGATCTAGCACACAGGACCAACTTCAGCTATATACCAGTTTGATGCCAGCCTCAGCTACACAAGCCCCTGACTCGCAAGCCAGCAAACAAGCAAGCCAGCAAGCACATCTCAGAGGAAAAACATTCCAAAGGGGACATCGGAAGCACATGCTAATTCTAAGAATCCAGTATTCATTCGTTAAAAGCAAAAGACCATTTATTCAAAATTTACCATTATCTCAGATTCAAACCACACCAAGATAATTGGTAAGAGAGTGCATATTAGCACAGATTGATGTGGAAATGCCTAAAATAAGGCTTATTTTCTTCTGCTTACTTCAGTTGTGTGCGAACAGATGACGCCTCCTTTGGAGGCTACGCAATAAGATACCACCTGGGATGCAGAAAGCAGGCCTTCCCCAGACATTGAACCTGCAGATATCTTCTTGAACCTGCTCTCTTTGAGAATAATTTTCTGTGTGAAACGAATCACCCAGCCTGAGCAGCCCAGAGAGACTGAGTCAGCAGTCACTCAGCCTGGTGCTCTAATACAGCATTCTTCTATGACCTGCGACAATCTCTGTTTTCATTTTCTAGATTCTTACAAACCCAAAAGGAAAATACTCCTTAATTTTTTTCCTGGAAAGGAAAGAAATTCAAAAGAGTCCCTAAAAATTTGCCCTTTCTTCCCAAAGTACCAGGAAGATCTTAATGTCATGGTTAACCAGTCATCAGAAAATTTCTTACAAGTAGAAAAATTCTGGAAAACATGATCTAAAGCAGAGAAACCAGAAGGATGAGGTTCTAGACCTATGATCTAACAGATCTAACTACAGTTTCTGGGTTTTTGTTTGTCTTGTATCAAAAAAGTTACTGGCTTCTAGAATATTTCAGGTCTGTTTTTTTTTAAATGAGAGTGGAGATGTAACACCCACTCCTGGATTAAAATAGAGCACCATGCACACCAGATTTTGAAAGACTCTACTTATCTGTAAGACTCTACTTTTCTGCTAAAAATTATATATGTTCACATTTTTCTTTTAAAAAGTTTGCTTTTTAAAAAAGTGTCCTTAATTTAATATAGCCCACAAGAGAGACAGGAGTCTTGCTGTTTTACTTTAAGGCAAAGGGGTTTGAATATGTTTAACACATTTAAGGAAAAAAACAATAACCTTTGATTATTAGAAGGGGCCTTGTTGTACAAAGCCTCTGGTATTTTTCTGTAAAACACAGATGTGGAGAGGAAGAGAGAAGTGTTGAAAGAGCTTGCCATGTTGTGCCGATTTCATTTTATCCTCTATATAGAAATCATTTAGCTCAAAATATAAACTTTATGAAGAACTAATATGTTTTTTCTTGTTTAACCCATGAGCTGCTAGCACAAATGTTATTTTTTGTTTGGCTTCCAGGATAGTTTAACTGAAAAATTAGATTTCTAATTGACAATGGTCAAAAACGAGTAGCATCTTGAAATATTTTAACCTATCTCTTCAAAGGTTGAGAGTTTAGTTCACTGGTAAAAACATACATTTAAAAGAAAACTGATTTAAAATGTGAAATAACAATGGATTTTATGTTTATTCACATTCACTAATGTTGGCCAAGAGTCACAAGTTTAACCACCTCACAGGTCGATAACCTTAAAACAGTGTTTTTACAGCAAATACTCTGCTGTCTTATCATGATGTCCAGTTCAGTGTAGAAGTTCCCTGGAAAAAATAACCTAGATTTTTAAGTATTGCCAATGAACATTACAGCTCATGTGTGTAAACTGGAGTTTCAAAAGTTTCTTCTTGTATTTGTATCGATGGTGTGTGTGCAAATCATGAGTGTATGCATGTGCGTAGGTGCACATGTGTGCATGTGGAGGCCTGAGGTTACATCTGGCGTCTTCCTTCATCTGTCTCTACCCGATGTATTAAGGTGGGGCCTCTCCCTGAACCCAGAACTTGCTGTTTCAGCTTGTCTAGCTAGCCAGCTTGTTCTAGGGAATACTCTGTCTCTTTAAAGCTAGGATTGTAGGCAGCTGCCATGATTGATAACTTTTTAGGCAGGTTTAGGGGATCCAATCCTCACAGCTTTGTGGAAAGTGCTTTATATGTAACGGTATCTCCCCAAAAGTTGCAGTTTCAAAAGTTTTAGTGTAGTATATGAATCATGTAATGCTAAGGGTCTATATAAAACATATGGCTAATAAAGTAATCTTTCTGACATCTAAACAAACATTTCAATATCTGTATATTAAAGAGTAATCCCTCTTCAAGGTTAACACCCATGGTACTATGCTCTATTATAGATCAGACACTGTGCTCCTTGTAACTGTAAGAAATAAGAGGTGATTTCCACACTCAGAATGCTTTTGGTCTAGTATAGAAACCAGCGATTCAAACAGAAAAACTGCTAAAAATATGACAGTGAAAAACCACAGAAAGTATGAACCAAACACTGGAGGTAGGGTTATCTGATCTATGCTGTAATAAGCATGCTTCTGAGGATGCGACATGTGCCTTTGGTGCCAAAGAATGAGCAGGGCTCGACCAGGACACCGACAGCCAAACACAACAGTTACGGTGTAGTGTGAAGGGGTAAGGAAGAGCAAACCCAGAGTTCACTGGGGCAGATTCGCTTGAATATTTCAAGTGGTGGGTACGCTCTACCCTTTGTGCCACATGAGAATCATAAAGATGACAAGTAGGAAATACGACTTGTGGTAAGGATGAGCATATCACTTGTGGTCAAAATGGTAGACCTTGCAAAGATTTAAAGGGAATTTAATCTTTGAAATTCTGTCTCTATAATGCCTTGAGCAGTCATGGTCATTGGAATGAACTTAGCATCTGCTTTGGTCTTTCACAGCTAGATCTCAAGCACTTGCAACTGTGCCTAGCACCTAGGAAGCATTCAATAAAACTTACTGAGGGAACAAACTAACCCACAAGACAACATTAGTATGTTTACATAGGATTTTTTTCAAGGAGCTTCTCTATTCCTTATAGAAAGAATTACATTTTTAAATTGTATTTCTTTATAATTATAATTCATATGTTCTGACTAACTTTTTCCTTTCTATGAGACCATGAGTTCTTTGAGGATAAACTCTACCACATTCCCTTCTGTATCTCTAGTAATAACATGTAGGCTGTGTGTAGCACTGGCTATCACTACTGTAGATGCATCACCCACATTAACTCATCCAGGTCTTACAAACCATGTTTGATGGATAACATTATCATTCCCAGTGAGAATGTGGGAAAACTGAGACAGGGAGAGGTTCAGTAACTTGCAAATATTCTAGGAAGTAGGAGAGACAGGGTTGGAGTCTAAGAAGCTGCCTCTGGAATCCTTGCTCTTCCACACAGAGACGTGTGTTAGATGTTTGCTGAATGAATTTTCTCCCCTTGCAGTTTACTGTTTATTACTATGAAAATTATCCCCAAATGTGGAAGTAGAAATTTCTACTCCTCAGAGGTCAGGATTGTCAAAAGTCATTTTGCTTATTTCTCTAAAAATTCACCCAGTGGAGGTTTATACTAGCAACAGGAAATAAAATTTGACAAATATTATAAAGTATGTTTAAGTACCTTCTAGTTCACCGATTTTTTTGGCGAAGACTTTCAGTTGTTTTTTCAGTTTTCGGACAGTTTTATCCTGTTTTTCAAGTTGTTCCATCAGATCCTAAGATCAAAATGAGAATTACATTAGACAGATCCAAAGAGGCTGGGTACAAGCACAAAGGAGCACAGACATAATCCCAGCAAAAGCACTGTTAGCTTTACATACAAGCTGCAGAAGAGCTCACTCGTGGAGCCACCGCCTGGCTCCAACTGGCAGACAAGGGAGGTGCAGCTACAGTGACGGCAACTAAAACACACACTGCAGTAAGTTCCTTTACAGCGTGATGGAAGTCTTCCAGCAGACTCCTAGGGGACCCGACTCATAGACGCATTGCCACTTTTGAAGGAGGACTGAGCAAAAATGAGGTTTTTTTTTTCTTCCAAAAATGAGTTTTGATGAGTGCAGAAATATTCTGTGGGAGATCTGAGGATGGCTGCACTTAAGACTGGCGCTCCATGTGTAAAGGATCGCTATAATTTGCCAATTCTAAACTTAGCCTTAAAGCCTAAGAAACATAAAGTTTGGGGAAACCAAAAGAAAGTTGAGCCAGATGTTGTAGCATACACCTTTGGTTCCAGCATTCTGGAGGCAGTAGTGGGTTGATCTCTGTGAGTTCAAGGGGTTACAGAACAACACTGTCTCAGAAGCCAAACCAAACAACAAAAAAGCAAGAAAAAGGATAGAGCATTTTGCTACATAGCACGAAGGTGTATGCCTATAATCCAAGTACCTGGAATTCTGGGAGAGAATTCAAGGCCAGCCTGGCTTATGCAGTGAGAGTCTGTCTCTGGGGGTGGAAAATCTGCCTCAAAGTGGTGGCCCACACCTTTAGTTCCAGGACTCAGGAAGCAGAGACAGAGACAGGCAATCTCTGTGAGTTCAAGGCTTGCCTGGTCTACAGAGAAAGTTCCAGGACAGCAAAGGCTACAACAGAGAAAACCTGTCAAAAGAAAAGAAAAAGAAAAAAAGACTTTGATTGCCTAATGCAAAAAAAAAAAAAAAAAAAGAGAGAGAGACGGAAAGAAAACTTGCATATTTAAAGCAAAGGGAAAACATCTGTGACTACTGCTCTATTTAGTAAAGAATTTTCTCAAAGGACAGGCAGTTAGAAACTCAGTAACTAAGAAGGAAGTGGACACGACCAGGCTAAGAAAGCTTAGAAGGAACATGAGTCAGTGAAGATGCTGGTGGTTGTCACTAAGTTATAGAGAACAACATTCGAAAATACTGACTCACGCTCCAGCTTGCCCAAGAGTGGGTTCAGACCAGACTAGTGCTGGCAAGGGAGCCGTTGCTACCGTTTCCAGTGCTGGGCCATGCTTCCATCACACTGTAAGCCTCGGGTTAACAACGAACCAAACACACAGTGGACACAGGACACTAAAGAGATGACACGGTGGCTAAAGGGAGCTGTGGAGGCGAAGGACAACATTTTGTGAAGATTTTTGAAGAGACCTCCTGGGCAGTGGCAGGCAGCAGTGTGCTCTTCAGTTATAGAAGGCTAGAAGTAGCGGAAGACAACAGAAAAGCACTGTGGTTTACATACAATCATCCTTTTGTAAAGTGAAATCCGAAATGATTGATACTTCTTAGGGTCATCTGCATATAATTCCTCAAAATACTGAAAAAACAGGTACAATGGATAGTTGTTTCCTATGTCTTTGAAGGGAATACTACCTCTCAGAAAAATTAACTTAAAAAATACCCTTTAAAACACAGGTAATGAAACGATATCTACTCATAAGTTCCTATTTGTCACCTGCCATTACCATGTTCTTTTTCTAATATGGATGAGTCTCGTATTTACAGATCTATTTTGCACGACCATTGGAAACAGGTGATGACCATGATATTGTCATTCAGCAGGTCAATATAACAGAGGACCATGGTACCCAGAGAAGACTGACACTTCAGTTCTCAATCTTTACTCCTCCCAAGCTGCTACACTGCTCAGCTACAAGCCAAGCAGCAAGGGCAAGGGAGGTGACGAATAAAAAAGGCAGGAGTGCTGCTAGCACTGCACTACCGTTTGGAATGGGTACAGCTAGTGAGAGGCAGCATGGGGGAGGCCTGTGAAGCCTGTGTACTAGAGGAGAAAGAAAGTCATTCCTCCATGTACTGGCATGGTGTGTGTGTGTGTGTGTGTGTGTGTGTGTGTGTGTGTGTGTGTGTGTGTGTGTAGCGGGGAGGTATGCAAGGCAAAGCTTCAGAAGCACTAAGCCCAGACATACTGTTGCCTTAATATTCTGCTCAAGTGCATCCTAAAAAGTGCATAAGTAAGACCAAGAAACTAGATGGCCTGAGAAGGCATATTCTTCCATCACTTGAGTTTGATAATGTTCTTTGAATTAGCAGTCAGGGTAATGTACAAGCAGCTGATCTGCAAAGGGTAGCCTAAAGCAAACTAGAGTCTTCTATTTAGGGTGTAGGGCTTGATTGCTTCTACATTGGGTACAGAATTTGCCAAGAACATTAATAGTACAGACAGGCTTTAAGGGCAACATTTGATTAACTTAGTGAACAACTGAGAATCTACTACCCAGAAACAAACCTACTTCACAGATCACTTAGCATTTTAAGACAATGATTCAGAAACAAAGAATCTGTACACTGATCAATCAATATTATTCCACACATTTGTCAATTCTTAATCATCAAAAGCATGGTTAGTTATTTAGCAACAAGAGTAAAACACAACTTTTAAAGAACACTTTGTGACTCGGAAGCCTTTCTCATCGAGTAATAAGGTTCAGTCATGCTGAAGAGCCCAGACACCAACCCCGCCTTCCCCCACATTCCTACCATGGAGCTTCACACATAAGACAGACTGGGAAGGAAATACTCTGATGTTTTTTCTAATCTAGATAAAACATGGGTGAACATATGGTAGTAGAGAACTATCTATGTTGTCAATTATCACTAATGGAATTAGACCTTCAGAGAAATTCTAAGATTATTACAGATCTTAAAAAGGTGTTAATTTTTCATGTCACTAAGGAACAGATTTTATGCAAAAATTGTAATTATAATCTTTCACTGACTTTTATGCAGCAAATATATCTGGAAATTTACATTTCCAGATTTAAAAATTGTAAATATGTGATCAAAGCTATAATGTGACAGAGAAAGAAATATTGCAGAAAATAATTTTTTCTTGGTAAAATTTTAAAGGAATGAGAAAAAAGGAAGTCTTAGAGTCCATGTCAGCATTCAGAATTTGGTAAGGGGAAAAGCAAAAGCGCCCTCATTACTATTGTCCAAGGTCTGCTTAAAAGAATAAAATGTGCCGGGCGGTGGTGGCGCACGCCTTTAATCCCAGCACTTGGGAAGCAGAGGCAGGCGGATCTCTGTGAGTTCGAGGCCGGGCTGGACCGACAGCCTCCAAAACAATACAGAGAAACCCTGTCTCGTAAAACCAAATAAATAAATAAATAAATAAATAAATAAATAAAATGTGCCAAGCTCAATACTAGTCCTCCTATCCTGTTCTAGAAGCTCTACCCAGTGTCAGCCCATAGCCCAGGCTTAGTTCAACCAAGAATCTTCCCTGGCTTGTCTGCTAGACAGGCTGGATGGCATCTTCACTGGATGCTTGGGATCAAAGGAAAATAATGCATAGCTGTATCTCTCTGGTATTTAAAGCCTAGCAAGCAGCCAGGAGACTTCCTTTCAGACAATGCAGGTAAGGTCTGAGAGGGTTCAATTGTCCAAGAGGCTGCTGTGAGAAACAGACTGGGTGCAATTTCATTATTTTGATTTATTTCTACCAACACGCTCATATTTTCTCTTTGGTCTCTATCAGCTACAGAAGAGTGTCTTTTCCAACAAGGAAAAGTCGTGCTTGTCCAAAAATAACATATAGCAGACTGGGGTACAGCCATTCTCCTTACCAGGTTTTCATTGGTCAGCCGTGTGATCTCATGCTGCAGGCTGGCCTCAATGCGGGCCTCGGGGGGCAGCTGCAGGTTCTGGGCCAGCAGCTGCTGCTGCCGGTTGTTTTCTTCCTTTAGACTCTGGATCTCCCCACGGAGGGCCTCGGCCTCATTCTCATGGCTCCTCTTCTGAGACTGTAGCTGGGATTCCAAGAGCCTGCAGAGAAGCCACACAGATTTGTAGGGGCACCCCAAGTTCACACTAATGGGTGTGAGTCACATGTTCCTTTGCAAGAACAGGAAAAGCGGGCATTCTTTAGCATCTGTACCTCTCCTGAGCCCAATAATGTCATGAACTCAAATGTCAGAAATGGAAACAGATGTGTTCAAATTTGCATCTTTTTGAATTGTATGAAGTTCTCCTTTAAGTTGGCAAAGATAGTATCATTGCCAAACATGAATGAATAAATAAATAGCTGTATCATGAAAGGCAAAATTGCACACTTCCAATCTAATGAAAAGACCTTTAAAGACACAGTCACTGATTTCAGGCAAAGGTGGAACCAGGATCATGTTTTAAATATTGTCCACTTCCCAGAACAAATGGGCTGGAGCACTTACTTGGAAACATAGATTTATCCAAATAGCATCTAGCAGGTGTGTGTGTGTGTGTGTGTGTGTGTGTGTGTGTGTGTGTGTGTGTGTATGTGTGTGTGTAGATAGAATTGCCATCTCTCTCCCCATGAAATTACATATCTAACAGAATCCTAACAAGATACAGCTTTTGGACAAAGTTATAGTCAAGCATGAACTAACATGAAGAAACAGACACTTAATCTTGATTTCTTTTGTTATCAACTGCTGAGTAAAATTTACTGATACCATTGTGAGCAAACTATTAATAGCAGACTAAAATATTTTAGTTATGAAATTTCAAGAAAGCTAACCAACAACATTGCTAATACCGATGGTTATGGTTAGAACAAAGCAGCAAGCATAGCTCATTTAACAGTATAAGAATTTTAAAATTATAATCACTAAAATGGAATTTTGTAGGTGATTATTTTTAAGACACAGACATCACTAGGGCAGATGTATATGTTAGAGACGCAGCTAATTCAATTTTTTTCCCCTAGAAATGAATTGCTGAGTTCAGGTGGTTATCCTGACTTGTTTAGCTCTGAATCTCACAATAACCACAGAGAATGCTGAATCAGGCACTCAACGATTTTAGGCAGCATCACAATAATGAGAAAGTGGCCACATTTGTTATAGAAATGTGTATCCCAGATTGACATTCATTACAAATAAGCTACTGTCCAGGTAATGAGTACTAGTGGCCACATTCCAATAACTTGTGCTTTAGCTGGAAGACTGTGTTCCTCAAGTCCTAGAGAGGTTCACAGTTTTTAGATACTCACTCCTGACAGCACTGTGGCATATATGAAGTAATTTGTATTTACCTATAGTCAACTTTAGCCTTAATAGTATCTGTTAGTAAAGGCAATTTTAAAGAAGGTATTTGGCTACAGATTCTAAGTTTTATTGAGACTAATTGTCTCATGAGGACAATAAATGCACAAGACATATAGTAGTCAAAGTTGTGAGTCCACTGTTAGTAAGAAAAACAAGTTAATAGCATTCCATTTGAGGAGACAGATATAACCTGTTGGCTTGTTTTAACCCTTCATAAACCAGCCAGAGCTCTCCATCCTCATTCAACTCCTGGTAATCCATAGTAGATGATCTTCCATGTAAAAGAACACAATGCAAAACACAAAGGGACATGGGATGGAAATGAGATGATGGTGGTCAAGAAAAGCACATGATATTTCAGTATTTACAAGTGGATAGGACCACTTTTAGTAATTACAAATGACTTTACATTATCACAAAATTACTTTGGTTAATTCAAAATGAAGTTGCAAAACAGGTAAATGAAGAAATGAAAAGAAATGACTGGAAAGTGAAACATTCAATCTCTAATGCTTTATGTGGCTAGTCATTTGACCTTACACATCAAGCATTACATTAAGGCTAACTCTAACTCATGGTATATCTTCACGTGGCAATTTTCATACTCTATTTCAAACTGGAATTTTAAGTTTTCTTGATAGGAATTTATTTCAGCATAATCTGATTCCCCATGTAAATTTTTATAAAAATTATTGTACAAATAACAGAATATATCCTAAGTTCTCAGCTTTTGACATGGTTTTAAATTTTGGATAAAATTCATTTTAAGATCTGTAGTAACTACCTTTATATTAAAGGTATATCTATCACCTATTATTAAAATAGTATAGTTTATAGACAACGTTTAGTTGGTAACATTTTTTCTACCTAGAGTGCAAGCAATACATTTTGAGGGTTGTTAAATGTCAGATGCTGTTCTTCATTCTTTCATTATCTCATCAATTCTCCCCATCACCATAATGTGAATGACACTGTCTTTGACATCAATCATAAATAATTACCTGATATGATGAATGGGATTTTAAGCTGGGTTACCACCAGAAACCTTCTTGAAGATTGGCTGATGTCTAATAAAGCAATGAATTAGCATACTGACTTCCTGAACAAGAGGTTGGCCAGAAGACTCAGATTAACCAAGGTGGATAAAAGGATCAACTTACCTGTTCGTTTCCTTCAAACCAATATAGGCTTGTGCTATTTCACCTTTGTCTTTCATTTTCTGTACATCTTCCAAAAGTATTGTGGAATCTGTCATTGTATTCTAAAGGGAGAAATGACACATTTCCACATGAAGGCGCAACTCAGTATCAGTGGATCACAATAAAATATTCTTTTCATTTTAGGGCTTACTGAGTAAGGGCACTTGCCACCTAGCTTGATGGCCTGAGTTCAATCTCTGGAACCCATGTGGTGGGAAGAATCTACTCATATAATATATCATCTGACATTCATGTGTAAACTTATACAGACACATGCACACTCTTTTTCTCTCTCTTTTATGTACACACACACACACACCAAAAACATTACATTTATTGCCTCTAAAAAAGGTCATTCTCTTTGTCTAAAAAAATGTCTGATCTTTCAATCAATGTTTGCTCTAAGTTAGGTGTGATGGCCATGCCCAGGCTGTCCTCAAACTTTCTATGTATCTGAGAATGACCTTGAACTTCTGGTCTTCTTTCTTCATCTTCCCCAGTGCTGGGATCACAGATATGTACCACTGAATCAGTATAATTTATTGGGTGCTGCAGATCGAACCCAGGGCTTTGTGTATGTTAGGTAAGAATTTTACCAGTTGAACTACATCCTGGCCCCAAATAAACATTTCTTTAGCTTTATTTTATAAATAGTTTATATTTAGTATATTTCAGCTAATTTAATTTTCTCTTTCCCTGAAAGATCTATTTCATATTCTCATTTTAAAGACTTATAAACATAATTCACAACGACTCAAGTTTTTATATCAAATAATGATGCACCGTACTTGAATATCTTAGGACTTTTTGGAGTGTTTTTGAACTGATAAACTAGGTTAGTTGATCTATTTATTTAGTTAGTATGAAGACAAGGAAAGATGGGTGTCTCCATTTGCTGATGAATTGGGGAACAAGCAGATGGTTCTTTCCTCTTTCTGCCTGTCTTGGCTAGGATATAGTTCTTGGGAGAAGGAGTCAGATTTGTACTGGAGCACAGAAGTTTTTAACTCACTGTTCCCTGTGTTTCCCATATGTAGTGACTTGAAATTCTGAAAAGGATGCATCATATATGAAACATCCCATTATCACTCAACAGTTGAAACCACAAGAGTAGAGAAATTCAACTCTGCCACTTCATAGGAGCTACTTTTCATTCTAGTTACAGGCCAAGAGTAAGTCACAGAGATGACTATGAGTTACAAGTCAGATCAAAAACTACTACAATCACAGTTTCTCCTAGTAACTTCATATAGAAAGACATCAAATAGGAAATTAGTAAGTAAAAAGGAAGCAGAGCATGGCAGCTTATACCTATACTTGGCACACTCAGGAGGTGAAGGCAGGATGACCAGGAGTTCAAAGACATCTTCAACTATATAGTGAGTTTGAGGCCAACTTGGGCTATATGAGATCTTACGGCAAAAAAGGCAGAGAGAGCTGGAGAGCTGTATCAGTACTTAAGAGGGTTTGATTCTCAATCATGAGGACCTGAGTTCAGCTGTCAGCACCCATGTAACAAGCTAGACATTCCACACATGTCTGCAACCAAGATTCTGAGGGGGTGAAGCCAGGGCATTGCTGGGGTTTAATGGCTTTTGGCCTAGGTAAGGAAATGAAAGCCCCAGGTTAGGGAGACTCACTAGAATAAATGGACAATGATAGAGGAGGGCACACAATGCCTTCTTCTGGCATTCATTTATACATACCACATAAAGACAAATAATAAACAAACAAATCTTTAAAAACAGTACAAAATAAAATAGACCTGGTCACAAAGCACCAAGACATGCAAACCAATGTTAGGATTAAACAGAAGTACTTACTAAATATTAAAAACATGTATAATTACCTTGTCATCCTGAAAAAATCACACGTTGGCATGCACAAAAATGCAGAAAACAATAAATCTTTAGCTGTATGAATAAACACTTTCACTGAATCTAGACAAGATTAATTTAAAAACCATGACTTGTTTCTTTTAAAACTAACTCTAATGCATTAGCATTCACAAAACTGTCATAAGGTAGACATTAATATATGTGTATGAGATAGGAACTTCTATTTCTTCTTTTTTTTTTTTTTTTGGTTTTTCAAGATAGGGTTTCTCTGTGTAGCCTTGGCTGTCCTGAAACTTGCTCAGTAGACCAGGCTGACCTTGAACTCACAGAAATCCGCCTGCCTCTGCCTCCCAAGTGCCAGGATTAAAGGCTTGCACCACCACCACCCTGTTGGAACTCCTATTTCTATGCTTAAATTCTTTTCTGAGTTGTTTTAAAATGTTCCTGGTTGTAAAATGCTTGGGTGTGTGAAAGAGTAACTCTGCTGTTGATGTATCTGGGTCAGACTTCGTACTAGGTCTTTGAAGAGTTCAAGTAGTGGCCTTTGGGAGGGCAATTGTCCAAGAAAGCCTCCCAGAGCTCTCTGGAGGTAGAACAAACTAACCAGAGCTGGCTGGGCTGACTCACACCCTAGTTCACTGTCTTGAAAGCAAGAAATGGAGAAAGTCAGAATTACAAACAGGCACTGGGTATTTGGAAGGTTTCAGTACATGCACATTCCTCCAGAACAGACAAGTTGTGTTACATGGAGGTTGGGAGCTGGGCAAGCAAGGATTATGTTGAGATAGGGCCAGCCCATTATCATAGAACAGGTGTCACATGGGCTTTGTGAACTTAGTAAGTGGGCAGGCATGTCACTAAACTATGTGCTCTACTAATGAGGTTGTATTTACATCCACTGCTTCATTTTTATTTTCCAATCTTTTAATTTTCACTAAAATTTCCTATGAGAGTATCAGTTGTACTCCACAAATACATACAATTACTTGTAAATTTAAAAGGAAAAAGAGAGACTATCAGCTGAGAGAGGAGAGAAGACTGATTTAGTCTTTGTCCAGGAGGCATACAGTGCTTTCTTTCTCAAGGCCAATCTGTTCAAGCCTTGGAACCAGATGAGATTGATCCAAGAAAGGTGACATTGTGGAGTGCTGTCTGTTGACTCTGTGAACACAGCCCTTCCTACCTTCTCACTATAAAAGGGAACTCCGGGGAGTGAACAGAAATCATCTGCATGCGATTTCCACAAACTGATTTAATTTCTAGCCATTTTGTTACTTTCCCACTTACACAGGCCAATTTCAATAAGTAATCTTAGACTTAATGCCTTTTGGTACCAAAATAATTTGTAGATTTTCATATTTAATGTATTTTACTTTAGTTCAGAATATACTGAGGCAAGATTACTACAAAAGTATTTATAAAACAAAAAACTCTGCTTCTGGGAAATGAAACTTTGAAAGACACCCGAGAACCTAGTGGCTTTTTGCAACTGCTCTTAAGTGTTTGTTTCGTTACAAACTGGAGGAAAAACAGAAGACATGAAAGGCAGTCACCATGCTTCATACTCAACATGTACACATGCTTACCTTGGGTTGGATGGCTTCTTTCTGGCTCACCAGCTGAGACCGCAAGATGAGAACTTCCTCCTTTCTAACGTCCAGCTCCTCGCTCACAGAGGTCAGCTGTTCCATGAGGACACGGTAGGCAGGAGCACCTGGTGCAGTCACTTCTGGGGCACTTTTCTCACTGAGGGCTTTGCGCAACTCGTTCAGCTCATTTTTCAGTTTTTTGTTTTCTGATTCCAGTTCTTGACGCTGAATGAAAAAGATAGACAAGCTTACTATGGTAGTTTGAATAAAAAATGGCTTATAGAGATTGGCACTACTGGGAGGTATGACCCTGTTGGAGTAGGCGTGGCCTTGTTAGAGGAAGTGTGTCACTAGGGTTGGCTTTGAGATCTCAGATGCTCAAGCATGGTCAGTGTGTCATAATCTTTTCCTGCTGCCTTTGAATTTGGATGTAGAACTCTCAGCTACCTCCCCAAAACCATGTATGCCTGAGTGCCACCATCCTTCCCACCATGATGACAATGGACTAAGCCTCTGAACTGTAAGCCAGCCCCAATTAAATGCTTTCCTTTATAAGTGTTGCCATTGTCATGGTGTTTCTTCACAACAATAGAAACCCTAACTAAGACATTTAATGCTGTCATCATCATCTTTATATTAGAGATATTTAATGTTGTCATTCTCATCTTTATATCAGAAAACTAAACCTCCCTGAAGTGATGGAAGAATTCTACTAGAAAGGACATCAATCTCCACTCTTATGATCTTTCAGATTAAGTTAAGTGTGTCATCAGTGGGACTGAGCAATGTAAATGATAGTTTGTGTCACCAACTCAATTCCAGAGGCAAATATACTCTGATCTGCTCAGGGAATATTCCCATATGCAGACTGCTGAGTTCCAATCCCAGGAAGTCCAGGTTTTGTTAGCAGGTAAATGTAAGGGCAAAACCAAGCATGCAGCTTGTCAGGATATTCCCAATGACATCTGGGTAGACCCCTGAAATCCTCAGCAGTGCTCTCTTTCAACCCTTTACTATGTGGTAATCAGTTTTACATTGCTCATTTCTGGGAAAGAAAACAAGATAGTGTCTTGTCTTTGATGCTGAGACTCTGACATAGTGTGCCCCAAACCTTAACATGTATCATAGCCATTTGGAGTTCCTGTTGAATCACATATTCCTAAGCCCCAATTACATGACTCTGGCTTTGTATCTAATGGTGTGAGGCCTGAGAATTCTGTACTTCCAACAAGGAACCAGGTGATATTGGTTATGCTAATGTAGGGCTAGACTTTGAGACCCACTCACCCAATGCTGTGTCAATACGGGCTTCACTCATACTACAGAAAACACTTTCACTTATCTCTGTTTATGTGAGGTACGGGATGTTTTGGAGATCTGACTGCTACCCTATGTATGCCTTTAGTCTGCCCCTCAGCCTCAATTAGATTTTTATGGTGGCAGATGGGAGGGAGCACTTGTACCAAGTAGCCTAACTGCAGAGTTCATAGTCTTTACTACTGTAGCTCGAGAGACTGCTACCTCCTGTTTCGAGTGAAGTTCTACTTAGATAAAATAGTTTGTAAGAGGAGACAGAAGAAGCTAGAACTAATGCCCAGACAAGATTTAAGCTAGAACATCCTTCAGCTAAGGATGTTCTCAGAGAAAAAGATAAGTTCTTAGCAGCTCTCTTGTCCAAACAAAGTGTTCAAAGTCTTGGGCTTAAATTTTCAATACCTTGAGGGACTCATATTCCAGTTCCGCACCTCTAATTGGTGGCCTTTCTTCTTCCTGGGGAGAAAAATAAAGTAACAACTTTATATATATACTTTATATATATATTTGTTTTTACGAGACAGGGCTTTTCTGTATTGTTTTGGAGGCTGTCGGTCTAGCCTGGCCTGGAACTCACAGAGATCCGCCTGCCTCTGCCTCCCAAGTGCTGGGATTAAAGGTGTGCGCCACCACTACCTGGCACAACTTTGTATTTTAATTGTCAAAGTTTTACTATTAGAACACTTAGCTGCTGTACAAAAAGCAGTGAAGTGTCAAAGCCTTCACAGTTCCAGCCAGCGCAGCATAGCTATGGAGCTCAGGGACTACAGAAAGACACAGGACAACCTTGCCTCCCTGGGCTGCCCTGACCCGGGACAGACTACTGCTGCTCACCTTGGCCTTGCTGCGCAACACCTGCTCCTCCTTTCGGTCCAGCTCATCCTGCATTATCTGCTTCTCCTGTTCCAGCTCTGTGACACGCTTCTGGAGCTTAAGGAACAAGGACATGTCCAGAGGCACCTTCTTCTCACTTGGCTCCTAAATCCCAGAAAGCATAAGAATTAAGTAAAGCCAGAAGAGTCACAAACCAAAGGAAAAACAGTGAAAATAGGTCAATAGTTAAATAGTCAAACTCACAGAAGAAATTTAGGACAAAACAAAAGACATGATCATCCTAGCTAATGATTGGAGAAATTCAAGTTAAACAATAGTGAGGAATTACTTCTCTCTTAACTGACTGGCTGATAGTTCAAAGGTGTCATTTGAAAGTTAATAATGTCTGTTATAGCAACTGTCTCATATTATATTGATGGAATATAAATAAGCCTGTGGAAATCTACATGCATTTATTAAAATGTAGATGTATATTCATACAAACCCTAGCAACTCTGTTTAAGAATTAAGACTACATGTCTGGGCGATGATTCAGCAAGCAAAAGTGCTTACTGTAATTGTTTTCCAGTCATCTGTCTAACTGTATAGCAAGGTGAACCACCACTTTAGTCCTTCCTGATAAGCAATGAGATGGTTTCTAATTTCTGAAATACACATCCAAAAGCATAAATATCTGAATATAGCACTTGGCAGTCTGGTGGGCTGGGACAACTTTTACCTACAGCAACAACTACAATCATTCCTGGGACAAATAGTTACTGCTATAACTCAACAAAGAAAAGTTTTCATCTCCGTTGTTGGCCCAAAAGTGGCATTTCAATGATGTTTTAAATTTTATTCTTTGACTTTTCATAAAGTTAAATGGTACATGTATGGAGTCACAGAACAACTTGCAGGAGTTCCTTCCAGAATAGATTCAGGGGATTAAACTCAGGTCATCAGCCTTGTACATTAAGTACTTTACCCACTGAGCTATTGTGTTGGCCCACTAAAAACACCTATAAATACTTAACTGTTCCATTTATAGGTCTTAATATCTGTTCATTTACTAGTGATGCATATGTTCCTGAAACTTTAACTTTAATAAAAACTGCTACAGAATCCTCCATTCTATAAATGAACATAGTACTTTACTCTTAATACTTAAAATGTTATTAACTGGAATCTTTTCTTTGGGCTTTAGATGGGCATTTAAAAAGGAATCTTAGTAAAATAGTATGGAGTCATTTCTCAGCTATCAGTTAATGCTATGTAGAGAATCCATTGATTGCTAGGTGAGAACAAAATTCTACAGATGAGAATATAAGAATAGGAAAAGGTAGGGCACAGAAGAAAGCACTTGTCAAATACAAAATAACTTGAGGTATAATGAATGGTAGTCACTTCAGAGTGCTCAGATGGTGTCCTTAGTCCAATGGCATATCTATTTATAGCAAGGCCATTAGACTTCTCTGGATCACATGAGAAAGGAGGAGGAGTGGACTACCTGAATGAGAGGAGTCATGGGTCTTAGTTTCCTTTTCTTTTTTTAGGAAGGACTTTGTCACCCAAACCTTTACTGAGTGAGTAAAACTTTGATATTGACCTTAAAAATAATAGCAGTCTCACACCTGAAGACAAGATAATCAAATTCATTAATAAAATTACCACCACTTGTTTGAATTTAATTTTGAAATTATCCTAACACAGCTGAGAAAGTCATGGTGGCCCTTGCCCTAGGTGGGAAGCTGTGAGGAAGTCAGGAATAAAGCAGGACTCCAACAGCCTACAGAAGCAGGGAAAAACAATGGTTTCAAACCAACACACAGCAGTCCTATAGATGCTGCAAGAGCACCAGAGCAAATGCAGTCAGCAGCTGAGTTCTCTGTAGAAACTCCTGTGGAACAACTGTGATAGAGACAGTGAAGAAACTACAGCTATAGAACTTACATTGAAAGTATAATGTGGGACTGGGTTTACTGCTCAGTAACAGAGCACATGCTTGTCATATATATAAAGTTCTTGGTTCAATTCTACCACCCAAACAAACAAAAATTAGTATATGTATTGGCAAAACCATGTGCAATAGGTATGTATATATGCAACTGGTTAAGAACACATAAGTCAATTACTAGAAATGTTTCCTATCAATAGAAGCATGCACATCTTACTTTTAGGGATAGATAAATGTACCTCTGTTCTTGGTGCAATGTCTTCTGTTTCTGCGAATTCAGAGCTGAAGGTGTACTCAGACTCATTACTGCTGTGGGTAGAATCTGTTCTCTTGTGTCCTGGCTTAGGCACATTCTGTGAGGCAAATAACCCAAATACAATTCATTTAACATAATGGAAAACAGCATCCACAATGTCTTCATTGCATTCTCCACTCAGTAATTTGAACTGATGGTCAAATGTTCCAGGGTTCCATCTTGTTTTGATCAATTGCTATAAGGTGGTGATCTCCCCAATGAGAAAGGCATACCAGGATGGTAAGAACTGTTATGAAACCAAATGACCAAATGTAGATCACCTGTGACTAGTAGTGGAGTCCCCAGAGTCTTATGTAGAACAGCTTAGCTTTGAAATCACTATGTAGCTAAAGGTGACTTTGGGTTTCTGATCCTCCTGCCTCCATCTCCTAAGTACTGGGATTATAGGCATGAACTATCACACCCTATTTATGAGTTCTGAAAATGGTACACAGGCCTTTAGATCCATGGTAAGCATGGACTCTATCAAAGGGGCTTCCAGGCTCCATTTTTTTTTTAAGTGTTGAGTTATTCAGTCACTCTGTTCAAGCAATGCTTTTAGTACTGTTATATATTAAATGTTACAGGAAAGTTCATAAAGTACACTGAATGACAGATACAATCTGTGGTTAAAAAGTAAAGTAAGAGTTACATAGGTGACTATAATTTCTGTCTCTTTTACACATGACTTAAATCTGTGGAGTAAGCAATGAGAACAAGACAGTACAGGGCAGATAAGCTAGATGCTGGCAAAATTCATTGAAAATCCCTGAATCGTGACTGTGATGATTCAGGAGGTGTGGGAGACACTTTCAGGGCACAAGGTGCCATATTCATCAGTGTTCAGAAGACTCATAGGGAACGAAAAGCTGAAGTGGGACAGCCTTTTGTACCTAATGCACAAATCTGAAGAACCCTGGCTGAGCCTTGTCTTCCTTGGCCTCCAGGTTGGTAGGCCTCTCTAAAACCTTTCCTACTTCACATTCTGTCCCTTTCAGCTTTCTCCAGCATAGGATTCTTCTCCCTCAATATTCTCCCTCAGAGAAGCATTTCTTTTCCACTGTTTCTCAGGATTTTTTGTAAGTAACCAGCGGCACCTAGTCCTCAGAGTAACTGAAACACAGATTAGCTGTAAAGGTTGGTACAGATGTTCAATAAGTTGAGTAAATAAAAATACACCAAAGAATGGAACTGTGGGGACAAGAATATTGAGGGAGAAGAATCCGATGCTGGAGAGAGCGGAAGGGGACAGAACGTGAACTAGGAGAGGTTTTAGAGGGGCCTACCAACCTGGAGGCCAAGGAAGACAAGGCTCAGCCAGGGTTCTTCAGATTTGTCAATCAGGGATCATAGCAGCCAACCCCTACTGTAAATGTCTCTTAGTAGGGCAGATTAGTAAGTGTAGAGCAATCATCTAATGAGGGATTCAAATATGCTTTTCAAGTTCCCTTACACCAGGCTTTCTCATCTGTAAGCCCTGCAAACACTAGTTCTATGTTATGTTTTAAAGAACTCTGTCAAGCAGATCTTTCCAACATCAAAATTTGAAATAGCTATTCTTTCATACGGGCACCAATTTAGTTAGCTTTTTACAAGATCTATTTCAGAGCATTGTAGTCACATGTACCATTAGGTTACCTTTTAGGAACAAGAGAGCCAGAGAAATCAATTTCCTGATAATAAGTAGAACAGCTCCATGTTTAGAGAGTGCACTGTTTATAAATTATTATAAACAGGGACTGAATTTTCTCTGTATGGGAATTTAACTTGGAAATTATAAGTTCCAGTGTAGAAAATAGTTACATAAAAGTAATATAATATAAATATACAAAACTTATATTGTCATTTAATATAGGAAGCAGTCTTGATACACTGACCTTATTCTATCTTATAGCCCCATCTTTAAGTATCTATCTGACTTACTGAAGTACTTAGGGATAAAACTGTGTGATTTCTGGGATTTACTTTAAATAATATAATCCACAAAGTGGGGAAGGTGGTGGAGAGGAGAGAAAACAGAGATACATTGATTATTTGGGAACTGGGTGATAGATATTTGTAGCATATTAAGGCTCATTTTATGATTCTACTTACTTTCATATATGACTAAATATTCTCATTTAAAAAAAAAGTAGAAGTCAGGTATAATGATCCTGGGAGGTAGAAACAGAAGGATCATGAGTCTAAGGCTAGCCTGGGTTACACAGAAAGACTCTTTAAAAGCAGTGCTGGACTCACCAGCATTAGGGTCATCTCCTCCTTGAGGTCATCATAGCGCTCCTCCAGACGACTGAACTCATTCAGAAGGTTCTGATACCTCAGTCTCTCATCATTCAGGTCAAGCTCCAGCTGTTTTGTCTCTTCTACTAACTTCCTCTCCATAGTTTCTGAAATAAACAGGAGTATATAAAGGATCAGGGCCTGGGAAAAGGGTGAGGTCATATGTAAGACCACAGAAGTGGCAAGAAAAAGCCATTGAAGCACTCCAAAGAGACAGATGAGGAAACTAGGCCTTCTATCAGAAGCCAAAGGATAACAGAAAAAACCCAGGGGCTAAAAGCAAAAGCCCCTGGGAGAGGCCCCTGGCAATGGGCGATATTAAGAAATCAGTAACAAAACAAAACAACAAAAACAAAAAACAATAAAACCTGTTCCTTGTGCCAGAGATGATAACAATTCCATTCTTATTTATCACCTAGATTCCATCATTGCATCTTTTAGTCAACCTAGAATGAAGTATTTCCTGTCCTACATTATAATAAACTTTTTCAGAGCTAAACAGAATAAAAAACAATCCCTCCTCAAAACTGGAAAGGGGATATGTATACAAAGGTGACTCCAAAGAATTCAAGAATGTAAACAGGTATTCTGACTTCTGATTTCTCTTAGTGGAATTGAACTTTTAGCCCCAGGAGAGTATTTTGCAGAAAGAGAAAGAAGCATCACTCAAATTAAATCACTTATAAATAACAACTCTTATTTGGGGATCTCTCCATGTACTATAGCTTTAGTCCCACTGGTTCATGCACTGATTACAACACATTCCTATTTCTTTGTTTTTTGAGACAGTCTTGCTATGTAGCCCTGCCTGACCTGGCACTAGAGCTATGCAGTCCACCCTGCTTCAATTTCCTCAGTGCTAGGACTGTGGGTGTGCACCACTACACCCAGATTACAAGAACTTCTGGATAAACTTCCACTACATAGTAGTCTAGTAAGCAATAACAAAATAAAACTAATTTTCCTAAGACACTATAAATTGTCCCTCATTCCCACCAGTTTGTAGAAGCTAATCCAAGTCTTCCAACAAAATGTCCAAGACAAATCCATTTTTTACTTCCTCATTCCCATAGTCAATTCAAAAAAACATTGTATATTTCCATATAAATGTTTTCATCATTCTGGATCCTTCCCTGACAATCTACATCCTAGAAACCTTCTTTCCATACTATTTTCTTTTTCCCTTTTAACATTTCCTTCTGGCTTCTTGTCTTCACCTTATTTGTTAGTTAAGGTTATTAACTCCAGGATGTCTTCTTGTTCCTCTCCATCATCTTTAATTGGAGGGAAGAGATCATGTGAGGGAAAGCACAGATGGCTCTTACCACCATGGCTTAAGGGAAAGCTTTCAGCTCATTCCTGACTCTCTCTAATCTTTACTCTGGATTGCTTTCAGAATGTCTCCACTCCTTATGATGAGAAAACACTGACTAAAACCTACTTGGGGAGGAGAGGGTTTTTTTAGTTCATAAGTTACAGTCCATCTTTGAAGGAAACCAGGACAGGAGCTCAAGCAGGAATTGAAGCAGAAATGATGGGTGAATGCTGTTCACTAGCTTGCTTATAGGCTCACATTCAGCTCCCTTTGTTTATACAGCCTGCATCCATCTGCCTAGCAATGGTACCACACACAGTGGGCTGGTTTACATCAGTCAACAATCAGAGAGTGCTCCACAAGAGACATGCCCATAGGCCAAGCTGATGGGTTCATTTTACTTATGACCATTTTAATGAACCCCACAATCAACAAATAGAATGAATATGCACATCAACTTAGTTCTTTATCTTTTCTTTTATTATTATTATTTTTTTATTTAGGTTAGAAACAATTTTGTTTCACATGCCAATCCCAGCTCCCTCTCCTGCTCCTCCTCCCCCACCCTCCCCACCAGGTCTCCCCCAACCCCCACCTAATCTCCACTCCAATCACCAAGGAGGTTGAGGCACTCCATGGTGGATCTCCATTAGTTCTTTATCTTAAAAATGAATTTTCATTTTTAGTTTGGTAGCAAAGAGAGTTGATCTTAATAGGATGTCACTCATTGTTTTAGTAAAATATAAATAAAAAAGAAGTGAGGCCCAGAAAGACAAACAGCATGTGTTCTCAATCAATAAGGATGATTTTTAAAAACTTGATCTGATAGAAAAGAGTAGAGAAAAAAAATGGTCATCCAGGCACTGGGAAATCCAGGAGAGGAGGTTGGAGAGAAGTTAAAGGTTCCAAAGTACATCTGAGTAGGAGAGTGGGACCCCACAAATACAAATGGCAGAGGAGATGGAAATGTTGGTTACTTTGATTTGGTCATTACACACACACATGTACCAAATCATTGTACTGTTCTTACAAATATTTCCAATTACATCACTTTGAAAACATGCAAATGAGCAGGCATATTTGGAAGGGTGAGGCAGGAAGACCTCAAGTTCAAAGCCAGTTAGACTCAAAGAAACAAATGCATGCATGTATGTGTGTATGTATAAAAGAACATATAGACATATCTACCCTCAAATTAGCTCAAAAATTCTTATTAAATCAGTAAGAATCCTATAAATTAAAACTCATACATACAAAGCAAAAATTTTACAGCTACATATGATATTACTGAATAACTTCAAATTAGTACAAAGAAACCAGAGATGAATTTAATAAGTTCACTAATTTTACTAGAATATTTGGGATTTTTGTTTGTAAATGTAGATGACAGCTGAAACTTTAAAAAAATCAGTTCTAAGAAATACTGTGTAACTGGTAACATAATGTCAAACTTATAAAACGTATGTTTGAATTAGTTGTCGTGTGGTAGATTGAACTCACACAAACCTTACCTGTCATCTCCTTAGCCTGCTCCACAATGAGGTGATTGAGGGTCTCCTTTTCCTGCTTCAGCAAAGTGTTTTCTTCCTTCAAATTTGATACCAGCTACAAAATGAAATGCCAAACTGAGATGGTTATAGTAGACTGAGATGTCCCACACAGCAGTCACTGTCTTTGTGCCTCCTGTTTTCATCTAGTTACATCTTGTCTCAAATTTACTCTCTCCAGAGAAACTTCTTGAAAACCATGTCCATTAGAGAACTTTTCTCTGGGCTATTGCAAAAACTCTGTGTTTGCCTCTTTACAGTCTATATGAATGATTTATTTTTGTCTTCTCCAACAGAGTAGACACCTTGGAGGAAAAGGACAATGATGGCGCTTGTTTTACCATCTGGTTAGCATCTAGAAAGAAATCTGTTACTAAAGTAATGATATCACCTTGTTCTATTTTGATTTCTATTGCTGTGATAGAATGCTCTGACCAAACACAACTTGAAGAGGAAAGGGTTTATTTCATCTTACATGTCCAAGTCACAGTCCATCATCAGGGAAAGCCAAGGCAGGAGTCTGAAGATGAAACTACAGAGTTAAGCTTGCTCCTAGGCTCATGCTCAGCTGTCTTTCATATATAGCCCAGGCCCACATACCTAGGGATGGTACCAATTACAGTAGGCTGGGCCCTCCCACATCAATTAGTAATAAAGAAAACACCCCACAGACATGCTCAAGGAAATTCTGATAGAGGTAATTCTTTGAGATTCCCTCTTTCCAGTGTGACAACTAAGATTAGCCATCAAGGTTTCTCAGAAAGTTGGGAATCAATCTACCTCTACACCCAGTAATACCACTCTTGGGCATATACCCAAAGGATGCACATTCATACCACAAGGACATTTGCTTAACTATGTTCACAGCAGCATTATTTGTAATATCCAGAACCTGGAAACAACCTAAATGGCTATCAACCAAAGAATTGATAAAGAAAATGTGGTACATTTACCCAAAGAAGTCTTACTTAGAAGTATAAAAAAAGGAAGAAGAAGAAGAAGAAGACGAAGAAGAAGAAGAAGACGAAGAAGAAGAAGAAGAAGAAGAAGAAGAAGAAGAGGAGGAGGAGGAAGAGGAGGAGGAGGAGGAGGAGGAGGAGGAGGAAGAAGAAGAAGAAGGAGGAGGAGGAAGAAGTCAATGTGTAGAAAAGTATACTTTATATATTTTACTACAATTAAAAATCAAAACAAAAACAAATATGGGTTCTGGGTCACAGGATCCCTTATTTGTCATTCACTGAGAATCTTCTCTCTGCATTTCACCATTATCTGTCGCTTTAATTGATATATCAGGTCTCTTGGCAAAGCCTAGTCTGGTGAAACTGCTAGATGTCCAGGCTTTTGCCCAAAAGTCTCCATTAGCTTTGGGGAACCAAGCCAGAAGAAAAAGACATCTTTTGTAAGTCAGACCTGAACACAGAGAAAAAAGATTCGGTGTTCTCACATAGCTGCTTGAGTCAGTTTTATTACAGGACCTTTCCTTACCTTTCTATTTAGACTGGCATCCACCACCTTCTAACACAGTTTGGTGCAGCAGAGAAATCAACATTTGGACTGTAGAAGCCCTGAGGTCTGACCCTTTGGTTCTCTCTGATCAGTCCATCTCAGATTTTGCCTTCTTTTTTGAGAGAGTAATCTCCAGCAAATCACACACACACACACACACACACACAAACACACACACACACACACACAGAGGAAAGAAGGAAAAAAGAAAAAAGAAAGGCATCTTCCCAGAGGAATCTTGAAAGCTTTCAGAGACTGAGGAAGAAAGAGATCTTAAATGCTGAAGGGTATCCTTTAGATTGCATTCTTGAATTATGCAAGAACAAACTTGCCATGACACAGGATTCTGCACAGTGGCACTACAGTTCCAATGTATAGAGTCGGGTCTCACTCAGATAGATGCAGGAGGAATCTATGCACCATAAGCACCACGATGATAGGGCAGCAGCTTCCCTGGCTACACTGTTTTCATCTAAGCTATTCCTGAAAAGGCTGCTGCCCATGTTCAGAATCCAGAATAGAAGAAGCAAATGAGGACTCAGCTGTTTTAGTCTAGAGAAGGTGATTCCTGTGGACTCATTCAAATCAATTACTACTTCTCAGGAAGCCTGATTGGAAGGGTCTTTTAGAAATGATTAAATGAACTTCTTTACCATAGCTTGGGAGTCCTGCAATTTCCTATGCTCAACAAGCTTTAACATAAGTTAAATTCATAGCATGGAAGCACGGATAAGACTGAACATTTGGAGAGTTCCATCTGCTTAGCAGCTCCTGCCTAGACTTCTCCAACATGGACTTAACAGTTTAACACAGGTTTCCATAGGAATCCCTACTATAATGTCAGGTACTAACAGGTACTTGTTTGATCTGCCTCAGAATCTTAGCATCCCTTATCAAGAGTAAGGACTCTACATCTCATGAAGTCTACACTAAGAGTCTGTAACCAATGCTATGATGTGACCATCTTCTCTCAATGTCCTTAAATTCACTGTTAATATGTGGAAGAGAGACCTTAGGGGGACAACTGGGTTATAAAAACTGTGCCTTTATGAACAGGGTAATCTATTTATGTATTAATGTACTACTGAGGGAGTGGTTTTGCTATAAAAATGGCACACTTGTTCTTCCTTGCCATGTGATCCCCTGATATTATGATGTAACCATAAAATCATCACCAGATGCTGGTACCATGCTCTTGGGACTTCTTGCCTCCCGAAATATGGCTATGTAAGCCTCTAATCTGTATAAATTACCTAGTCTGAGGCATTTTGTTATAGCAACAGAAAGCTAAGATAGTACATAGACATCAATTTCATTGTTGAAACATTGTTTTGTTTCTGCTCTCACTAGAGCTAAATGTTCTGTCTCAAGACTAAAGCTACTTGTTGATTATGGTGCAGAGATGTTTGGGAAACATTAGTATGAACTAAAACCCACTGAAATTTGCACTATGTCTTTGATTAAAATGAAATAGTCACATGGACCAGGCCAATATGACAGCATTTATTCTGTGCAAGGGCAATGGGGATAAGAACACTGTTTCCTACCTGCTCAGTTTCTTGTTTGTATTTATCTGCTCGTTCTTCAATGGATTTTTTCTCTGATCGAGTTTGTTCCAGGTCTTTGCGGAGTTTGGCAATTTCTTCCTGTAAACTAAGGACCCGCCCAGTGGCAACCTTAGCTTCCTCCTCACTTAACTGAAGACGTTCTACATCATTTCGTAGTTTTTCAGTCTCAGAGTTGTATACTCCTTCCAGATTGGTCAATTTCTCCATGAGGCATTTGTAGTCTTTATTCTTTAAAGACAAACATAAGTAACAATAAATAAATACTTATAATATGAATGACCAAATTTTTGCAATAAGAAAACCATACTAATTAGTTAGATTCTTCTAGACTTTGATTAATTACAATTCTTTTTTTTTTTTTTCCGAGACAGGGTTTTTCTGTATTGTTTTGGAACCTGTCCTGGAACTCGCTTGATAGACCAGGCTGGTCTCGAACTCACAGAGATCCGCCTGCCTCTTGCTCCCAAGTGCTGGGATTTAAAGGCGTGGGCCACCAACGCCTGTCTAATTACAATTCTTTTAGGTTTTTCCTTTTATTTTGTTTTGGAGACTGGGTCTTATTATGTAGTCCAACTGCTCCAGAACTTGTGTAACCCAAAGGCCTAGAACTCATGATCTATGCCTCAGAGTATAGGTGTGTACCACCAAGTCCAGGTATGAATTCCGTTTTTTGTGACAGGGTCTTATTATGCAGCCGTGGCTGGCCTCAGACTCATAAAGATCCACCTGCCTCTATCTCTGCCTCTGCCTTGAGGTGCTGGGCTTAAAGGACATGTTATACCATGCCATTCTAGCTATGAATTCTTGCTACATCCTTATAGCATTTAGATAGTATCTGGGCAAATTTGCTATCCTAAAATGATCATACCTTTAAAACACTGAGCTGGTTGTGGTGGTATACTCCTTTAATCCCAGCAATTAGAAGGCACAGACAGGTGGACTTCTGTGAGTTCAAGGCCAGCATGGTCTAAAGAGTAAGTTCTAGGCAGTCAGAGCTAAAACAGTTGAGAACTTGTCTCAGAAAAACAACAAAAACAACAACAAAAAACAACTCAACAATACTGGTCATCAGAACCAGGACACAGTAACAATACATTTCCTTAGTGTAAGTAGGTAAGGATATGGGCATTAATTCCTACCTGCTCAGCACTTCCCATAATCTAACCAATGGCTTCTTCTTCATACAAATAGTTAACAGCACAGAGCAATTAATTCTGCTGTATATGATATACAATAAAGATATGATTTTCTCATAGTCATGAGTTTCACAGTAAATTCTTAAGCTCCTAATTTTTTTAAAAAAAAGATTTAGTTATGTACTTCATGCATATGGGTGTTTTGTTTGTGGGCATTGGATCCCATGTGACTATAGCTATAGATGGTTGTGAGCCACCATGTGGGTCCTGGGAATTGAACTCAGAGAACTTCTGGAAGAGCAGCAGGTGCTGTTAACTGCTGAACCACCCCTCCAGCCCCATAGTTTCATAATTTTTAATCCAGAAGTAAGGGAATGTGCTGGAAAAATGGCTTTAAGGGCACTGGCTGCTCTTTCAGATCTGGTTCAACTCCCAGCGCCCACATGGGGCTCACAATCATATGAAACTCCAGTTCCAGGGAATCTGACCTTCTGACCTCCACAGATGCTGCACATACATGGTGCACAGACATACATGCAGGCAAAATACCAAAGCACATAAATTAAAACAAATACATAATAATTAATTAAAAATATGGGAACAGATGCTTGCTTTTTGAAACTATGTTAGAGCAATATTAAAAACCATGTACTATGAATGATCTTTGGGAGCCCATTCCACATGGAGGGATGCTCTCTCGGCCTGGACACATGGGGAAGGGCCTAAGTCCTGCCCTGGATGAAATGACAGATTCTGGAGATTCCCCCCAAGGAGGGCCTCACCCTCCCTGGGGAATCATGTGGGGATAGGGTGGGGGACTTGGGGGGGCTAGTGGAGGGACATGGGGGGAGGAGTGGGAGAGGGAGCTGGGATTGACATGTGAAGCATGCATGTTTCTAATTTAAATAAAAACATATATTGGGGAAAAGAAACACTAAACCTGGGTTTAGTAACACAAACATGAAATTTCAGATATTTGTTGGGCAGAAATAGGAGGAATACAACTTTAAGGCCAGCCTGTATAATTCAATAAGGGCCTCTCTTTAAAAAAAAAAAGAGTATCGATATACATACATACATACATACACACACACACACACACAAATATACAAGAATTTGTATTATTTGATGTTTCTGAGACATAATCTCACACTGTAACCCAGGGGAACCTTGAATTTGAGGCAGTTCTCTCATCTCAGCCTCCTGCATACTTGTATACAGTTTTAAGCCACTACATTTATTGTTAGGCTTGAGATTTTAGCTCAGTATCTGCCTACTCCAGGTCGGAACTTGGGACTAATACAGAAAATAACCTCATGGACTAGGTAGACGATGAATAAGAATGACAAAGTAGACTAAAAGTCTTAAAATTCCTCTCATTTCATTCAGAAAGCTTTTCTGATGAATCCATTTTCATTTTGACCCATCTCTCATTATGCTTATCTCTTACAGTTTCTTAATTACCTTTATATTATTTGCATATTTAGTAACTACTGTTAAGCAAGAGTTTTCTCTGCAGATAGACTCCCCTCAGGAGTCTGCACATTTTCCTACTTCTCTTGGCAAACAACCATCAGAGAGGACTTGTAAGTGACAGTGGGGAAGGGCTCTGCAGAGGATAAATTATAACGTGATTCATGGTCACACAGGTTTGCAGCAGGCATTTAAAAGAATCAATCCCTGTCTGTCCCTTCCCTTCAGGGTGAAGTCAAGAAGACCCTGCGGGTCTCTTCAGCTGTGCTCAAGTTTGGGGATGCCTTTCAAAACACACCTGCTCGTCCACTTTGCGCTGCAGCTGCATAATCTTGTTTTCCATGCCAATGTGGAGTTTCTTGTAGCGTTCCACAGAGCGAGCCTCAATTTTCAGTTTCTTCAACTCACGCTTGGCCATCATCCTCCGGAAGCAGCACTGAAGGTAGATGATGGCTTGCATGGTCCTCTTATAATGAGTACGAGCCAGCCAGCCACGGACACGTTTCTGAATGATGACTGCTTTGTGCTCACGGAGTATCTGAAGAAAAAGGCAAATAACTTGAGTCTCTAGACTCAAAGTTCAACTCTACCCACCTATGTATGCCAAACTGAGAATCCATATCTAGAGAGAAGAACAAAACACTGAACCGAAGGTGTTTTTATGTGGATTATGCATCACAGAAATATAAAGGCACATCATTTAAAAAATATAAACATATTTCTCAAATCACCTTTCAACGTCTACTTTCCTAGTTACATTTTATCTCTCTCTCACTCACACACACACACACACACACACACACACACACACACACACACACACACCCGCTGAACAACTATAAACAATATATAGAATTGGAAGCAGTCTAAATAAGGAAAAACTTCTATAAAGAACACCAAAAAATGCATCAGTTTCCTTATTGTTGTACGATTTCTGCTGGTGAGAGGTCTTATAAAACTAAGAACCAGGTACTTTATGAACTATGTGCTTTTAAGATAAAAGGTTGTCCCACTGCACTGCTTCACTAGGCACTGGGCCTGAATTGGGGGCCATGGGGACGGCCAGCAAGATGGTTGAGAGGCTGACACCTGAGATAGTGAAAGGTTATTAGTAACTTGTTGACCCCACTCCTGAAACTGTGAAGGTGGTGTTCTTTTTGTTTGTTTGTTTCAAACAGGGATTTTCTAGGTAACCCTGGTTGTCCTGGAACTTACTATATAGACCAGGCTGGCACTGAACCCATGGAGGTCTACCTGCCTCTATCACTGAGTGCTGGATTAAAGGTGTGCACCACCTCCCTTAGCCTAAAGTTAATGCTCTTGTCTGCCACGTTTGAGGTGTATTATTCTAGTATGATTTACTACTGCTGTTGTTTCTAATGCAACAGGAATCTGTTATGGATGTCAAGGTAAAGACACAGAGCCTTAAAGGGAAAGCTAAAAACAAGAAAATGCAAAATAATCTTACTCTTTTTTTAAGTCATGATAGTCTCTCAAATTTTTATACAACTTGGAAGAAAAGGGTTACCTTATGAGATAAAGTTCTTGTCACTAAAGACGATTAAGCAGAGACAATGTGAACAATTTTTAGGAACAAGTTTTATCCCTAGAACCCACATGATGGAAAGAATCAAGTTCAGCAAGTTATCCTCTGACACATGCACTGACACAATGGCACACATGTGTGTACCCCCTTTATCCACACATACAAAACCAAATACATGTTTGAAACAGATTCATCTGTGATCTACAATCTATAGAGTAACGTTAATTATTCTAAGGTAGAAAGAATAATTGTCAGGATGAGTGTGTGGCTTAGGAGAAGATGCATGGTTAGCATGCATGTAGTAGTAAATTAAACTCAAATGCTTCATGTAAAAAGATTATTTATTAGGCTTGTAAGATGGCTTAGTGGGTAAGAATTGTTTGCTACGCAAACATGAGGACCCAAGTGCAAATTCCTAGCACCCACATAAAATGCTGAGTATGGATATGTGTTCCCTTAACCCTAGCACTGAGAGGTAGAGTCAAGTTGATCTTGGGAGTTTACTGGCTGACTAGTCTGGCCAACACCATGAGCTTTAGGTTTCGTGAGAGACTCTGTCTCCAAGGAAGAAGTCAGACAACTGAAGTCCTACCCTAGTCTCTACATTTGTATGCAAAACTTGCATACCCACACACTGACAAGCCTGAAAAACACACAGACACACACACAGAATTTAAAAATGCACCACATTCCAGTTAACGTCATTTTAATCATGGTATAGTTACTTCCTCTTCACCATGATAACTTCTTCTAAGCTTTTCTCATTCTTAGGTTGACCTTCTACTCACCTGTCATAATTAAACTATCTGGGTAGTTTAGCTCTCTGTAGATGTCTGAATAATGAGTCTCAATGATATAATGTCCTACTCCCTAGAACTTACAGCTGTAATTTTACTTGGAAAAAGGGACTTTGTTGATGTGACTAGGTTAAGGATCTTGAGATGGGGATATTATCCTGGATTATGAAGGTAGGAACTTAATACCATCATAATTTTAAAAAATCCTTGAAAAACAATTATTAGGGGGCATATGTGGGAGTTGATTCTCTCCTTCCACAATGTGGGTTCCGGGGGTCTAAACAGCCCCATGATGATTTTTTTGTAACAGACAAATGAAATAAAGATAAAGCAGATGGGGCAATGTGATCACAAATACAGTAATGCAGGTCACCACTGGAAGGGACAAGGATATATTTGTCTTGGAGCTTTTGGAGAATGTAGTACTTCTGATAACTTGATTTTTAGCCCAGTGGTTTTGGACTTCTGGCCTTCAGAAAGCTGAGAAAATAAGTTTTGTTTTTAGCAACCAAGTTGGTGATTTTTATTTCACATTTACTTTTCTAATTATGTAAAGTATACAGACAAATGGAAATGGGAAGTATATTTTCTTTTCTATTGTCTTGTTAATAAGGCTAACTACTTAAATACCAGTATACATTACATTTGTTGGTTGTCTCCACATGGCTTCTCTGTGCACAGCAGTTCTTATGGTACTTGGTATAGACAGAAAATATGATTAACATTACTAGAATATATGAACAAACTTGAAAACAGCAACTTACCTTGCGATATCTATTTCTTGCCAAATAGCCTCTCAAATAAGACTGAACAACAATAGTGGCAGCTCGTCGAATCTTGTACCTCCTGCGGACCACATACATGCGCCAGTACTTTTGAATGGTGGTTGCTGCCTTGGTTCTGCGCAGAAACTTAGCATAGCTGGCCAAAGAAAATAGTGGTATCGTGTCAGTCATCAAGACTGCAAAACATCAATGTCAATGTCTTAGGCATCCTGAGCAGAACCTCACTGCTATTCTAATGTTCATGACAAATAAGCATCTGTATTTACTTACATGTGTTCAGCAATGTGTAGTTTCTGAAGTATGTTTTTATTGAGGTTTCTCTAATTTTGAAAAGTAGGAAGTCCCATACTGTCACATTTCACAATGAAGAAAAGGAAGTTCATAAAGCTTAAAACTTCATAAAATTAAAACTGTTTATATATATAATCACATTGAAATATAACTCTGTGCTAGAACTTTTGTATTAATTGCTCCTCAATAGAGTCAGGACTGTCTCATATTCATGGTTATTTTAATTTATATACAATCTCTTCAAAGTCCATGTTATAGTAAAAGAGATACAAATTCTAAGAACCTAAGTTGGTAGCAATTCAAATCTGAATTATCCTAAGTCTCTGTGAAGTTTTATTCTTTTCAATAGTCTTATAAGCTAATTTGCTGTGCTTTGAAATTCATAACGAGTGAGATGCTACCTTCTCAGGTAGGTTAGGCATTCAGACCTTCCCAGGTGGACCTGATTAGAGGAGGCCCAAGAGGACATAAGGAGCCCTACCATCGAGCCTGATAGCCCCGCACGTATCGCTGCACCGTGATGGCTGCCCTCTGCATGCACAGGTATTTCTTCCTCAGCAGCCACCCGCGGATGGTCTTCTGGATCCGGATGCAGGCAGCCCTCAGCTTGTCCGCCCTCAGTTTTTCTAGATAGGCCACTTGACCAGCCCGGAAAAAGATTTTTGTCTTACCAAACTGGTATTTGTCCTTATCCTGTTATAGAGGAAAAAATATAAAGAGAAAAAATGACCTTATAAAAGAAATTCAAGATAGGGAAAAAAATCTAGAAAGAGAATTAGTAAAAGGATGAATCTATTATCTAAAACCTGGGCTATATCTCAATGAGCTAGATTTTTTTAATCCTATTTAAGTTGTGTAAACAGAAAGATTTTAGAGAACATGGTAGCCTAAGAGTTATTTTCCAGAATTATTCTACCTGGAATTAATATCTGGGCCCAAACCTGGCTGTGGGTCCTATGCAGCTATTATCTGCTTGTTTGAATTCTAAACATCTTAAGGAAATGGAGATGCTGCAGTCCCTTTGACTGACCCGCTGTAAGATTACATCAGGATGTATAATCCATGAGCAGCTGAAGAAACAAAAACACCAGTGTGAATAATATGGCAGGAAGAAAACACACAAAATAAAAAGTTAAAAAACCAAAACCAAAACTAAAAAACAAACCAACAAGCAGTCCCTCCAAATCCCTGTGTTTATATTAAGAGTGTGTTTCTAGACAGTTAGCACTTTGCCTCAACAGTATCTAAAAATAAATACAACCTCATAAACATGTTTAGAATATTCTACAGATTGCAAATATTTTTCATAAAAATATAATTATTTATATTGCGTTGAATTTAAATCAGTAGTCAAGTATCAGCTTTTCTTTGCAGTGCTTGCTTTCTTTAAGGTAGAGTAGACAGAGATATTCATGTGATTTGGGGTAATTCATATCAGAATTAAAACATGCAAATCATTAACCATTTTCATATCAAAAGGACAGTGGAATTTACATATACTAATCACTCTGTGTCTGAAATTATAAGCAAAAATAGAGAACTCAGTTTTTTCTGTAAGCACATATTCTCTTAAATATGAAGTTGTAACTGTAACATGTATCTGAAAAGTCTAAAATTATTTAATGTTTGCATAGGAACCCTAACTAGGTCCTCTCACACTATCCCATCTTACCTTACTACCTCTGCCTCCATTGGCTCTAGGCCTGGAGTGGTCTGGGTGAGGAGGCAAGCGCATGATTGTTTCAGCTTTCTGTTCCTATCTGAACCCAAATTAGAAAGGAGTTGGGCCAAACTCAAAAAACAAAACAAAACTAAAACACTCCCACTAGATCTTAAAAAGCATTACATCCTTAAGAAGGGATGGATCCTTAGTTAAAGATGAGATCCTTAGTTCTCTCAAAGGGAAAAAATTATCAAAGAAGAATTAAATTTAATTAATAGCAAGTAATTATGACTAACTACCTTATAGTGTAGCACAAGTGAAATTAATTTTAAACAACCTTTTCATCAGTCACAAACTCATCAAGACTCAGATTAGAGATTTTCTATGTGCACTATGTGGGCCTGGGGAACTGTTAAAAATGTAAATTATAAAAGATTTAGTTTGGTGGCCTAGTATGTGCAATGCCCTGGGTTCTATCTAGCACACAAACAAACAAACAAACAAACAAACAACGGTGTGGGCCCATCCCAGACCCACTAAATCAGAAATTCTAGGGTTGGAGGCCACCAGCCTGTGTCTAGCAAGCCCTCCTGGTGACCACACAAAATACTCAGAGCTTCCTAGACTGGCATGCAACTGCTTTTATAGCACCATCATCTATCTGTTCTAATAATTTCTCTACTGTCTCATACACAACTCTTACCAGGTAGAAAGCCACCTTACTGTTTCCTTTTTTAAAAAAAATTTGTGTATCAGTGTTTTGTTTACATGTACATAATGTGCATGACTGGTATCTGTGGAATCCAAAAGAAGGTGCAGGGTCTCTTGGAACTTGAAGAATGGTTGTGAGCTGCCATCTGGGTGCTGGGAACCAAACCTAGGTCCTCTGCAAAAACAGCAAGAGCTTTTAATGGCAGAGCCATCTCTCCAGCCCTAAAGATTTATTTTGTATGTGTCTATATGGTGTGTGTCATGTGTATACAAGTGCTCACCTAAGTCAGGAGAGGGTATGGGATCTTCTGGAGCTGGAGTTACAGCTACAAGCCACTTGATGTGGGTGCTGGGAACTGAACAGTCTTCTGCAACAGCAGCAGGAGCTCTTAAGTAATTCTCCAGTCACTTTTGCAAATCCTGTATTTTTCCTTCAGGGCCTGACTCAAATCCCACCCACACCTCATGAGATTATTCTTCTTCCTCATAATTGGATATGGTTTTGCCTTCCTTTGATGTTTGTTCTGCTACCTCTGCATTTTTAGCCTTTTTTTATTTAAAGATTTTGTTATATGTACAAGTGTCTCTGTGCATGAAAATGTAAGTATCTAAGAAAGTCAGAGGTGTTGGCTCCCATGGGAGCTAGAGTTACAGGTGGTTGTGAGCCACCCTACATGTGTCCTGGGAACTGAACTCAAGTCCTCTTGAGTCCAGTATACTTTTCTGCTGAGCCATATCTCGAGCCCTCCCTCAATATTTGATATAGACATAGTCATCTGCATGCTCATCTTTAAAATGCATTACTTGCCTTTAAAATAAAAATGGACTTTTTTCCTTAATTTTATCTGGTGTCTTCCATACCTAAGTACAACAATCAAACTATCTGAAAGGGCTGCACCTCAAGTCTGAGACCAGCCTTTTTTACAACACTTTTCTAGTGTTGGCTATCAGCATCCATATTACTTCTAGCACACTAAATACAGTTGTAGGGGAGATCTCATGCACTTGAGGTACTGACCACACCCATTTTGGGTGTGGACAGAGGGACTTGGGAAAGGGGAGGGATAAAAGCAGAGAAAGGAAGGGAAAGCTCTCTTTTGGATCCCGGCAGGCCGAGGTTGGGAGACCATAGAGCGCTGATCCAGTTCTCAGCTTTCATGTAAGTCACTTCTCTCTATCTTAATAAATATCCAACTACGTTTTCCCAGCTCGTTTCCCTTCACACACAGTGAGCCTCACTTGACCTTTATGTCAGGCATTTCCCTACTTAACCAACACCAAATAAAAGGGGTTACGGTATTTAACACATAAGTTTGCAGGGCTCTCACAGCTCAGAATGACAAGGCCTCTGGAGAATACCTTTCAGAAACAATTAAGTGAAAATCATTCTCACCAATATCAGTTTCTCTAATACATTCTTGCATGTTTGCTTTCTATCTCCCAGCACATCTTTTTGCTTCATTAGGACCCGATACCGGCTGAAAAACTCCTGATAAGTCCACCTAGAACAGAAGCCCACAACAGCTTAAAGAGTCAAGCAAGAACGGCTCCCACAAAGCTCCCGCACGTAGGAGGACTGTGGGCTCACCGTGAGGGGAACCCCGCTGCACTGATTCGGATGGTCTCCAGGACCCCACATGCTCTCAGTTGCTGCACGGCCCTCTTCTCATCAAATCTGCATGGGAAAACAAAGCTGTTAGACTCAAGACCCAGACTGTCAACGGTTAAATTATTCTGACAAGAACTAAATAGATAAACTAGAAAAGAAAGCATCCAAAAGCTGGAACAGTGATGGAAACTAAAAACTCCATGAAACAGTAGAGACATTTCGCAGTAAAAATATAAAGAGCTGTAGATAGTTCCTCCAGTTCACAGCCTACTACAGTGTCGTAAGAAAGTCCATTGAGCACACTAAAAAGAAAGAACACAGAATTCTCTCTCACTTTGCCCATCCTGTAAGAGTGTGCAATTATAGCTTAGCCTGACTGAATGCTCAGATTTCATTAGCTCAGTACATAGACTTCCCCTGGGATAAAGACTGATTTAGGCAAATTAAGCATGCCCCATTCAGTTATCTAAAAAAGCAACTACTTAGAGGCAGCAGGATCTCTGTGAGTTCAAGGACAGCCTGGTCTACAGAATGAGTTTCAGGACAGCCAGAAATACAGAGAACCCCTGTCTCAAAAAAATAAAAAAAAATTTTTTAATTAAAAAGCAACAACTTTGTTCTTCTGCAAGTTACTTACATACATATGAAACATTTGTAGAAGCCACAGCAATGAAAATATATTTGTTTTTATTACATTTCATATTAACTTAATCCTAAGCATGGTGGTTTGAATGAGAATGGCCTCCACGGGCTCATATATTTGAATACTTGGACCCAGGTGGTGGAAATAATTAGGAAGATCAGGAGGTGCGTGGCCTTGGAGAAGGTGTCACTGGAGTTTCAAAAGCCCTTGCCAACCCAGCTAGCTCTCCCTGTCTCTCTGCCTTGTGCTTGTTGATCAAAAGGTGAGCTCTCAGCACTGGGTTAGCACCATGCCTGCCTGCTGCCATGCTCCTGCTATGATGGTCGTGAACTCTAACCTCTGCAACTGTGAGCTCCAAATTAGTCTGTTTTATAAGCTGCCTTGGTCATGACATTTTTGTCTTGTCAAATATAAAATGAACTAACACACTAAAAAAATGGCATGTTAACATTAAAATGACACTAAAGAAGCAGCAGAAAGTTCTTCTAGGCAGATGGCTGCTCCTGTTGGTTTCATGACTAAGCTCTAGGTATCTACCCAAGTCTGCTATCTTCTCAGGCCTTGGATTGCTGCTAGGAGACGGTGCTTTCTAATACAAGTTCACGGTGGGAACTTTTTCCTGCTCCTCAGAGAGCCTCCTGACGACGATGATAAGGATGGCACTTTTTCAGAACTAACTACCCTCAAATCAGAGGCAGAATCTGCAGAGGAGACCAGCGAGACCATCTGGACATTCACGCATACACTGTGAAGTGGGAGCTGCAACAGAGTCTATGTGGCTACTCTTCTTATTTCTTTAATACACTTACTTATTTTATTTTATATTATAGATATGGATGCTTGCCTGAATGTAGATCCTGTACAACCCTTAAGTATCTGTGCTCAGAGGCCAGAAGAGGGTGTCAAATGAATTAAAATTGGAATGACACATGGTTGTGAACTGTTGTGTGGATGCTGGCAGTCAAACCCAGGTACCTTGTAAGGGCAGTGCTCTTAACAGCTGAGCCATCTCTATAGCCTCATGGTTGGTCTTTTAAAAATACATTCAAAAATTCTTATTTGGCATGATATTTGTGGTTATGGGGTAAATGTGATATTTCAATAAATCTGCATAATGATCAAATCATACACTTGATCTTTGGCCCACAAAGAAGGCACAGAAATATTTGGTAAAACATACTTGATAAAAAATTGGGAAAAGATATTCACTAACCCCACATCTGACAGAGGGCTGATCTCCAAAATTTACAAAAAACTCAAGAAGCAAGTCTCCAAAACACCAAAGAATCCAATCAAAAAGTGGGGGACTAAACTAAATAGAGAATTCTCAATAGAGGAGTCTAAAATGGCTGAAAGACACTTGAGAAAGTGCTCAACATCCTTAGCCATTAGGGAAATGCAAATCAAAACAACTCTGAGATGCCATCTCACTCCTGTCAGAATGACTAAAATCAAGAATACCAATGACAGTTTATGCTGGCGAGGATGTGGAGAAAGGGGAACACTCCTACACTGCTGGTGAGAGTGTCAATTCGTACAGCCAGTTTGGAAATCAGTATGGAGATTCCTCAGAAAAATGGCAATCAGTCTACTGTAAGATCCAGCAATTCCACTCTTAGGCATATACCCAAAAGATGCATATTCATACAAGGACATCTGTTCAACTGTATTCATAGCAGCATTATTTGTAATAGCCAGAACTTGGAAGCAACTTAGATGCCCCTTAACTGAAGAGTGGATAGAAAAAATGTGGTATATTTATACAATGGAGTAATACTCAGTGGAAAAAAACAATGGAATCTTGAAATTTGCAGGCAAATGGAAGGCACTAGAAGAAACCATCCTGAGTGAGGTAATCCAGTCACAAAAAGATAAACATGGTATGTACTCATTCATATATGGATTTTAGACATGGATTAGGGGGATGCCAGCCTACAATCCCACTGCCAGAGAGTCTGGGAAACAGGGAGGACCCTAAGAGAGATATGCATGGTACCCTAGAGAAGGAGAATGAGGCAAGATCTCCTGAGCAGATGGGGAGCATGGGGAGGAGGAGAGAGGGAGCCGGGAAAAAGAGAGGGGGAGAAGAAGAGGGGAGAGGAGGACATGGGGGAGCAGGAAGATTGAGTCGGGGCAAGAATTGAGAAGAGCAGGATGAGAGATACCATAAGAGATGGAGTCATTATAGGTTTGAGGAGAGAGCTGACACTAGTGAGATTTCCAGAGATCTACAAGGATGACACCAACTGGCAAACTAAGCAATAGTGGAGAGACTACCTTAAATGTCCCTCCCTGATAATGAGTTTGACAACTACCTTATATACCATCCTAGAACCTTCATCCAGTGACTGATGGAACCAGAGGCAGACACCCACAGCTAACACTGAGCTGAACTCCTGGAACCCAGTTGCAGAGATGGAGGAGTGATGAGCAAAGGTGTCAAGACTGGACTGTTGAAACCCAGAGAAACAGCTGACCTGAACAAAGGGGAGCTCTTGGACCCCAGACTGATGGCTGAGGGGCCAGCATGGGACTGGTCCAGACCCCTGAATGTGGGTGTCAGTGAGGAGGCCTCGGCAATCTATGGGGCCTTGGGTAGTAGATCAGTATTTATCCCTGGCATACAAATGGACTTTGGGTGCTCATCCCACAATGAGGGATGCTCTCTGAGCCTAGACTCTTGGGGGGAGGACCTAGGCCCTGTGCTGAGTGAAATGACAGACTCTGGAGATTCCCCCATGGAGGGTCTCACCCTCCCTGGGGAATGGGTGGGGATTGGGTGGGGGGGCTGGGAGAGCTGGTGGGGGTGGGAGAGGCGGGGAGGGAGAGGGAGCTGGGATTGACATGTGAAGCAAGCTTGTTTCTAATTTAAATTTTAAAAATGTTTTAAAAAAGATTAAAAAAAAGAAGCCTTAGCCCGGCCACCTCTGCCTTTTAAAAATTTTTTTTTTAATTTAAATGTGTTTAGGCTGAGAGAGTATCCCTCTATGTGGAATGGGCTTCCAAAGTCCATTCATATACTAGGGATAAATACTGATCCACTACCAGAGGCCCCATAGATTGCCCAGGCCTCCTCACTGACACCCAAGTTCAGGGAGTCTGGACTGGTCCTATGCTGGTTTCCCAGCTATCAGTCTGGTCCATGAGCTTCCCTTGTTCAAGTCAGCTGTTTCTGTGGGTTTCTCCAGCCTGGTCTTGACCCCTTTACTCATCACTCCTCCCTTCCCCACCTCTGCTTTTAACTAGTGTCCAAATTAACAAAAGTCCAAGAAGATCTTCAGCAGAGATAAAGTCAAAACAGAATGAGAAATGACTGGTTGGGCTCAAATTTTTAAATCCTTAGAGTTAACCACTAATTTGTTTTCATGTTCCCAAAAGGAAACAAAACCAAAAAATTTTATCAAGTAGTAGATTCCCTCTACAAGACATGAAGATTTTCCCTAGAAGTTTTCAGCTATTTCAGTTTGACTTACGTGAATGGAAACTTGAAATCATTAGGCTTAATGCAGCGTACATAGTGAGGAGTCGTGGCATTAAGGGTTTCCATAAGCAGATGAAGGGAGTTCCGAAACTGCATGAAAAAGGTTTTAAAAATTAAAGTTAGAGGCCAAAGACAATTGAAAATTCTCTTCCTTTGACATAAATGGAGGTGATTTTGTAAACTCTGAATTTAAAGCCATCTTCACGGGCTAGGAGGGGGGAGGTAGGGGAGGGGGGAGGGGGAGTTACTAAACAAGAGTTCTTTTTTTTAATATTTTATTTGTTTATTGTGTATACAGTCTTCTGCCTGCATGCCAGCGGAGGGCACCAGATCTCACTCAAGGTGGTTGTGAGCCACCATGTGGTTGCCAGGAATTGAACTCAGGATCTCTGGAAGAACAGTCAGTGCTCTTAACCGCTGAGCCATCTCTCCAGCCCCACTAAATAAGAGTTCTAAGGCTTTCATTTACATCTGTCTAAAGTCTTCATGTTCGTTCTGCTAAACACGCATGAGCCTTTCTTCTAGTCCTTTCTCTGTAGCTTCCCGTTGTGAGCTCCATCGTATGTGAATTATAATTTTGCTACTAGGGCCATTTAATCATGTAAGGCATGAACTCTGCTATATGATACTAACAAAAGCTGCAGATTTCTTAATATTATGTAAGAAATGAACACAGAACAGGTTGAAGGATAAACAGAAAGGACATGTGTCAAGACTGGAGGTTGTAGACCCACATCACACCCTGTTCCTATCCACACTGACTATTTCCATTCTCCACTGAGGAAGGTGGTGGATGCTCTGTATGAAACAGAGCTGAAACAGCGAAGAACAAAACAAAGACAGCAGTAGTCTGAGACATGACATACAGTAGAGGAACTGAGACACAGAGAAAATTATTTTGGGAGGGCTGATGCCAAGTTATGAGTGAGGGGAGGGTAAAATCTAAGTGGACAGTGCTGTTTGCACAGTAGAGACACTGGTCTTTCCTCAGCTGGAGAGTATCTTCACAAGGCTGAAGAACAGGCCTGACACTTTGTGGAAGCTGAAGGGAAGGAGTCTGGCAGGGCAGCTCCTGAACTCACCTGGTGTCCCACTGTTTTCTTGTGCTCTTTGGTCATCTGGCCAGGTCGACCCTTGGTGGGCTTTACAGGAACTCGAGTGAGAGGTGTGCGCCCTGATGAGGTGGCGGAGGTGGGACTGATGGCCTTCTCATCGTCTTGAAATAGTTCTGGTAGCATCTTAAACTGAGCCAGAAATAGTAAAAAGAAAATTGTACTCTATAACCAAGTACAGAGGCATCACAGCTAAAATCCCAGCACTTGGGAGACAGAGAGCAGGATTACGAGTTCCAGGCCAGACTCAGCAATGTTGTGACTTCAAGGCCAAATGAGACACTATCTATCACACTAAACCCAAACAACAAAAACTCACACCCTAAACCCCAAATGGAAAGGAAGCCACTGCAGGTGACACATTCCAGATACTTCTAATAAATACATATTCTCGTAGATGGCTATAGTCAGACTCACAGGAATAATCACCATGTTAGGAGCCAAAAAAAATAAGGGACATATAAATGTCACAAATATAGACACAAATATAGATAGAAAAACAAAATAATGCTACAACAATATTTGGGGTGAAACAAACTCAAACGACTACATATGACCTGAGGATCTAACTAATCCAAAGAAAATGTCAGTTAAAAATACAACTGGTTTTGAATATAATTATTTTATAAAAAATATTAACCAAAGACTGACTTTTACTATCTCAGTTCTGCAAGGTGCTTTCTGTAGCAGAAACAAAGGACTAGTCCAGGTCTGCAGGTGTCTGAAGATGTAAGCACTAACTCAGAACACCCTAGAGTCTCAGTAAGATGGTGCTATGAACAAGCTTTCAGTACTGAAAGGTAAAAGTTAATGGTGAATTAATAATTGTAAGAAAATAATTTGGATTGTATAAAAAAGGAGAAAACCCTGCTATTATCCTGTGTGACTTCAAGAAATTTAAAACTTTAGTGCAGTTACCATAATCATATGAGTTTTGTGGGGAGGTTTCAAGACAGGGTGTCTCTGTGGCTTTGAAGACTGTCCTGGAATTAGCTCTTGTATACCAGGCTGGTCTCGAACTCACAAAGATCAGCCTGCCTCTGTCTCCCAAGTGCTGGGATTAAAGGCATGTACCACCATGGCCCAGCAATCATGGGGGAGGGGTCTCACTATATTACCACAGGAACTAGCTATGTAGATTAGGCTGGTCTCAAACTCAGAGATCTGCCTGCCTCTGCCTGCCGAGTGCTGGGATTAAAGGCATGTGTCTTTAATAAATGAGTGGATACCAGTCAATGTAGTTGGATGAAAATCTCTGAAACAAAAAAGGCCTGAAACCAGTCTACAGCAATATCTTGCTCTATGGACACATTTTTTCTAGAATGAGAACCCATGCTTTGTTTAAGCTAAATTATTTTTGACAAAGTATTAACAACAGAATGGCATGCTTTAATTACAGATTAAAGTGATATAGACCTTTCAATCATACTTAATGACTGTCACTGTGAAAAAGTTTGCCTTGTACATTAATCCTATAAATTAAAAAAGTATTAATACTCATTGCTTATTAAGAGTTAAAAAAACACCTTATCTTTCTATAAACATGTGACTCATCTCTGAGGGTTAAAACTAGGATTTGGTCTTTATGTGATGCTTATATTATTAACATAATTGAATATAAAAAGTTGTTATTTTGAAAATGAGAATCCTATTATCTATATGCTATTTCACAGATGTAGAGGATTCTTTTGAAATAAGACCGAAAAACAAGAGGGCCAATCAGTAACCGATAGAGTTCACATGAGTATTTTTGCTTTTTAAGTTAGTACTTGCAGCATCAGGTAACTTGACTTCCTGGTTTGCTCCCTCGGGCTGACTGTGTGCTGCTCTCCCAACCTTTCTTAATAAAGGTCAACAGGAGTGGTAGAGACCAACTTAACTAATTATACTTCCTTGCCATCTGGAATATTCTTTCTCCTAGTGGAGAAGCAGTGGTTCTAGTGTTTGTTCTCATGAACACTTTGAGTCACATCTGAAATTACAGCCATGATGGCCCAGAGTCAGTCTCCACTTAAATGGAGTGCAAAAGGCCATGCTTCTAACAAATCCCTCCACAATGACAGCAGAAAAGCCCTCTTCCCTGAGTTTCACACAAAAACACAGGAGAGTGTAGAGCCACTGTGGAGACAATGATTTAGAGCTGAAAGGCCACAAGACAAAGTGGTTAGGAGCAGATTAGCCTGAGTTTAACATAACTCGGGAACTTAGCAGTCCTACACCTCACCTCTTCATCTGTAAGAGAAGAATGGAATACCACCTCACTGCAAGAATCAAATGTATCAACCTCTGAAAGGTACTCAGCAGAAGACCAGACACATTAAGTAAGTGTTATATATTTGACAAATTAAGAACTTTTGATAAAAATTTTCATTAGAAAAATCATTATTAGTATTAAAATACTAAAGCTAAAGCATTTAACATTTTATAGAACATATCCTGATAATGGCAAGTCTATCCATGGTAGTTACCTTGCTTGACTTAAGGACTTTAATTTGTTCTTCAAAAACAGTGTCTTTATTCTTTTCAAGAAAGCCTTCACATTGGTACTCCACCTGAAATCACATGAAAAAATATCTCCTTAACTGACAACACTTTTGTTTTTGTTTTTGTTTTTTTTTTATTTATTTTTCAGTTTAAATTTAGATAAGAAACAAGGCTGCTTTTTCCCCAGGGAGGGTGAGGCCCTCCATGGGGGTGTCCATAGTCTGTCATTACATGTAGGGCAGGGCCTAGACCCTTCCCCAAGAGTTCAGGGTGAGAGTGCACCTCACATTGTTCTATGGGAGTCCAAAGTCCGTGTGTATACTCGGGATGGGTACTGATCTGCTGCCCAAGGCTCAATAGATTCCCTAGGCCTCCTCACTGACACTCACATTCAGGGGGGTCTTGATCAGTCCCATGCTGGATTCCCAGGCTGATGCCTGGGATTCAAGAGTTAACCTTTGTCAGGTCAGCTGTTTCTGGGGGTTAAACCAGCCCAGTCTTAATCCCTTTGATCATCAGTCCTCCCTCTCTGTTACTGGCTTTCTTGAGTTCAGCTCAGTACTTAACCGAGGGAGTCTGCCTCTTCTTCGATCAGACACTAAATGAAGTTTCTGTTTCCCAGACTCTCTGGCCATGGGATTGTAGGCTGGTACTCCCCAGATCTATGCCTAAAATCCACATATGAGAGAGTGCATGCCATGTTTCTCTTTTTGTGACTTGGTTACCTCACTCAGGATGGTTTCTTCTAGTGTCATCCATTTGCCTGCGAATCTCAGGATTCCATTGTTTTTTTCTGCTGAATAGTAAGTACTCTATTGTGTAAATGTACCACATTTTCTCTATCCACTCTTCGGGTGAGGGACATCTAGGTTGCTTCCAAGTTCTGGCTATTACAAATAATGCTGCATTGAACATAGTGGAACAGACATCTTTGTTGTATGAATGGACATCTTTTGGATATATGCCTAAGAGTGGAGTTGCTGGGTCTTGTGGTAGGTTTATTCCCATTTTTCTGAGGAATCTCCATACTGATTTCCAAAGTGGCTGAACCAGTTGGCACTCCCACCAGCAATGGAGGAGTGTCCCCCTTTCACCACATCCTCTCCAGCATAAATTGCCATTGCTGTTTTTGATTTTAGCCATTCTGACAGGAGTGAGATGGTATCTCAGAGTTGTTTTGATTTGCATTTCCCGGATGGCTAAGGATGTTAAGCACTTTCTCAAGTGCCTCTCAGCCATTTTAGACTCCTCTATTGAAAACTATTTAGTTCTGCAGCCCACTTTTTAATTGGGTCCTTTGATGTTTTGGAGACTTGCTTCTTGAGTTCTTTGTAAATTTTGGAGATCAACCCTCTGTCAGATGTGGGATTAGTGAATATTTTTCCCATTCTGTGGGCTGCCTTTTTGTCTTGCTGACTGTGTCCTTTGCCTTACAGAAGCTTCTCAGTTTCAGGAGGTCTTTCTTTAAAGATTCAAAGTTCTTGCGATACAGGTCTTTCACTTGTTTGGTTAGCATTACCCCAAGGTATTTTATGTTGTTTGTGGCAATTGTAAAGGGTGATGTTTCTCTGATTTCTTTTTCAGCCCTTTTATCATCTGTATATAGTAGGGCTACTGATTTTCTTGAGTTGATCTTGTAGCCTGCCACTTTGCTGAAGGTGTTAATCAGCTGTAAGAGTTCCCTGGTAAAGTTCTTTGGGTCATTGATGTAAACTATCATATCATGTGCAAACAGTGAAAGTTTGACCTCATCCTTCCCAATTTGTATCCCCTTGGTCCCCCTTTGTTCTGACAACACTTTTGAATAGATGTTGTCATCATTAACAAAAGCAAATGTCTTTGCCCAGGCTCTATGACTAGCTCTCAGCAAGTGCTATTATCAGTCTTTTCTATTATCGCATATTCCCAGGGGGAAGTGTGGCCATTCACTATAGCTAACTTGAGAAGACATGCACAAAGGACTCTAAGTCCTACCACAGAGCTTCTTGCACATCCATGCTTATTGCTGGACTATTCCTAACAGTTAAGAAGTGGAACAAGCCTCGATATCCATCAACAAATGAATGGATAAAGAAAATGTGGTACATATCTATATCTATCTATACACACACATACATATACAATGGAATTTTATCCATCCACAATAAAAAATAAAATGTCATGAGATCATGACATGATGGGGGAGGTCCTTCTGTATGCTGTGAATATATATTTCTCTTATTGGCTGATGAATAAAGCTGTTTTGGCCAATGGACAGGCAGGATATAGCCAGGCAGGAAGTATACACTAGGAGAATTCTGGGAAGAGGAACGCAAAGTGGCAAGGGAGATGCCATGTAGTTGGTGAGGGAACAAGAGGACTGGGCATCACCAGTAAGCCAAGACAATGTGGAGATTTACAGATTAATAGAAACAGGTTAATAATTAAGAGAGAGAGCTAGTTAGTTAGTAAGCCATCAACCAAATAGTTTATAATTAATATAAGTCCCTGTGTATTTATTTGGGACTAAAGGGCTGCAGGACCTGACAGGACAGAAACTCCATCTACAATGACATTTGTAGGAAAACTGATACAACTGGTATTCATTATGTTAAATGAAATAAGCCTAACCCAGAAAGACAAATACTTCATGTCTTCCCTCATATGTGGATACTGGATATAAATGTGTATATGTGTGTTTGTATACACAGATATGAATGTAGGTCATAAAACTAGAAAAGGAAGTATAACAGTAAGGAAGAGCTCTCAGTGGGGAAAAAAGAAAAGGTAATGGAATAAATGAAACAGGAAGGCAGGACGGTGCCTATGGAATGTGATCACAAGAGGTGGGCAGGGAACAGTGGGAAGGACTGGAGGAGGGGGACAAGTAAGAACAAAGTAAGTAAGAAAAAAAGGATAAAATAAAATCCATAGCACACACAAATACTTAAAGCAACTAGGAGATAGAAGCAGGAAGATTAGGAATTCAAGGTTGGCCTCAGCCGCATAGCAAGTTTAAGACCAGTCTTGCCTACATAGACCATGTCTCAAAATACAAAAATCCATTATCTTATAAAGTTTTAAAAAGCTAATAAAAATAGTTAAATAAAAAAGAAATATGTAACTCTAGTAAAAGTCTGCAAATACCAATTTCCTAAATAAACTGTGATCAAAATAATCTGTCAATTCATGTTCTCCCCACAGAAAAGAGAGCACCTCCCAGGACGACCCAGGAATCTTCTAAGACAGTACACCATCTGCATCAAGCAAAAGTATTCCCCTGAGGCAGCGGTTCTTAACCTGTGGGTCACAACCCCTTTGGAGGTCAAAGCACCCTTCCACAGAGGTCACCTGAGACCACTAGAAAACAGACATGTACAATACAGTTCATAACAGTAGCAAAATTACAGTTAGGAAGTAGCAATGAAAACCATTTCATGGTTGGGGTTCTCTACAACATGAAGAATTATATTAAAGGGCCACAGCATTAGGAAGGTTGAGAGCCACTGCTCTGAGGAGAGAAAAGATTAAGTGGAGAGAGTATGGGAAGAGGTGAGGAGCTGATGATGGACAGAGGGGGAAGATGAGCAAATATTGCATAATTTGGTAAAGTGGGGTGATTTGAGAATTAATTCCTTTTCTTCTAAAACCTCACAGCTTCATCCATTTGCCACTCAAGGGGTTCTACATCCTATACTTCTTAGGTCACCTTAGTGGTTCACAGGACTAGACAATCAGAAAACTCTGTTCATAACGTGTCCTCTAGAAATCTCACAACACAAACTACTCCATAACTCCTTGAAATGTAAACTAGTCATGGGATCACTGACTTGCTAAGAGAACTATAGAACATGTGAAGAACATATTGTGCTTTCATAGAAGGTGACAAAAAATTCAGTCTCTATTCTGAAGTCTGTGAGATCTTTAGAACTTTAGAATGTTGACTGCATTTAGAGATGTAGTATATATACACATCATTTTAAATACCAGAAAAGTTTAGGATAGAGTTGTGTATACCTTACATTACATAAACATTAATATTTCCATACTTAAACATATAAGTACCCTGCTTAATTAGGCTTAAAATTATAAATATATCTCACACTAGTTCAAGTCAAAGATCAGGTTTGGCTGCTAAATGAGTTATGAAAACACTAGTGGTTTTCAGTTTCTTGGATTTCAAAACTTCACACAAAAAACTTTTGACCTGTATTTATTTAATATATGATCCAACTGAAGTTAAAGTAAGAGAAAACCAAGACGCCATCACTGAAGATTGCTTTTCCTAAAATGATCTTAAAGAAAGCAAGCACTGCAAAGAAAAACTAATACTTGACTACTGATTTTTATTATAATTTAATATAAGGTATTAAAAAGGAAAAAAAGACAAAAAGTTTCCTTACTTTGTCAGCAAAATGTTTGATGATGAAGGCTTTGTTTGACATACGGGGTTTCTCAAAGAGGGCACACTTGTTCAAATGTGTGTTGTACAGCTTTTGGGCCCATGTATCATCAGTGCCTTTAGGCATCTTGGGGAAAAAAAGAAAGAGGAATGATTAAGCACTAAGGGTCTTCTGCTACATCAGCAACAAAAGACCAGTTCCTATGTTCAACTTCATTCTTCCTTCTCATCAGCACAAGCGAACAACCAATGAAGGAGGCATGACTGAGGCCTTCCTTGGGGTGACACAGTAAATTTGAGTGATCAATTACCTACACTAGGAGTCATCAAATCAATATTTAATGTTTAACACAATAAAGGCTTTACAAGTTAAAGATGAAATACAACTATTAGGCATACTTTTTTGTTGTTAAATGGAGGTAACATTTATACACAGTGAAATACTAATTTAATTCAGAAAAGTATGAACTGGTAGTTTCCTCTTGCCATTTCTAGGATTTCTGGTTTTTCTTGGGGGGGGAGGGGTTTTGAGACAGGGTTTCTCTGTGACTTTGGAGGCTGTCCTGGAACTAGGCCTTGTAGACCAGGCTGGTCTTGAACTCAGCCTGCCTCCTGAGTGCTGAGATTAAAGGTGTGTACCACCACCACCACCTGGCACTTTTTCCTGTTTTTATATACTTGAATGGAATCATTCTATATACTCCTTGCATTTTCCACTCTTATATATGGTTTAGGTTGTTACTAACCTTTTGCTATGAAAATTGTCATATTCCTCTTATACATACATGCCTTTAATATATTTATAAGTATACTTATAGATTAAACTCCCAGGTCAAAAGGCATAAATGTTTGTGATTCTGCTTTCCTCTAAAATATGTTGTATAAATTCTCACCCTTCATCAAATATATACATGCCAAATTTAAAGTAACCTCAGGATATCATTTTTGTTTTCCTTTCATATTTTTAATTTCAGGTAAGAATGAGTATTTTTCTATCACATACATTCTTTTGTAAAAAGTTTTTAATTTATTAAAATTATTATTTGTGTACTTGGGGGCAAGTGTATGTCATACCCTTACACTGTTAGATCTGGAGATTGAACTCAGGTTATCAGACCTGTATGGCAAGAATTTTTACCCATGGAATCATCTCAGCAGCCCCACATATATTCTTTACACACCAAATATGGCTCTGTATGAGGGCCAACACATGATAGGTTGTGATTTATTATAGATAAACTAAAGGAAGATTAAGAAAAAAGATAGATTCACCTAAGGTCATTCAGTAATAAAGGATCTATAAATAGTAAAGTTAAAGACTATTATTTATGTCAGTAACAAAGAACAACTAGCCAATATTCAAAATTTACAGCTATTTAGAACTATAATTCAAAATAATTTTTGTTCAATTTCTTATATTTCTTTCAATATATCATATATATATCATATTGCTGAACAAAAGACATCAAAGATAAACAAATTAAAAAGAACCTAGTGTCTATTGTTTCTTCAAAATGAAGAAGTAGCCTCTAATTTATCACAATAGCATCTCATGTTATACTTGCACCCACTTGTTGTGTAGCCTTGATGCATCTATTTTAACAGGCTTAAGTACTCCAGAAAATCATAATCACCTTACATTCCTCATCCAGCAAATCTAGAATGCCCAGTTTAGATTCTATAAGATTGATACAAGGCTGATTATCATAGAAATCTATGAGTGTCCATGGAATTTGTTCCTTCATATATTCCTCCTGCTCCAATTTGAAGACATGCTGAAGTAAAGAGAAAGTGACAGTCACTATCATAAAGAATGTAATCAAGAAGCACATGTCTATAGAATACTGAGGAAACCAACACAACGAGATAGCTCATGGCTTCCAGCAACAGCAGCACCGTGGAGAAGCGCAACTGAAATCATGTACAAAAAACCTCAGTCATAAGTATTCATCATGAACAAATAAATCTACGCATGTAATTTTTAGAAACTTTTTTGTTATATTTGGGACAGGGTCTCAATATGTAGACCAGGTTAGCCTAAGACACTCTATGTACCACAGGCCAGCTTTGAATTTGTAAACTGTCTCAGTCTCCCAACTGCTGGGATTACAGGCATGCATCATCACACTAGGCCTATAATTAATTTGAATAGCAGATAAATACAATAGTCCTTGTGATTTTTTAATTCACATTTCCAAAATTGTGTCATGCATTTTTCCTGAACTTATTGCATGGAGCTGTTAACACATGACTGCCTCAGTTGGCACTGACCAGCTATGCAGAAATGTCTTCCAGATTACTGAACAGCTGGACAGTGCTTTCAATGTAAAAAACTGATTTTTTCCAACTTGCTGTGTTCAGAAGTACAGGTGCTCCAGAATTAAATGACAATTGTCCTTGTATATCTGCCTTGATTATTCTTCTCAGACAGGGAATCTAGGACTCACATTTCTGGAATGTACACTGAATACTGCAAGCAGCTACAAACACTGCCAGCCAACTGATTACTCTGCTAAGGACTCCAGGAACCATGTACACTACTGCTTATCTCCAGTTGCTCTTTAATGAGCTTCTGTATTGCTTCTATACTATGTGTCAGCCACTGTGTGTGGTCAACAACACAGACATGGATGCTGCACTTGTGAATTGGAAGAAAATTGGGAGAAATCCAATAACCACAAAGAATAAAATTACAAATGGTAATGATATTACAAACGACGGATATGGGTGATTGGGTAGGCTTCCCTGTGGAAGAGCTTGTGATCAAGTTCTGAATATGAACAGAAGATAAACTGGTCTACATGGGCAGAGTAATCAAATCATCGCCTCTGCTTCAGCCTACTGCTCCAGCCAAATTGGCTGACAACACAGTTTCTAGTCTCTACAGGAGCCAATCACTACTACTGTGTTTTAAATTTTTCTTTACTTATTTCTTCTGGATCCTTTGGCTCACTATTTCTTGCTATTTATTTTTCTAGAAAAAAGTAGCTTTTTGTGGATGTGACCTAACAATACTTATATTCTAGGACCCCAAGCTTTAGAACTCAAAGATGACACAGAGATTTTACACACACACACACACACACACACACACACACACACACACACACTTATGCACTTGGAACTTTCCCACTCTATTTTACACTTATGACAATATCATCTTAGCTCATTTGCAGGAATAAGCCTTGGTCAAAAGATCATCCATACAATATAATTCTAAATAACAAATTTCTTCTGCTCTTATTATTGATAAAGGGGTAAGCAGGGTACCATTAAGAACTAAGGATCTGGGGGCTAGAGGGATGGCTCAGCATTTAAGAGCACTTGCTGCTCCTGTAGAGGACCTGGGTTCATTTCCCAGTACTCACATGTAGCTAACAGCTATCCATAAAAGGTGAAAATCTGGTCCTGTTATTATAGAAAACCTTAGCATTTTTAAGATCATTTCAACATTATCTTACTATATAACAGCTTTACTTGCTAAACAAAGATGGTTAGTTTATTAAAGTACTTATAATATTTGACAGCATCAGACACTCTAAAAGCTTAAAACTTCAGTCCCAAATATACATAACCCCAATCTGCCTCTATGCAAAAAAATTTAATTTTCTTTGCTACTTTTTAGAACTTATTTCATATTTTAAAAGAATATGCTTATCAGATTTTTTGACTTCTCAATATAAAACTTCATTTTGTCTTTGTTTTCCCCATTTATTGGCCCTTATTCAGCAATACATATTACTAAATATATAAACATGAAAGTTTCCATATCAAAATAAAGTTTGAAAACAAGCAGTATTTAAACATAGCACTTTTCCTTAAAGGACTCAACAAAACCTAAGAATGAACTATGATATCTCTAATTTTACCTAACACAACCATCATTGTTTCTTTGAAAATAAAAAGAATGTTTTTAAAAGCAATTTTATGGTTTTACACTATTATGACAATTTATGTACAGATTATTTTGAGGAAAATTTATCATTCATTTCAGGCAAAAAAAAATCAAAAAACAAAAATCAAAAAACAAACCACTTTGTTTAAAGTGGGTGGTTTGGTGGTGGCAAGTCTGTAAGCCAGTACTTAGAATGCAGAGGCAGAAGGTTAGCTCAAAGCCAGTATGGGCCACTCCCAAAATTTGCCCATTGCCATTGCCTCAGTGAAGAATTCAGCCCACTGGAAAGAGAGTTTGTGAGATCCCGACACTTTGCTATGTTGACACAGTAAATGGTGGTTAAGGTATTATAACTCCACATATTGCTGGCTTCCAATCAGCAAACAGAAGGGCTCAGTGTTAGAGCCTGCCCCACTTCATGCATCCCTCATTCAAATCATCTGTCCCAAACGTTCATTATTCCAGATAAGGGATAACAGACAAACATTTTTTAATGTCACATCAATTTTTAATACTCAGTTCCCTTGCAGTTTCACTATTCTAAACACTATATAATAATTATAGTTCAAGAGTTTACTTCACAAACCAAGCTCCTAACAAAGACTAATAACTCAAAAGAAAAATTTATAGAAGAATTTTTATTCAAGAAAGAAAATTCTTACCATGTTGAATTGTTGCTGTAGTTTTTCATTGGCATAATTTATGCAGAATTGTTCAAAACTATTTATCTCAAATGTTTCAAATCTGTAACACCAAAAAGTAAGGTAGGAAGAAAAAGAATAGCTTTTAAATATATTTAAAATATGCATACATGGAAGTAAAATGGGAAGTTCCTTGACACTATCACATTTTCTTTACATGTCAGATCAAGTTTTGTTGGAAAGACGGAACATGATGAGCACCAGCTGAGACCAAGTTCCCCTTGTTCAGCCCTGCCTATGGATGTGCAGCTTTGGGTGTTTGAGGTTCATTCACCCTCCAGTAGACAACAGCAGAACTGTGCTAAGGGCACAGTTCCTCTCAGTCTATACTATCAACATTACACACAGAGACAGAGGATAGAAATTGTAATGTTACAGGCGCTTCTCAAAACCTGAGTCAGAGAGTGAAAAATCAGCTGCCCACAAAGTTTCAATAATTACAGAAGTGTAACCAGAGATGGCAGTTAGAAATGAAATTATATTTTTAGAAATTTAATAATTTATAATATTAGAGTCTGAAACCAATTAATTCTTCCTATTAGCTTAGTAAGTAGATTCTGGCTGGAGTTGAGCTAATTTTTTCTTAAGCAGTGTTTAACTTTGTTTTTAGCATCATTATAGCTCCATCATCAATGACACTTCTGAATGGTCATAAGTAGGATTCCCTTTCTTCTCCAGTAGAAAACAAAATTAAACAGTGCTCAGAGATATGAAACACTCCCAATGAACAACTGCTTTCCAGCCAGGTAGGGCAGGAATCCACAGCACTCACCCATAGATATCCAGTACGCCAATGAAAGAGTGCTGCTTGACAGCAGAATGGAGAGCCTGGTTGACATGATCTACAATCCAGTTAAAGAGTTTTGCATAGATGTGCTTTGCCAAAGCATCTCGGGCATTTATGGCCTGCAGCTTGGAGATGGGTTTGATATATGTCTCCGTGGCAGTAGCCAGCTTTCGGTGGCAGAGCCAGTGACACATCTCTTCATAATCCACACCCATGAGGTCACAGAAGATGATAAGTGGCTCGTGCTTGGGCTGCCAAAATAGAATGTGTTATTGCCTATGGCCAGATCAATCAAAGAGTAAGTCCTGAAAAAGGAAGTAACAAAATTCAGCAATATCTCTATCATATGGACATCAACATCACCCACACCTCATCAGCGAGATAATCAGAGGCATTCACAACCCAGCATCTGAATGTCACTTTGCAAACTCTTGTATGGCTTATTTCAAACAAACAAACAAACAAATACCCAAAAACCTTTCTTTGTTCTTCCTACATTCGTCTGTATCTCTCTTAGGACCCATTCAATAATTCAGTCAGAAACCTGTCAGCTAGTCAACAAATCTGTATCAGTAAACAAAAATAAGGATGGCTCCTATGATGGTTTGAATGAGAACGGCCTCCAACAGCCCCAGTTGCTGGGATTGTTTGGGAAGCACTGGGAGGTGTGGCCTTCTTGAAAGAGGTATATCACTGGGAGCAGGTTTAGAAGTTTCAAAAGCCCATACCACTCCTAGAGTCTCTGTCTCTATCCTGTGCCTGTGGTTTAAGATATAATGTCTCAGTTACTGCCTTAGAGCCACACCTGTCTGCTGTTGCCATGTTCCTTGCTGTGATAGTCATGGGCTCACTCTCTAAAACTGTAAGCCTCAAACAAATTATTTCTTCAATAAGTAGCCTTGTTCATAGTGTCTTATCACAGCAACAGAAAAGTAACTAAGACAGCCTCTTCCCAATGACTGCTTGCAGTCTTCAGTGGAAGTAGATACTGATGATTGCTTCCCGAAATGTGAAACACTCTAAAGAGGCAAACACAGTGCTGAGTCACACTAGAGAAATTCGCTCTATCCAGCAAGGCAAGAGACAATTACCTTAGACCAGACTGGGATGTGAATGAATAATAGGTACTTCTTGGTCAAAAAGAAGAGGAAAGTTGTCTAAGTTGAGGGGAACACCGGGACCAAAAAATTTGTAGAAGGAGGAAAACTAGCAAGAGGAGGGACTGAAGCTAAGTAAAGCAGAAAATGCTTAAAATGAAGCCATAAAGACCATGGTTGGCCTTTATCTTCAGGCCAGTGACGGTTTGAAGTAGACAGTCTCATGCCGTTGAGGGACTTCTGGATTAGAATGCTTTAATGATTTACATATCCCTGAACCACTACATGTCTTCTGTGGACCTTGTATGGATCGATGTTGATAAATACCTGTCTTGTTCAAGCCACATCAGTGTTTTCTTTTCCCCCATCTTCCACATGCATCAAGTGCATCTGACAACATTACTGGAGAATGGGCAGGGTATACATTAGCTCTCGTTGAAAAATTAGGAAATGAGATCCAAAAGAACAAGCCACTTGAAAACAATCATATGGCTAGTTTACATCAGCACTGCCATTAAAACCTGAATTTCCTGATGCCTTCAATGGACCCTTCCCAGTCAAGCAGTCCTTCCCTTAAAGCAATCACTTCAGATACAAATCAGTATCCTGACTAACAATGACTACTGATCTTGAAGGAGTGATAGGTGCTACAGCACGGATAAACTTTGAAAGACCTCATATTCAATTTATATTAGTGTCTAGAATACGTAACTCTACAGAGGCAACAACTCATGATAGTTTGCATGGAACAGATCAGGACAGGCGTTCGCAACAGGTAATAGGTCCAGGCTTCATTTTGAAAGTATTTAAATCCCCTATGGTGATGGCCATATGTGTCTATGAGCACACTCACAAACAAGTACTGTTGGTGGTAAATAGATTATATCTCAATAAAGCTGCTTTTAGCAAAAAAAAAAAAAAACAACAAACTGATGCTAGATAAAATTATGCATACCTGTAATTCCAGCACTCAGAGGCAGGAGACTTGCCACAATTTTGAGGCCAGCCTGGGCCACAAGGCAAGACTCTGTCTTAAAAAATAAAAAATAAAGGGGGGGTGCTAATATTTCCTTAAAAGATATTAGGGGTTTAAATCAGAGCCATAATTTCCTCCTTAAAAAAACAGTAGGGCTAAGGAAATGATTCAGTGGGCAAAAGCTTGTCACACAGCCTGATGATCTAAATTCAGTTGCTGGAACCCAGGTAAAAAGCTGGATACAGTAGCAATCATCTGTAATTCCAGGACTCCATGATGGAATGAAGAGCAAAGACAGGAGCTCTGGCCAAAAGCCTAGAGTACCAGGAGCAGGCAGACACAAGAGACCTTGTCTCAGTGGGTGAAAGATAAGAACCATATCCCAAAAGTTTTCCACATGTATGTGGCATACACACACACACACGCTGGAGAGATAGGTCAGCAGTTAAAAGTACTTGCTACACAATTATCAGTACTGGAGTTTGGGTCCCAGCACCCAAGTAGCAAGCCAATCCTGTAACTCTGAGCGATCCAATGTCCTCTTCTGGCCTTTGTACACACACAGGTTTGTGGACCTGTGTTCTTATGCGTGTGCACAAATATACAGAATAACTAATAAATAAATCTACTGTAGATTCAAAAGAGATGGCATAGTAGGTAAAGTGTAAATTTGACCCCCAGAGCCATGTTTAAAAAGCCCCACATGGGGCATGTCACAAATACAGTACTTGCCTAACATGTACAAAGTCCTAGGTTCTATCCCCATCAGTAAAACTACTAACAGTCTACCATTATATTAAGCATGTTGTGAACTTACAGGTATTGTGCAGCTGTCTGAATCTCGAGATGTAAACCCAACATTGCCTAAGTGAAGGATGCCAGCAAGTATTCGAAAAATTCCCATTTGATAAGATTCACTAATTCCTGGAATATAGCAAACAAATAAGCAGTTGATAGCAGAATAGTAACAAAGTAAGTATAAGAGAATTTTTAAGTGTAGTATTAATTCTTAAATGCTGTCAGATGTGCATATTACATACGTAGTCACATATAGCAATACTTTTTTTTTTTTGGTTTAACGAGGCAGGGTTTCTCTGTATTGTTTTCGAGGCTGTCGGTCCAGCCTGGCCTCGAACTCACAGAGATTCGCCTGCCTCTGCCTCCTGAGTGCTGGGATTAAAGACGTGCACCACCACCGCCCGGCTAGCAATACTTTTGTTGACAGTAACACACTAGGCAGTTTTGCAATTAGGGTTGTGGAGTGTGTCTGACCTGGTCTCATGCCCTGGCACTGTTATCAATATGCCACCTCCACAGACAGGTAACTTCATCCGTCTATGCTTTGGTTTTCTCATTTGAGGTAAGGAAATAATTCTTCAAAGAATGTTTGCAACATTAAATGAGAGTGCACTGAGTATACTTGGAACACATTAGGTATTTAAAAAATGATCATTATTGTCAGATTCTAGATATATGATTATTTTATTAATATTATTGCAACTATTTATCCCTACTACAATGAATATTGCAGCCTAATACTGCTGACTTAAATTGAATTATTGAATTACTTCTAAGTATAGGTTAATTAGAAATCGAAGAGATTCCAAGATTAGAATCATTCAGATAGTTTTCTATTCCAAACTTATGAATTAAAGTCCAAACACAGCATTGGAACAGGACCTAAATGATAAGGTGAGATTAGAAAGTTGGATACTTTCTGACTTTTACCAGATCTGGTTTCATTTTTTTTTCAGTGAAGAAAATAAGTTCCAGAATATTAATTCTGTAAGTAAAATTCGTGAATAGTTTTGCTATCTTCTATATTACATTTGTCTTCCTTTCCTTCCTTCTCCTTTTCTCTTTTTGTTTTTTTTTCAGGTTTTTTGGGATTTTTTGTTTTGTTTTGTTTTTTGAGACAGGGTCTCTCTGTGTAGTCCTAGCTGAAATGTGCTGAAACTCATTCTGTAGACCAGGCTGGTTGTGAACTCGGAGACTCTCCTGCCTCTGCCTCTGCCTTTCAGTGATGGAATTAAAAGTACTTGCTACCATACCAGCATTGTACTGGCCTTTTAAAATTCTAAGTAGAGCAGTGTTCTCTTACTGTGTTCATGATCACAGGCAGGCCTTGCTAAAATGCACATTTCAAGTCCACAGCTTTGTGAAGCAGTATGGGAATCTACATTTTTAACAAGTCCTACAGTGGTTCAGTACCAAAATACAATATTTAAGTTACTTTGCTTCTGAGATTTTATAAAAAGGCAGGGGCACCTTTAAAAGTTGTATATCTCTAAGTATGAGCAGACTTAACCCTTTCCAATCACAAAGGAACAATGGCATCTGTTTCAAAAGCACTGGAGTAACACTGCCATGTATGAAATTCTCAAACTAGAGATTTAACACTCCTTTATCAAAGAACAACAAAATGAAAACATTAGAACATGTTTTCTGTCACCATGCCAACTTAGTTATTCTTCTTAGCTACATAGTACCCTGAAAATACAAGAAAAACAACCAGAGCAAAACCCTGTACTGGGCATTGTGACACATGCCCTCCATCCCAGTATTCAAGACCAGGCTAGACTATATGATGAAAACCCATCTTCAAAACTTACCAACAAACAAAACCAAACAACCTAAACAACCAACAAACAAAATCCACAAAATGTGAGTTTATACAAAAACCTACTTCTTTTAGTTTCAAACCCAGCCTTTTATAAAAATTTGAGCTAAAAGTTAATCTTGTCTCTCTTGGTGCCTAAATACACTTTTAAAGTACAGTGCAATAATCTTCAGTAACTGTTACAAGGCTGAGCAACTGTTAGCTCTAATTCTGGAGCCATTCTAAGAAACCTCATGCCCATTTGTCTAAACATGTCCCATATATGTGAAATCTCCCAGCACTGTTTACCAGTTAACACAACCTAAACCAATATTCCAAACAAAGGCTACTTGAGTCAAACTGGCCAGCACTTATAAGAGCTCAAGAATGAAATGACATTACCCAGCAGAGTGCAGGCCTGCCTGGTGTGCGCCATCTCCTTCGCATCGTCCACGCCTTCAATCATAGGGCTGCCTCCTTGCTTCGTGTAATGAAAACTATCTGCATTTCCTGCAGTGAGGGAAGGTAAAAGTTGTTAGTCTATGAGGAGAAGCTTGGATTTCCACCCTTTCAAACACGCTGAACACAGGCAGCAACAGCACATTTATATATATATATATATATATATATATATATATATATATATATATATATATGGCTTGGAGTCTCCCCAGTTTAAACTCACATCCTAATTTAAGATTCCAAAGTAAAATGTTCATAGATTTTATGTTAATTGGTGAAATAAGTGATAGAACATGTTTCCTCAAACTCTTTGATCAAAGCAGTTTTCAAACATGTATAAAAGCAGAGAGGTTAGAATCCTAAACCTCACCTACCTTAACCAACCGCCACAGGCAACCCTGTCCCTGATAGAGTCACTCACCCCACCCATGGGTTGCTCTGAAGTCAGCTACAGACCTTCAAGAATCATTTTATTTTATTTATAAACATTTTAGCATGAAGTAAGATACTTTTTGATAAGCTTGAGAACTCAAAATTTAACAGAAAATAACACAATACAATAAATCTAGTGTCATATCCATACCTAATCGCAGCATTTTAAACTCAGGTAGCTTTGCTGAAGCACAGAGCTGATAGAAGATATGGTAGTTTCTCTCCTCTTCTGCCTTTGAAATAAGAAGAACTTTCAATATAAAACTCAGGAAAACCTACTATAGCATATAATATTAATATTTAACCATCTCAACAAATTACCACATTTTCTAATAGTGATTTAAATAATTAAACCTTATGATTTAGACTATATACTAAATAGGAAGATGGCTTGAGACTTGAGACTCAGAGCCAGGCTAGGTAAACAATGAGGCTCTGTCTCTTGAAAAATAAAAAAATAAGTATAAATGTGTTAGTCATATTCAACTTAAAATAGCAGCTAGCAAGGCTTTTACAATTTATACTGAAAACAAGGCCTCAGACACTGCACCATATCTCAAGTCCATTTTGACTTTTTAAGACAGTCGCACTAAACATCCTGTCTGGCTCTGAATTGATCTGTAATCAAACAGGCCTTGAACTTGTGAGTCTCCTGATTCAGCCTCCAGAGAGCCTGTACCACTGCGCCTGACTTGGTGGTGCTTTATGAATTAGTGAATAGCTTGATAGATGGCCATAATCATTAGACACCAGTGATTCTGGGGTAGCTAAAATAATTTTTTTGCAAGGCTCATCACTATTTTCTACTAATAACTCTAGATTCGTGGTATTACTAATTCTTTTAGTCATTCTTTTAGTAATACCACGAATTATCTTTGTTATACTTTAGAGATGACATGTTTTATGACTGTAATAAATCCACAAATGTACTATATTCTCTCTATATATATTTCTGTATTGCATATTTTGTACTAACATACATTATATATAATATATTTTTCTGTTAGCAATAATTTGATAAAACAAAAAATAATTTAAGGTCAGTTTTTAGTATTTCCTTAGTCTTTTTTTCCACACACACATTTAGACTATAGTTGCAAAAGTTACTGTACATATAAATCTGAATACTAAAATCCAATCAACATATTCTTAGACTTTGGAGTACATCCATCTGAATAAACATCAGTGTTAACAAAGTCAAGGGGAGTTCTGAAGCCTAAAGGGGTCAATTGCTACTGCAGGGAAGCAGGACACTGAACAAACATAACAATAATCACAAGCACAAGCAAGATTAGATAGGAGATCAGGTGGCTCAGCACACAGAAACTAGAAAAGCAGGTGGGTCTGCAGAAACACTGTGGCCATCTTTGTACGGGATGGCTAATACCCAGCATACTTATTTTGACTATGATTCATTTGATATAACCAATATTCTTAACGTTCTATACTCCTGGAGCCTGGGAAACTGCTAGACTTACTACCCCACCCATTGATAAGACAAGGATTAAGCATTACCAAATTCTTCACTAGGCAGTCTTAGCCACTGGTCAACAAACTGACCAAGGTCAAATTCCTATCTATGTTATCTTTGCTCACAGTCCTACAAATTTCTTTTTTTTAAGATTAATTTCTATTTTATGTATACAGGCGTTTTGCCTGCATGTACGTCTGTGCAACACATGTGTGCAATGTGTATAGAGGTAAGAAAAGAGTGTTGAATTCCCTGGAACTGGAATTACATACAGTTGTTAGCCACCATATAGGTATTGGGATTTGAACTCAGGTTCTCTCTTAACATCTGAGCGATCTCTTCAGTCCCACATTCCTACACATTTCTAAGTGGACTTAACCCATCTATGTTTCAATAATTCTTTCTTTTCACTATAGACTATTTTTTAATCCTATGTAAGTATTAATAATGTGTGGAATAACAGTGTTGTTTGTAAGTTGAAAGGAGAGTGGTTATTGCCTTACTATGCATATCAATTATTATAATTTAGGATTAAATATTTAATCAGGTCCCTGGCTTCCCCCAATTCATGCCTCTTGATGTGTATGAGACTATTTCAAAGCCACAACAGACTTTGGCAAAAGAAGAATAGATCCTGCCATGTACTGTATTTGAACTTTAAGGTTGTGGCATTCAGTACATGGGCCAGTGAAGCTCTGGTCTCAGTATGAGGTATGCAGTCACCAGGAGCCACATATTGACATTTGCTGATGATAATCTACATTCCCTAATATGCCTACAACGTGTGAATGAATGTACACCTGCTAGTGCTGCAAGTGTATAACATATCTTTCTATCAGAAAACAACAACAACGTAAGTGTCAACAAAGATTCTGTAGGAATTTCTAGCTGTGGTTTGATGGCAATTTACAGCTGGGCTATGGTGGCTTTCATTTAGCTCTTACTGTGGCAGGAGAACAGGGACTGGGCTGAAGCATCTGGGTTAACTGGAGAAATGTCAGTCTGGAGAAGAAGGCTGGAAGCCCTTCCTAACTGACTTTCTTCTAAAGCATGCTCACAAGAAGCCCTGCCTATTCAAATTTGGAACCAGTATTATGTAAATAGTCTTATAAAGGATCCAGGCCTCATGGCCCAGTATTTGTTGGGCCCTTTCCTTAGCTCATTAGCCCACTTCCATTTCTTGGATACTTTTCCTTTCTTAATGAGCTGTCTATTTCTATTTCTAACCATGTATCCCTTTGCAATCCTTTGCTCTAGGGTAAAAGGGCCTAAAAATGGGTACTTCTGAACTCAGATAAGACGCAGCACTCCAAAGCACGTTTTTCCTGATATTCTAAGCCTGCCTGATCTCCACATCTAGCTTAAAAGGCCTAACTTTTCTCTGTCTTCCCTCTTCCTGATGGCTGCTGGGATTTTGAGCTTTCCTCAATTGTTTTACTTTCAAACTTTACATTTTAAAATTATTTTACTGATGACTAAGAACTCAAAGAGACTCCCCCTTCTCAATTTCTCTGGTAATATCATTATTCTATTAAAAAATGTTATATCCTAAGAATTAAAAGAAGTAAGGAGGACAGGGATATTTTGTTCTTCTTGACCTGAGTTCAAATTAATTCTTTGAAGACACAGATCAATGCTTTCTTTGTCAACTGAGAAATATAAGAGACAAGACAAAATAATGCCCCTTTTAACTACGTTTTTCAACAAGCATCTGTAAGAAAAAGTCAAAAAACCACGACACCAGACTCAGAAAGACAAACACTGCATGTTTTTTTCATGCAGAATCTAGATTTAAAGATAAATAAGTGCATAGCACATGAAACATGAACACATAACATGAAAGTAGAATAGAGACTATGATGAGGAATGATGTCCACGCCAGGGGGTGGGAGTAAACAGGAGGTCATAGAGTAGAGAAAGGCAAAACATGCTTTCTTTCACATGCAGAATATATGTGCATATATGTGCATATGTGTGTGTGTGTGTGTGTGTGTGTGTGTGTGTGTGTGTGTGTATAAGCATGAGTACATTATGTGGGAGAGAAAGCAGAGCAGCAAAAGAAAGTAAGGACAGCAGAAGGCAGAGAAGTGGCATGGAGCTAGGAACAATTATATGCATGTGCATGGATGTCATAATGAAATTCATTATTTTTTACAGGAATTTAAAAAGTTACTACAATATGAAACATTAAGCCTAAATCAGTACCCACGCTCAATAACTATTAGTTTAAAGAAGTAGTGACAGGCCCCATTTTATATGTTTGTATTCAAGTGGGGTTTGTAATAATACTGTGAGAATATGCTCAGGAGTACTGAGAAATGAAGTATAACATACTAGCAGGCAAGGACTCTATAATTGCTGTAGTATGGCTTTTTTCTTGGGCATAAAATGACCATCATCTTGGAAAGGAGATTTGCTGGCTCTTGTAACTATGGAAATGAATTGAGCAGAACCCCGAAGTTGTCGCTAGGTCTAAAGCAATGGTGATGAATCTGTGATATACCTAGTAAAAAGAGGGAAGGTGGGGTGACAGGAGCTTCAGCTAGGATTGCAGCAATTACTTTCTGCCGTGTCTTCCCCCCAGTGCACATATCTTGGGAGACGCTATAGTATATATTTAAAAAAGGAAGGTTAACTGAAAGAGAGGCTCTATGACGCAGCTTCCATGAGCTTGTCAGCCATGATGGGATGTGACTTCATAGTGATAGAGCTGCTCTGGGGTAAACCATGCTATGTAAATAAAACTAATAAACTCATTGGGTTATCATACTGGAGTTCCATAAAATAGTTACTTTATTCTGTCATTGCCTTCTCTGGGGTGCTTGTTCCCATCTTCCCAAGAAAACTTCACACAACAGTAATTATATAGTAATCAAAAATCCAACACAAAATGTATGCACATCCAGCTTACCTGGAATACCACTCTGGATTTCTCTAAAAGGTACGTTCTCATGTTGGCACCAATGATTCGATATCTCTTATCAAAACCAATTTCAATATATTTCCCAAATCGGCTGCTATTATCATTCCTGGTTGTTTTAGCATTTCCAATTGACTAAGAAGTAAGAGAGAAACAAGATTTTAGAAGGGTAATATATGTCATTTACAAAGATTACTCAGAGAGAGAAGGAATCAATATAACTCTTAGTTTTAACTGATTCTTTTAATATGAAAACTGATTCTTCCTTCTAGACAGCAAAAGGGTCTGCTTTGCCCCTAACTGCACAGGTAGACGCCAATAGTTTTTCTTAGTCTTGTCATTTCACAGAAATGAATGTCAAAAGTAGCAGGACTGATACAGCAGTGATGAGATTTTCATACACCATCTTGTCATTAGTTATCAAAAATTCAGAAGACTGTCTTATGTAATTGAAATCACTAAGAAAAAGGAAAACTTCCCTGGAAATGCTGGTTTGGTACAAATGGTCTCTTTAGAACTAGACAGTTCTAACATCTTATCCTATAACAACAGAGGTCAAATGGGATGGCTTATTAGCAGAGCCTTAGTATTATCCATTCTATTGACTGACTGATTACATTTGAGGCAGCATCTCACATATCCCAGGCTAATTGTGAGCTCCTTATAAAGCTGAAGATGCCTTTAAACTTCTTACCCTCCTGCTTCTACTTCCCAAGTGTAGGAGTTATAGGCATGTGTCAACGTGCCGGGCTTTACTCATACAATGTGAATGACATTTTCAGAAATCAGAAGTAAATAATGGAGCTTTCTTGTATATAATGTGATTGTGTGTGTGTATGTATGTGTGTGTGCATATATATATATACTCATATATATGTATATATATATAAGCACACATGTGCAGTTGTATTGTGCATGAAGCCCAGACGTTAACATCATGTGTCTTCCTTGACCACTGTCCACTTTATTTACTGAGGTTGGATTTCTCACAGAACCCAAAGCTGATACTTCAGCTTGTCTAGCTACCCAACTTGCCATAGGGACCCTGTCTCTACCTCCTAAGTGCTAAGATTATAGGCAGGCCACCAGACCCAGATTTCTTTTGTTTTGTTTTTTTGTTTTACGAGACAGGGTTTCAGACCCACATTTTTTTCTTACCATGTTGAAAGCCAATTTATTTTTATAAAGAGATGGACCAACTCTCCCTCCGTTCATATCATCACATCTTTGAGAAGTGCAATCATATCCAATTCTACTACATACTAATTGTTCTGCTTCTATGAGGCCTGAAACAGTCTTGGCATCATGGCGGGCATTATAGTTCTACTTCAGACTCAGATTTTTAATGTAGGCAATTAGGACCTAAAGTCTGATTTCCACTTTATCTGTAAGCCACCTTGCCAGATCCCAGTTGTTTGTTGTTACTGCTTGGGGGTTGTTTTGTTTGTTTGTTTGTTTGTTTTAGAGACATCTCATGTAGTCCAGGTTCACCCTGAACTTGTTATGTAGCTGAGGATGACCTTGAACTCCTGATGCTCCTGCCTCTACCTGTAGAGTACTAGGATTACAAGCATGTGCACAGGATGTTGTTCATGAAAGACAGGTGCTCTTTCAACTGAATAACATGTGCATCCCAGCATTGGTTTCAGTGGTTTTATCTAACTTGCAAAATATCTTTAATCAAATACTGAGAATGTAAGTTTCTACTAAATATTATATGTAACCTTAAAGTTTTAATAGCATATGTCTGCTTTTTAATTTAGTAGAAAATGACATGCTTCTGTAAATTTTTCTTTTAAGGCAAAACAAAAACAAGTGTAGTTAGAAGATCAAAAATTCACATAATGCATATATTAAACACTTAACTTCATTTCATATAAGATTAACATTTGCCCCTTGTGCAAAGTCAGTTAGGATTAGTATATCAAAACCATAACAAAGAGAAAGATGTGAAAATTATATAGACTGTTAAGAGAGAGAACAAATATCAGGCATAAAAACAATAGGACCCTACCCACAAAAGTCAGCACACTTGATCCTCTAATGAAAGAAAATGTGGGAGAAGGGGAAAAATGGGCCAGGATCTCCTGAGAGGATTGGGAGCATGGGGGAGGGGAGAGGGAGCAGGGAGAAAGAGAGAGGGAGAAGAGGAGAGGAGAGGACATGAGGGAACAGGAAGATTGAGTCCAGGGAAGAATAGAGGACAGGATGAGAGATACCATAATAGAGGGGGCCATTATAGGTTTGAGGAGAGATCTGGCACTAGGGAAATGTCCAGAGATCTACAAGGATGACACCAACTGGCAATCTACGCAATAGTGGAGAGACTACCTTAAAAGCCCTTCCCCAGTAATGAGAATGAGGACTACCATATATGCCATCCTAGAGCCTTCATCCAGTGACTGATGGAAGAGAGGCAGACACCTACAGCTAAACTGAACTCTTGGAACCCAGTTGCAGAGAGGGAGGAGTGATGAGCAAAGGGTCAAGACAAGGCTGGTGAAACCTACAGAAACAGCTGACCTGAACAAAGAGGAGCTCATGGACCCCAGACTGATGACTGAGAGGCCAGCATCGGACTTACCCAGACCCCCTAAATTTGGGTGTCAGTGAGGAGGCCTCAGCAATCTATGGGGCCTTGGGTAGTAGATCAGTATTTATCCCTGGCATATGAATGGACTTTGGGTGCCCATCCCACATGGAGGGATGCTCTCTCAGCCTGGACACTTGGGGGAGGGCCTATGTCCCTGCCAGGGATGATATGACAGACTCTGGAGATCCCCCATGGAGAGCCTCACCCTCCCTGGGGAGTACAGTAGGGATTGGGTAAGAGGTTGGGGGGGGGTTAGTGGATGGCGGGGGAGGGCAGGAGGGAGAGGGAGCTGGGACTGACATGTAAAGCAAGCTTGTCTCTAATTTAAATTTAAAAAAAAGAAAAAAAAACAAAAATCATCCATACTTCCAACACAACTGATGGCACAGATTCCAGGCATCTGGCTGATTCTGGTTCTTCACTTTTCTCCACAATGGAGTTATTCAACTTATCTCTTTCCATGCTGTGCTACTTGGAAGAATGTCACTCTGTGGAACTTGTGTTTAGGGAGTGTGGAGTTGTCCTCCATGTCATGACTACACAGTTTCTATAAAAAGTTAGTGGGAATTCTTCAGGGGCAATTTTATCTCTTCTGAATTCCTTTATTTATTTATTCAAATCAGCATCAACTCATGGGTATTTATTTTATACTTTAGCCTCAAATCCAGCACTGTTGTAATTTATTGTTCAAAATGTGATCGTCGTGTGTGTGTGTGTGTGTGTGTGTGTGTGTGTGTGTGTGTGTGTGTGTGTGTGGTGTGTGCATACAGCTGTGTGCATACGGAGGCGAGAGGACAACACTGGCTCAGCACTAGTGGATGTTATTATTACGAAGCACTTTGATAGACCACTAAATATGTATATGTGGATAAAACCTCATGTGTAAACACTTAATGTTTACCATTTCTGTATGAAAATGTATTTCTATTCAGTTAACCATCAGCCCAATAAAATCTATTTCAAAGTGCATCACTCTATCTACAGGACACCACACTTGGTGCAAGAGATCTGACTTTCACCATCCACCAACCTTTATTTGTCTAATAACTGTATATAAACATAGTGATGGTGAATTATCAACACTTTTCCCCTGTGGAAGCCATACCATGAACTAGAGCTTGGTTAAAGTGGTAGTCTTCTTGACTCTAGTTTTATAGACTCCCCTCTTTTATAAAGTCGCTGGGAGCAGAACCCTTCTTTCTTTACCCCTCAAGTTCAATAAGGTTGTTTCATATGCTTATAATTCTTTTCTCAACCTGAGATTGTTCTTAATTTCCTAGATGTTTTTCTAAAATTGACACATACTTAGATTCATTCTGCGTTGTAAAGTTTAATAGGTTTTGAAAATTGTATCATGTTCTGCATCCATAATTAAAGTCTCATATGAAGTATATTCACTACCTTACAACTCATCTGTGCTTTACATAGTCAACTCCTCCTCTCTACTCCTAAATCACTGATTCCTTTTAGTTTAGGGTCTTGCTGGACACTGTAAGCTGGCCTTAACCTCTCAGATGCTGGGATTGCAGGTGGGTACCACCACAACCAGCTTCAAGTCATTGATTAGTTTTTACTTTAATCTTTGCTAGACGATTGTATAGCTAGACTCATCCATTGTGTAGACTTTTCAGACTTGTGTTTGCATTAAAGTGTATGCATGAATTTTTGTGGGTTGATCGTGTCTCTTTATTACTAAGTATGCCAGTTTATGCAAAAAAAAAGAAAATGTGTCATTATTGTCTCAAACAGAAGGAAGAAAATATCATAATTTGTGTCAGCAATGAAAACACTATTAGAATTTAGATTAACAGTTTTAGTGTAAGAAGAATAAGAATGATGGGAAATTAGCAAATTACATAGCTTAGGATAACATATACTCAGAAATTACAAACTGTGCGTGCGTGCGTGTGTGTGTGTGTGTGTGTGTGTGTGTGTGTGTGTGTGTGAGTGATTGTGCTGGTGGTTGTGTTTTAATACCCAAAGGCCCTGTTGTATAAACAAACTCAGAAAATAACCCTTTCATTCAATGACAAGGGCCTTGGATGACTCATTGGCCAAAGATCCAACTGCAATAGTAGTTGGTGAAGATGTTGCCTTTAATGGAGTCCTTTGAGCTACTGTTATTTATGAGCCAAATGTGGAAACTGCTTTAGTAGCCCATTGTGAGAACAAGGGTTTAGAAGTGGGATTGCTCACTGGAGCTGCTGCCATTGCTGAAATTCAGTTTGCAGATTATATTTTCCCTGTCTATGATCAGACTGTGAATGAAGCTGCCAAATGTCATGATTGTTCTGGGGATCTTTTCAACTGTGAGGGCCTCACCATCGGGTCCATGGGACTGCATCAGTCACAGACAGGGCTCTCTATCAATATTCTCAGAGTCTTGAAGCCTGTTTTGTTCATTGCCCAGGGATGAAAGTGGTTATACCCAGAAGTTATTTCCAAGATGAGGCACTTCTGTTGTCATATAGAAGATCAAAAAAAACCCACATATATTTGTTAACCTAAATAGTATTTTATAGAGCATTAGTGGAACAGGTTC